ACTCCATACACATTGAAAACCCATGTTTTCTATCATAATACAAAGTATAGCACTTTGCTTTGATAGTATTCTGAAATCGATGAACCGATAGTTGCACGGTAGTCTTTTCAACGATATGTGCATTCAAGTATTTGTACAAACAAAGCCAAGGCGATCAACGCAGTAATCTTGACAGTCAAATCATCGAAAAAAGAGCTTTTTAAAAAGCAATAACGATTTAAAAAGAATCACAAATTTTTGTTCCAGTGATTCTGTAGAAATTAACCTTTATTTATGGCATTAAAGATAACGACTGTGAGAAACTCGTGCAATCAAATTTATGTCCATCACGCGGGTACCATATATAATCTTGCACGGAATATGATTGGTCAGCTAAACATGTCAATCAACATCGACCAATTGAATCGTGATCTGGAAAAATCGTTTACTTCCAAAGTAAATAATACCAGCTATTGTTATCTTTTAAGGACAAAATAATTGCTTACCTCAAAAGTCTTCAACCTATGCTTTTCAATGTTTAAACAAAAACATATTGTCGTCAACAGCTTTCAACGCATTAACAGCACTACAAATCTAAACATGCAAATTTGTGATGTTGGCGGCATCTCATTTGGAATTTTCTAATTACAAAAGTGCATGTATTCTCAATCAGCAATTGTATATGTTGATTAAGACGACTCTTTATTATTCTTGAAATACTGGTCAATAAAGACAGCTGTTTCCTATACAAGTACTGTGTTCTTGCAAATAAAATCTCAAAATAAGATATGCCAGTCACTATAGAAAGTATTTTCGACCATTAGCTACGTAATCTGTCCATTTTTGCTTCATGAAGCGTTGCAACTGGAGATAATGGTATCTTGTTCACAATTGAAGAAGAACCAAATCTGTTCTACAAGCTTCTTTTTAAATAGAGCTTAATTTGATTAATTACGACTCAATACAAAGTATATCAAGTTGGCAGTACTAACAACAAATCCCAAATACGCTCGTTTTCTAGAGTAGATGCTATATGATAGTGTCTATCGCAGATCCGATCAAATCCTTTGTTGGGCGCCAAATAATTTGGCTGGCTATTCTATGAAAGATATAGAAAAGTGTCATTTTAGACCAATGCTAGTGATGGACATCACATTTTTTGCTACTGTTCTTTAGCAGGACTAACAGCCTCTGATTCTCTGATTAAAAGTAGTATTTATTTAAATTTTACAAATAGCTGAGGTAGCAACTCATCCTAATAAAGTGAACACTGCCAAGAATTTTAACATAATGAGCAAAACATAAGTGATAAACAATGCTTGGCAATATGTGCCCAGAAGCACAACCAGAAATCAATATTGTGTCCCAAACTATGTACTCAATGCATCACACATAACATATGAGAAATAGTTCTGGTTGGCAAATTACTAGAAGCTTGGAGGGGCTGCGGAACATATTATGCTAAAGTGGTTTCTGGTGGTAATTATAGGAACAATGGATATCTAGGGAAATACCTGATCGCTGAAGGGCCTAAATGGAGCCTAGACAGGCTGGTACAAAGAAAATGGCAGATTTAGTCGCAACATTGCATTCATTAAAAATCTATCTCTTGATGATATTTCTAATGTTGCCTGAGAAAGTTTGCCCTAACCAAGAATCAGTTAAAAATCCTTGTTCAGTGCAGTCACTAATAAAGGATCCTATTTTAGAAACTGAAAGCACAGCATTACTGTTCGACAATCTCATTACAACAAAGGAAGAGTTCATCAGAAAAAGTGGAGTAATAAAGGGATCGACAAGTGACCATTATATGGTATATGCCATTAGGAAAAGCGGGAAGATCAAACTGTCCCCTAGGATCACTGAGTCACGAGCTTTAAAAAACCTTGACCTTGACACCATACATCAGATGTTAATAAATGTGCTGAAGTATCAACATGAAACATCTTATATGCTGCTGATAAGCAGGGCCCAAACGGAACAATTAGAGATACCGGTGCTGTACACAATGATTCCTCTATTGAGCTCATTGATTTTATGAAAAAAGAAGCAAGGCAAGGATGAAAGCAATTAAGTAAGAGAACAAAGAAGAAAGAAGTTTGGTCAGTGTTTATAGAGATCAACCATAAAGCAAACAACGCCAGAAAAAAAGACAAAAGGGCATTTTAAAAGATGGAATTGAAAATGCAAAGGATAGCAAAAGATGTCAGAGAAACTCAAAAAACTCCTTTCTATTAGGAATAACATAGCTGCTGAAGCAAAGAGAGTTATGATCAACGAAACAGAAGAGAACAGATCCAATTAAAATTCTAAATTGACACAATTATTTATTTTAAGATACTGCAACCAAGCTTGTGGTAAAAGAATAAATGAAGTGTGAAAGGGAGGAGTTTCAGTATGTGCATTATAAGATATTAAAATACATCAAGAGAAAATGAAAAAGAAACTTCCCCCTTGGTGTTATTTTTAGAATAAGGTACTGGTGCCCATGTCTCTAGTTAGACTTTCTTCTATCAATGATAACTCTCTTTTACATGAATATTAAATGTAGCTTTCTCTACTCTTTTAAACAACTAAACAGTTTTATGAAAATTGTACCCCTTGATGCTATTTTTAGAATTGGGAACTGGAACCCAGTCCTCAAATAGTCATACCCTGGGCTCTAAGCACAGTATTAGAATTGAAGTGTGCGAATTGTGATACCAGCATGAAAAGGAAAAGAAGTCTTGGCCCCGTACTTTTGCTAGCCTTGTCCCCCCCCTCCCCAACTTTCAAATTCGTAGCGTGGACCCTGCTGCCAACGGACTACGGAGTTGTAAATAATTTAGGATGCATTTAGAGAACAGTTGCATACATATGCCTGTGTGTTAAAACCCAAGGCGTGTCTTTGGTTACGTATCATTTTGGCATGACAAACGAGCAGTTTTCTATTTATCACCAATGGCATCTTGAATGAGGAGCCCCACCCAAAAAATTATGAACATCCTTTATTCAAGTCTAAAAACAGCACATGGGTTCATTTTTTATTTTGCGTCCATATCCTATCCTTTTTTGCCTGTCAAACTGTCTTTTGTTTCAGAGTTTCATGTTATTGTACCAAAGTGAGACTAAGAGAACAAGGGGGAAATTTTCAGTCGGGTTCCATATACTATCTTTTTTAGCGTATCAAACTGCCCCTTTTTGGAAAGTTTAGCGTATCTCTATTTTATTTTATATATAGTGAGTCTGGTTCCCAGGGTAGGCTCCCCCATACTTGTCTAACCTCTTCACCAAAAACTCAGCATGCTTCTCCCGCAGCCTCCGAAACACTGAGACTGATTTAAGGTTGCCAAAGAAAAGGTCAGCAAATGGACAAAAATGCTTTTCTTTCCGGGGAGCTAAACTATGAACACAATTATAATTGAAGTGTGCGATAGCCTTCCTGCTGCGTCCGAGACGGCATCCTCCCTGGGTGGTTTCAAAAAATCAACACAGGGTTGACTAGTTTCCTTTTATAATACCATGTAATTGTAAATAGGTTTTTAATATTATGGTTTTTTATTTTCTAGTATTTTAATTGTATATTGTTATTAGTATTTATTGGAGGGCCCCTTGAAAAACAACTTCCGTTGAAGGGCAACCCTCCTCACACAAATCAAATATGAAATATGAATATAAAATCAGATTGTCACTTGCTACAAAGTTTCATGTTATTGTACTTACTTACAGCAGAGATATCGTAATATCGCCTCTAGAGTCTTGGGGCACATTACCCCAGTTAAAAATAGTTGAAGGGGGAAATTTTCAGTTGGGGTCCATATCCTATCTTTTTCAGCGCATCGAACTGCCCCTGATTGCAAAGTTTTATGCTAGTATCACAATTCGACCGGATTACTGACTTAACAGGCCTGACTAAATGGTTTCGCCTCGACTCATCATGGTGACGTCACAACGGAAAATAAAATTTCGCAACGCAACTGCAAAATGTGCATACTTTGACACTCAATAAAAAAGAACCATTTAACTTATGTTTTTTTGTATAAGAACAAGGGTGAAGGGTTCTATAGATTTCTTTTAAAATATTGGAATGACAAAATTCGCTGCATAGGCACTTTAAACATTAGCTATATTTCATTATCAATATTATCATTCGACTTGATCGTGATCCATTCTCACGAGAATATGAGATTTCTTCCTTTGCACAAGAATATGAATAGAATGTGAACCAACTTTACCCTGCACACTTGCATCAGCTCGAAACATCGTTCATTGAGTATTTTGCTATGTATTGTTTAGGAAAAATCTGCATCTCCACATTCGTAACACTTTCTGCTTAACAAGTGGGTTGAAAATGCATGAAATAACGGGGTTTAGCAAACAATTTGATTGGGACAACGCGAGTCCCCAACAAAAGAGTTTACTGTCGTCCAGTGTATAAATTTCAAATGATGCTAATACGCTTAGAAAAATAAGCGGGATGTAACACACAGTTATAGAAATAAGTATCAATCCACCAATTTTAGCAACATTTTTCTCGCCCACCGAGATTTTTGTGCGTCCGAATCGAGCAGCTTCTGAGGTGATTTGCCGCCGGATGCTACGAGCATGCCAAATGATTCTAAAATAACAAAATATATTGGCAGGCGCACCAACAAGAAAGGAAACAAAAATGAGTCCATTTGTCAAAAGTTTCTCTTCCTCAAATGCTAGCTGAAGAACAGGGATGGCAGAATAGAGCCAAGCAAACATTATGGCAATTGCAGTTTTGCGAAGAGTCACTCTTGCGCTATAAACAAACGGATGGAATATCTTGATGTATCTTTCAATGGACATAAGCAATACAGTCACAAACGAAGCCAGTCCTAAAATGTATGCAACTGGGGATATGAATTTGAGAAAATAGCAAGGATTTCGCGAATTCGCTATGAAATTAAATGCAACGAAAAAAGCTGGCATCACAACGACTGACCCAATGAGATCAGTTACGGCGAGATTCAACAGGAACATATAGGAAAGGTCCGCCTTGACATTGGACTTTATCAATGCAATGATTAGTGAAACGTTGAGCAATGCTGTTGGAATGGTCAGCAACAAAGTGGCAATAGAGCATGCGTGATAGTTCGCTTTCAAAGCAGACGTGGTTTTGATAACGAAAAGACTCCATACACATTGAAAACCCATGTTTTCTATCATAATACAAAGTATAGCACTTTGCTTTGATAGTATTCTGAAATCGATGAACCGATAGTTGCACGGTAGTCTTTTCAACGATATGTGCATTCAAGTATTTGTACAAACAAAGCCAAGGCGATCAACGCAGTAATCTTGACAGTCAAATCATCGAAAAAAGAGCTTTTTAAAAAGCAATAACGATTTAAAAAGAATCACAAATTTTTGTTCCAGTGATTCTGTAGAAATTAACCTTTATTTATGGCATTAAAGATAACGACTGTGAGAAACTCGTGCAATCAAATTTATGTCCATCACGCGGGTACCATATATAATCTTGCACGGAATATGATTGGTCAGCTAAACATGTCAATCAACATCGACCAATTGAATCGTGATCTGGAAAAATCGTTTACTTCCAAAGTAAATAATACCAGCTATTGTTATCTTTTAAGGACAAAATAATTGCTTACCTCAAAAGTCTTCAACCTATGCTTTTCAATGTTTAAACAAAAACTTATTGTCGTCAACAGCTTTCAACGTATTAACAGCACTACAAATCTAAACATGCAAATTTGTGATGTTGGCGGCATCTCATTTGGAATTTTCTAATTAAAAAAGTGCATGTATTCTCAATCAGCAATTGTATATGTTGATTAAGACGACTCTTTATTATTCTTGAAATACTGGTCAATAAAGACAGCTGTTTCCTATACAAGTACTGTGTTCTTGCAAATAAAGTCTCAAAATAAGATATGCCAGTCACTATAGAAAGTATTTTCGACCATTAGCTACGTAATCTGTCCATTTTTGCTTCATGAAGCGTTGCAACTGGAGATAATGGTATCTTGTTCACAATTGAAGAAGAACCAAATCTGTTCTACAAGCTTCTTTTTAAATAGAGCTTAATTTGATTAATTACGACTCAATACAAAGTATATCAAGTTGGCAGTACTAACAACAAATCCCAAATACGCTCGTTTTCTAGAGTAGATGCTATATGATAGTGTCTATCGCAGATCCGATCAAATCCTTTGTTGGGCGCCAAATAATTTGGTTGGCTATTCTATGAAAGATATAGAAAAGTGTCATTTTAGACCAATGCTAGTGATGGACATCACATTTTTTGCTACTGTTCTTTAGCAGGACTAACAGCATCTGATTCTCTGATTAAAAGTAGTATTTATTTAAATTTTACAAATAGCTGAGGTAGCAACTCATCCTAATAAAGTGAACACTGCCAAGAATTTTAACATAATGAGCAAAACATAAGTGATAAACAATGCTTGGCAATATGTGCCCAGAAGCACAACCAGAAATCAATATTGTGTCCCAAACTATGTACTCAATGCATCACACATAACATATGAGAAATAGTTCTGGTTGGCAAATTACTAGAAGCTTGGAGGGGCTGCGGAACATATTATGCTAAAGTGGTTTCTGGTGGTAATTATAGGAACAATGGATATCTAGGGAAATACCTGATCGCTGAAGGGCCTAAATGGAGCCTAGACAGGCTGGTACAAAGAAAATGGCAGATTTAGTCGCAACATTGCATTCATTAAAAACCTATCTCTTGATGATATTTCTAATGTTGCCTGAGAAAGTTTGCCCTAACCAAGAATCAGTTAAAAATCCTTGTTCAGTGCAGTCACTAATAAAGGATCCTATTTTAGAAACTGAAAGCACAGCATTACTGTTCGACAATCTCATTACAACAAAGGAAGAGTTCATCAGAAAAAGTGGAGTAATAAAGGGATCGACAAGTGACCATTATATGGTATATGCCATTAGGAAAAGCGGGAAGATCAAACTGTCCCCTAGGATCACTGAGTCACGAGCTTTAAAAAACCTTGACCTTGACACCATACATCAGATGTTAATAAATGTGCTGAAGTATCAACATGAAACATCTTATATGCTGCTGATAAGCAGGGCCCAAACGGAACAATTAGAGATACCGGTGCTGTACACAATGATTCCTCTATTGAGCTCATTGATTTTATGAAAAAAGAAGCAAGGCAAGGATGAAAGCAATTAAGTAAGAGAACAAAGAAGAAAGAAGTTTGGTCAGTGTTTATAGAGATCAACCATAAAGCAAACAACACCAGAAAAAAAGACAAAAGGGCATTTTAAAAGATGGAATTGAAAATGCAAAGGATAGCAAAAGATGTCAGAGAAACTCAAAAAACTCCTTTCTAATAGGAATAACATAGCTGCTGAAGCAAAGAGAGTTATGATCAACGAAACAGAAGAGAACAGATCCAATTAAAATTCTAAATTGACACAATTATTTATTTTAAGATACTGCAACCAAGCTTGTGGTAAAAGAATAAATGAAGTGCGAAAGGGAGGAGTTTCAGTATGTGCATTATAAGATATTAAAATACATCAAGAGAAAATGAAAAAGAAACTTCCCCCTTGGTGTTATTTTTAGAATAAGGTACTGGTGCCCATGTCTCTAGTTAGACTTTCTTCTATCAATGATAACTCTCTTTTACATGAATATTAAATGTAGCTTTCTCTACTCTTTTAAACAACTAAACAGTTTTATGAAAATTGTACCCCTTGATGCTATTTTTAGAATTGGGAACTGGAACCCAGTCCTCAAATAGTCATACCCTGGGCTCTAAGCACAGTATTAGAATTGAAGTGTGCGAATTGTGATACCAGCATGAAAAGGAAAAGAAGTCTTGGCCCCGTACTTTTGCTAGCCTTGTCCCCCCCCTCCCCAACTTTCAAATTCGTAGCGTGGACCCTGCTGCCAACGGACTACGGAGTTGTAAATAATTTAGGATGCATTTAGAGAACAGTTGCATACATATGCCTGTGTGTTAAAACCCAAGGCGTGTCTTTGGTTACGTATCATTTTGGCATGACAAACGAGCAGTTTTCTATTTATCACCAATGGCATCTTGAATGAGGAGCCCCACCCAAAAAATTATGAACATCCTTTATTCAAGTCTAAAAACAGCACATGGGTTCATTTTTTATTTTGCGTCCATATCCTATCCTTTTTTGCCTGTCAAACTGTCTTTTGTTTCAGAGTTTCATGTTATTGTACCAAAGTGAGACTAAGAGAACAAGGGGGAAATTTTCAGTCGGGTTCCATATACTATCTTTTTTAGCGTATCAAACTGCCCCTTTTTGGAAAGTTTAGCGTATCTCTATTTTATTTTATATATAGTGAGTCTGGTTCCCAGGGTAGGCTCCCCCATACTTGTCTAACCTCTTCACCAAAAACTCAGCATGCTTCTCCCGCAGCCTCCGAAACACTGAGACTGATTTAAGGTTGCCAAAGAAAAGGTCAGCAAATGGACAAAAATGCTTTTCTTTCCGGGGAGCTAAACTATGAACACAATTATAATTGAAGTGTGCGATAGCCTTCCTGCTGCGTCCGAGACGGCATCCTCCCTGGGTGGTTTCAAAAAATCAACACAGGGTTGACTAGTTTCCTTTTATAATACCATGTAATTGTAAATAGGTTTTTAATATTATGGTTTTTTATTTTCTAGTATTTTAATTGTATATTGTTATTAGTATTAACTGGAGGGCCCCTTGAAAAACAACTTCCGTTGAAGGGCAACCCTCCTCACACAAATCAAATATGAAATATGAATATAAAATCAGATTGTCATTTGCTACAAAGTTTTATGTTATTGTACTTACTTACAGCAGAGATATCGTAATATCGCCTCTAGAGTCTTGGGGCACATTACCCCAGTTAAAAATAGTTGAAGGGGGAAATTTTCAGTTGGGGTCCATATCCTATCTTTTTCAGCGCATCGAACTGCCCCTGATTGCAAAGTTTCATGCTAGTATCACAATTCGACCGGATTACTGACTTAACAGGCCTGACTAAATGGTTTCGCCTCGACTCATCATTGTGACGTCACAACGGAAAATAAAATTTCGCAATGCAACTGCAAAATGTGCATACTTTGACACTCAATAAAAAAGAACCATTTAACTTATCGGAATTCTGTTTTTTTGTATAAGAACAAGGGTGAAGGGTTCTATAGATTTCTTTTAAAATATTGGAATGACAAATTTCGCTGCATAGGCACTTTAAACATTAGCTATTTTTCATTATCAATATTATCATTCGACTTGATCGTGATCCATTCTTACGAGAATATGAGATTTCTTCCTTTGCACAAGAATATGAATAGAATGTGAACCAACTTTACCCTGCACACTTGCATCAGCTCGCAACGTCGTTCATTGAGTATTTTGCTATGTATTGTTCAGGAAAAATCTGCATCTCCACATTCGTAACACTTTCTGCTTAACAAGTGGGTTGAAAATGCATGAAATAACGGGGTTTAGCAAACAATTTGATTGGGACAACGCGAGTCCCCAACAAAAGAGTTTACTGTCGTCCAGTGTATAAATTTCAAATGATGCTAATACGCTTAGAAAAATAAGCGGGATGTAACACACAGTTATAGAAATAAGTATCAATCCACCAATTTTAGCAACATTTTTCTCGCCCACCGAGATTCTTGTGCGTCCGAATCGAGCAGCTTCTGAGGTGATTTGCCGCCGGATGCTACGAGCATGCCAAATGATTCTAAAATAACAATATATATTGGCAGGCGCACCAACAAGAAAGGAAACAAAAATGAGTCCATTTGTCAAAAGTTTCTCTTCCTCAAATGCTAGCTGAAGAACAGGGATGGCAGAATAGAGCCAAGCAAACATTATGGCAATTGCAGTTTTGCGAAGAGTCACGCTTGCGCTATAAACAAACGGATGGAATATCTTGATGTATCTTTCAATGGACATAAGCAATACAGTCACAAACGAAGCCAGTCCTAAAATGTATGCAACTGGGGATATGAATTTGAGAAAATAGCAAGGATTTCGCGAATTCGCTATGAAATTAAATGCAACGAAAAAAGCTGGCATCACAACGACTGACCCAATGAGATCAGTTACGGCGAGATTCAACAGGAACATATAGGAAAGGTCCGCCTTGACATTGGACTTTATCAATGCAATGATTAGTGAAACGTTGAGCAATGCTGTTGGAATGGTCAGCAACAAAGTGGCAATAGAGCATGCGTGATAGTTCGCTTTCAAGGAAGGCGTAATTTCAGCAACAAAACCAATAGGTATGCATTGAAGATCCATGTTTTCAATGGTAATACACACCAGGTTCTACTTCAATTCTGTCCTGAAATCCACGAACTGAGGGCTTCACGTGCAGCGATTTATATTTCCCTCTTATCTTAACCAAACTACAGAGCAAACAAACGAATAAAGCAATTTTGAAAGAAGAAACGAGCTGGCAGGTGTATAGCTGTTTCAAAGCAGTTTACAAACAGGTTGTTTGAAGAGATGATACAGTTAAAAAAAGAACTCTGTCGGAAAATGAAGATCCAGAAGCTATTGATTACATAATTCTAAAGATAAAAGATATATATAGTAAGACGGGTTTAGTCTCATTGACGGAGAAATACCACAATTGCAATTTAATAGGTAAATTTTGCTTGTTAATGGGACAGCCTTGTCAGACAAGGTACTTCCCTTGCTTTTTTTACTGTCAACATCTAAAGAAATCTCTGTCATTCTGGTTCATGACCACCTCCCTGTTTCCAGCCTAAATTCAACTATTTAACTTGTAAAATAAGAAACTAAAATATAATTTTTTTAACCAATCTCAATTGGTTTCTATACTACTGTTCCAAAGAGCACCATAATATCTATACTACTGTTCCGTACATTACCAAAATATATACACGCCTGGTTTCTAACTAACATTAGCTCGGATTCAACAGTTTTAGGCACGGATTTTTTACATATAGATACATCAAATACTTAATTAAATTCCCCATTCACGTACTGCTTTCTCGTGAATTGTACAAACAGAGCACTCAACTAGCATTTTTTGAATATGCGTTTATTCCGTATGCTACTACTAAACTGAATAGAAAATGAAAATCAGAGTGAACAACTGGTTAAAGAGTGAATCAGAGTGAATCAGTGTGCCTCAGTTTGTCATCTACAAAACATATGTTGGACACAACACTCTACTGCATTAAGACTGATATTCTAACCATGTCTAATGCCATGGATCTTTTTAATTGTCGTTTTGCTAAAATAACTTGCACCAATCTCTCTATATCAGCCATTCTTAACCTTTGGCCCACAAAAAGATTTCATCCGGCTTGCCGAATGATTTTACCTCAAAATTTTTTTGGCTTTCACTTTGAAAATTTCGAATTCGATTCAAAATCATCACATTTTGGCCTTTCTTACAAATACGTTTCGCAGTCCCTGGATCTGACTTCAAGCACTTCAAGTCGACCTAACGAAGATTAACTTCTGGGGGCAAAAAACGATCGTCTGACTCAACCTGGTACAAAAAATGTACAGTTACAAAATTTTGTGTAAACTTTTTTTTTGGCTTTTTATACTTCGGTACAGTTTGAGGCTTTTAGCCCTATCTCCCTGCGCTCATGAAATCCATGCCTCTTGCATTGGGCCTGAGAATCCGTCGTATGTTGCACATTGAGCAAATCTCGCCAGCCTCCACCCAGCACCATGTCCTTCAATTATATCATTGGCCTCCCTCCCTCCTTATTATCCCTTATCTTCCCAAGAGTCATTTCATGAAAAAAGCACGCTGAATAGATTCTATAAATATTGAATCTAATACGGAATAATAGGCCTGCCTATCTTATCTCTAACTTAATCTGGTACGTATTAGATCTGCATTTCAATTTGAACAGCTTTATTAACACAAGCTATGTAAAAGCTGAAAACTCAGGGGTCCCCGAAGAAAATCCACGTGTTTTTTTGGCACAGCACGCGAAATTCTTAAGAGCCCTGGTCTATATTATATGTGACTTAGGCCGATCTAAGTCAGTCACGAATTTTTTCTCTGAAAGAGTTTATAAAACGACATTGTACTTTCTTGGAAGCAGAAAATGCACAATGTTTCAACCCAATAGATAAGTGACATTACGCATACAAGGCTAAATACATTATACTTTGTATTCCAGAATAAAGGCACTTTAACTAAACAGAAACATCTACCTTAGAAAAACTAACAGAAACACACACCTCGATTCCAAAGCAAGCTTCTCCAGGCCTCGTTGCCAAAGACAGCTAAAGCCTGCTTCAAGAGACGTAAGAGTCTCAAAAGTAGGCAAAAAGAAGGCGTTTTGGAACATTTTGCAAGTATTTAAACAACAAACAGAAATTGACATACCTTTTCTCTCAATGCAGTTTCAAGATCTATTTGCAGATTTTTTACGTCATTTTCTAATGTTGAAGCATTCGCATTTGACGTCTACAATAGAAGACAAAATCATTGACGAGGTGTAAAAAAGAAAAAATAAATAAGCTGTAGAAAGCATCCAAAAATCAAATCGACTCTATCAGAAGCAAATAGTCGACAGTAACTATTAACTTGGACATCCAAATAAAGGGCCTGAAAAGACTGAATCAAACAAAGCATGAGAGACTTGCTATCAAACTTGAGACATTTGATACCTTCGTCTGGAAATGCCCATAAAAAAGAGCATTTTTTTCAAAATCAAATGTTTCCCTGCAATACACCTAGACTTTCTAAAGGAACATGACAAAGGGATGACAGACTGTCTTTAAAGCCAAATTTAGTTTTCAATGAAATTAAACAATATTTTCACTGGATTTTGCAAGATTTCTAAGAATGCATACTGAATATACCACTACTACCCTCCACCCTGGAATTGGACTGTTGAGCGTCATGATCTAAAATGGGCACAATTTCTAACCTAAAAGTTATAAACCTATTCAATCGAAGCTTGAGTGAAGTAATCCAGATTTCATAAAAACGCAAACTGCCTGGCTAGTGGTTTATCCTGGAACAACATACAAAGAGGTTTAATTAGCGAAACTTATGGTGAATGAAATAGAAATGTAGCGCAAAAAATTCAATCGAAGCTAAAACAAAGTAATTTGCCAGATCATGGAAAAGAATACAGATTGCCGAGGGCATAATAAATAAACATTATGAATACACAACCTGTAATTCAGTCTGGGCGGATGATACAGTTTCCTATTGAAGTATAAACAAGGAATTAGATGTATCAAAGGCTTTCACAAAGTTTGTAAATGTTATACCTTATTTTATTGTTTGACATTAAAAGTCTCATGGACAATACATTTACAGGTATATATACATTCTGCGGCAGAATGTTCTTTGTGCATGCTTAGCACTACTGAAACTACTACTTTGAGGTTGTGAAAAAAGATTAATGAATGTAAAGGAAGTTAGCGGACGACAAGGAAAACAAACAGACAATCTATCTACAAATCAAGAAAGAAAATGTATGTGTTGATGCTAGAATCTCTGTAGAAAATTCAATCAGAGCTAAAGTTGCTCAATGTTTCAACTTTAGAAGGACCAGAAAAATTGGTTTAGATTGCCTGTTATTCGCATTACTAAAACCCCGAGAATATGAAAAGGAACATGCATCATAACGTGGATTTTCGAAAATCTCACGGCTTAGAGAGCTCTTTCTAAAAAACAAAAGAAACGCTTTCTGGCACTTCTGGGGTAGCATCGCATCGACAAAATTAAATACCCTTAGGGTTAAGACAGCGTAGGGTAGCAAATTTTTCAACAACAATAGCCTTATTTGAAATAGAAGTGCAATGTGGAAATTAGAGGAATAAGACTCAATGAGATTAACCATGTTTAAAACATTGCTTTGCTGAATAATGTTAAAAACAATGTTTTGTCTACAGACATTGAAAATAGTGATTTACTGTTATCAATTTAATACTTCATATCAACAGGGAACGAGCTTAGCATTGTGGACAAGCCCACTTTCGCAGAAAAATTTTCATTCTGGCCAAGTAATTGAAACCCACTAGCGAAATTCTCGTCACCCTTACTTGCTTCGGATAGAAATTTTCCTCTGAAGTAGAAAGCTTAAAATTGTTGCTGGTCACGAACAACTTTCCTCGATGCTTAATTCAAATTTATAGTAGGAATAGAATTTTGTATAGAAATAAACATTGCGTAATATTGTTTAGCAAATGGTTCAATGAAAATTCGAAACATAAATTGTACATATTTTGGTAAGCATTTGCTGATAGCTTGGATTAAACTGTTTAATGAACAGAAAATAGTGCAAGAGTATTAAAAAAATTAACGACAATACTTCTTTGTTCGTTTGTTTTGTTTCGGAAATGTATCTTGTTTCTTACTGGCAAAAGCTTGAACACCTGCTGGCTTATAACCTCTTTCGTAATTCGTAAACAGAATATGACAAACAATAGGAACGGCCAGACACAATAAGCATGGAAAACCACTTTTACAACAGAAGAAAACTCGAAAACACGTCTTTATGCGAAAACGTAAGGATAAGCAATATTGTTAAAGTAGTGATATAGTTGGCAAAAAAACAAGAGCGATATGTGAGAATTACCAGAGATAATGATTGCTGAATCAGCATGGCCCCTCCTGATACATAGCTAAGGCAATTATAAAACGACACCATTCAAGCCTGTTCTTATTTGTCAAAAAAATGGCCTTACACAATTCTACCATTAATACTTGTATCCTTTGAGCAATGAGGAGAAATAACGACGTTAGTGGATGATATCCCAAGATCTAATTGAACTGATTTTAGTTAGTTATTTGCGACATAGTTTTGTTCGTTCCGTTGCGCTAGTCCACAAAGTATATTTATGACGTGTAGTTAGATTAGGACTGGGACCTAGTTTTAGGCCGTTTTTTAGAATTTCGTGAGCATGTTGAGTTTTGTTACAAAATGGGAGCGTGAGAAGACAATTTTCGGGATTATTACAACTAGTGACGGTGTGCCTAAACAATTTGGTACATCTGGCGATCCTGCTACAATTTGTGAGGGTGTTCCTTGACAAAGTTTACAAATTCGGTACATAATCATGACACTGGTGGCAGCACCCACGGCCTTTTTTTCAATTAATAGCAATATGAATTGGAGAAAACAAAACGCAGATTACATATCTAAATACCTTGAGTTTCTCAATTTCTTCTTGCAATCGTTCTTCGACATCTTTGGCAGCTTTCGTTAGGTCCTGTCTCTCTTTTATCCACGAGCTGCGATTCTTGAAAAATAAGTAAGAAACTGTGAAGCAATTGTTCGAAATCAGCTTTGATTTTGCCAACAGGTTACTGAAGTGAGCAACCAGCCTTTATGACCCCTTAAAGCTCAGAGAAGCAGACCCGAAAAATCTAACTTTACTACTACACTTAACACAGAAATTAACTACATGTTCAAGAAAACTGAGCACATAAGTGTGAGAATTTTAGCAATCACGATAATATTTATCAAATGAGAGCTGGCCAATTTTTAGGGAAATTTAGAATGACAGCTTGAATAAACTCATAAATAGAGTAAGACAAAAATGGTCCTTTTCTTTAAAGAATGAAAAAAGAACGTCATTATTCTCTTTTCCATAGATTGGTCTCGAGCTTTAAGAGAAGTAAATCATTGCTTTTATCGCTATACTAATGACTATTAAGAGTCAGTGAGTACCTCCTCAACTTGTTCTTCAAGATCATTTAACTGTTTGTTCAATTCACTCTTCTCGGTGATTACCCGTTCCCTGTCTTGATTTAACTTTTTCAAAGCATCTTGTTCATTTTGAAGTTTTTTGTAAGCCTCTTCTCTCAGTTCTTGATATCTTTGGATCTGTATGAAATTAATTTCGAATAATTAAATCATGTAAACCATTATGTGTGTCTGCATTATCTAGCAAAATTTTTGAGTAAAACTGTTCTTTACAACTTTGGTCAATGGATAAAGGAATGGTAAAAATACAAAGAAGCCATTGAATTAGTCACTTAAGTAAATGATTAATTGAAATTAAAACGGTCAGAAACAATAAGCAATAATATCTGATAAAAAGAATCATGATTCAGCCAATCTTATTGGTCCCCTTCAATCTGTTGCTGCCAAACCAATCAAACACAGCGCCATACTTCAACCATCACAGATCCTTTCTCGCCCAATAGATCTCTTTACCGTGAGTGCAAATGCTACAGAAAATTGGCGTGCAAAAGGTAGAGAGGATCAAAGAAGTAACGGGGTACTTAATTGAAAAAACCCAATCAGCGACTGACATGCAATGTTACTTGAACTTCCATCAAGCGGCAACACTGGCTCCATTGATCTTCAATTACTCCCCCATCAACCTGTTTCCAAGCAATTTGGCATGCCTTACCTCGTCTTGCTTTTCTCGCTCAGCAGCCTTGGTTCTCGCTTGTTCTTTGGTTAATGATTCCACGGCTTGGGCCAATTCTTTTTCAAACTGCTCAAGTAGCTTACAAATAAAACGAAAGAAATTCACAAAATTCAAAGAATAAAACTGATTTAGTTCAAATCCAGTAACAGTCTACAGTTTAGGTAAGCTTTAACTTGTAAGCTTGTATATAAAAGTATTTGAAATTTTTTTTTTATACGCTTCATTTTTCTCTTTATAGCCAATTCTAGGATGTAGTAGTGCTTCTCCGGCAACAAAACGTGACTACTGAGATTTGAATCAGCCTAGGTGAGATGGACTCCTATGTGTCTCAAAATGTGGTTCGGAAAAGCATTATAAATCGCCAGGGGGTCTAACTGATTTTTCAAAAACCACTTACTTTACAAGCTTCGTTGACATCTCTTTGTGCATATGACATGTAAACAACATTAAAAATCGATATATTCCGAAAAGGGGAACTAGCATTGCCTTACGAAAAGAGAAAGCTCGTTCTTAAACATAGAAATCCCTAACTGGACAGAGCACACTAAAAAAACAGAGATCAGTTTGTTGTTTTTGTCCCTCGCCAATATAATGTTGTATCAGAGTTTTGAGGTGTTAATAATTTCATACCTCTTGTTGTTTGTTTTGAGACTTTCGTAAAATCGAATTTTCTTCGCGCACTTTCTGAATTGTTTTGATCTTTTCAGAATCTTGTTTCTTCCATCCAGCCACTATGTTAGCAAGGGTCTGATGATAAACGCAATGACATGTCACTTGATAAAAGTTATAATGATAATGAGAACATTGAATAATGGAATGCAATAGGTGATAATTATGCCCATTAATAAGAAAAACCAAAAGCTAATTGCAGTTTCTTAAAGAGTGTATATTTTGAAATGTTTTACATAGTTCATTCGATTGCATAAAAGTCGCTGTTAAATGAGTTGGGACACATATTAAAATGTTCAAAGTTGAATTTAATCACCCCTGTCCCCTTTGAAACAGCGTTGCTTTCCTTAAAATAGCATAGAAAAAAATTTTTGCAATGCGATTTGAAAGAGGCCCAGAAAAACTATGAGCATTCAGCTGTGGGATGTGGAGCGGAAGTGTTAGTATTTGGAACAAGAAAAGAAAACTATAAAAAATAGGCTCAAGCTTTTAGGTGTTCTATCGACTTCGGACGGCTCTATAGCGGTGCTATCAGCAAGAAAATAAAGAGAAACTCATTTAAGCTGAAGTCCCTGAACTCGAGAGACCACATATGTTGAGGTATAATAAATCATCAGAAAAGTAAGATATTTAAAAGAAAATTGTACCAGCAAAATAATGATTACTTCAATAGACCAGTACAATTTTATTCATGATACTTTTTCTCATTTTTCCAATGCAAGAGTTCGACTTATAAGAGCTGGGAAGTATTTCAAATTTCATCAAGACCATATTTATATATTGCTCCTATCAACTGGTTTGACACGTACGAAACCCCCAGAGCATTTTCAAGGTCAAGGTATTACATATATGTCAGCTGCAACACAGACCAAACTTATACATTGAAAATTGGGCATAATAGGCCAATGGCCTATGACAGCTTTAATGAAGCAGCATAGCATTACACATAAGACTTCAAGGACTCGCACATAAAAATTTGGTTAGATCAGGTAGCAGGCATACCTTATCGAGTTGCTCAATCATGATCGCCTTTTTTCTATCCGTTGCGACTGCAACCGCCAGCTGCTGCTGCATTTCCAAAACCTGGAAAAATACATTCATCAATTGAGCAAAAAGCAATGATATTTTTAGCATTTATAAATATAATAGAGACGGAGCACTGTAGCCAGACATAAGGGCTTGATAAACAAGAAGGTTTACATAATGACGGTACGGAGCAGAAAGGAGGGCTTTATGTAAAGGAATATCGATAACATGGGGGTTTATATCATACAGAAAAGATAGGCTTTGGGAAGACAGACCTGAGAAGAACTCAAGGCTAAAAGTGGAGAATTCTTCAATCAAATTGCAAGTTGTGGCGATGATAATTAGATAAGCGAATACTTTTGCAGGCTGTTACTTATGGCAAAGAGAGGAGAAGTGTCGTTAGTGTTGAACAATGCATATGGGGTTAATTAACAAGGAGAAACGAGCAATAGGCGTTGAAGAGGCTAATTAAGCTTCCTAGGTAATAAAAAGAACAAACTACAGGTTTTCAACTGATAATCTTTAAAAATGTCATTGGCAGTGATTAACCCCCAGCCTAAGATTACATAGGAAAGATTGGAAATAAAACAGGGGGTCGAAGGTTTCAAGAAATATGGATCAAGAATGACGGGTGTATCCGAGGCTACAGCTCCCGAGATTAGAATCTTGTTATGCACGTGTAAACATGTAAACCATTTTTAGTTTCTGGATATCATGGTTTTCAAAATTTGCTGGTTTCAGTGATTTGATCGTCAAACATACTGAACACAAAGACTTTTTCCAATTTCAGGTATTCAGATCGAGACAGTCAGAGTTAACAGATTCTGGAATTCTTAAGAAACGGAAGTAAACACTTTGTTAAAGAAGCGGAGGGGTGATATCTATCGGATATGCTGAGAGATTATAATGCAAACAATAGGTCTGCTTAATCACGTGCCCAGGATTTGAATAAATATGGCTCGTTATCATACATTAAGCCGTAAATATCGAATACCTTTTTCTGTAAATTTTGAATTTGAACTTCGCAATGCTGGAAAAAAGTAAAATATTTTATCGAATGGTGAATGGGGATACTAATAAAAAATACTAATAAAGAATTGTCAACTACTTGAAATAAGGTCAGCATTGAAGCATCCGATCGGTAGCCATCTTACAATGGTTTTGCCAGCAAATAGTACGAAAATTTCTCAACTGAATACCGTAATGAATATTGGAGTATATGACATATAACAGGAATTCCGATTCACAATTAAATTGATCAGACACCAACGCAAACGTTAGGATACCAACAACAAGCAGGGTTTGTATGAAAGAAAAAATAAGGGTGAAGTAAGGATATATATTATGATAGGATTAAGGTAGAGACAGAGAAATGAAATATAAAAGATTAGGGCTGGGCTTGCTCTTACGATTAGGAATAAAGTCATTAAAGGAGGCGGGCAATTTCCTGTGATTAGGGCCTTGAAACAGAAAAGGGTTGTTTCTTGATGAAGTTGATATCAATTTTCAGGATAATGATAGGATTAAAATAATAACAGATCAAAAATGCTTTCACAAATTGTCGTTGATGTACTTACATAAAATATGTACGTTGCGTGTGGTACTTCATCCAGAATAACGATAATATAGTTAGCAAATTAATTTAGTACCAGAATGAAAATATAATAGTTTGATTGTTAAAAACACGACGTTTCGAGCATGTACTCGTTATCAAGTGGCTAGAAAAGAAACGACAACGAGTACATGCTCGAAAAGTCGTGTTTTTAACAATCAAACTATTATATTTTCATTCTGGTACTAGATTAATTTGCTAACTATATTATCGTTATTTTTTATGAATTTACATTTCTGTTTCATTCGATTAAATAAAGTGAACAAGCTGAAACTAGAATTATCAAAATATCAAGAATAACTGTGGGCCTTACATTATCTAAATTCTATCAACCGTTTATGAAACATTAAGAAGATTAAAAACCTTTCGCCTTTGCTTTTCTCGCTCTAAACTCTCCTTTAAAATGGAATTCTCAATAGAAAGTGAACGGTCAGTTTGGGGAGAGACATATTCATGCGTCGTTCTCTCCACACGTGGAATTTGCTGCCTTTCCGGTCCACGCATTATCCCATGCTCATCCATCTGGAAAAAAATAAGAGATTGATGTTACCGTAATGAGAAAATGCATTTGGACAAGCAGGGTAATCGAGAAACTCTGAAAATCGGACTGGCAATAGCCGGGGAGCCAAATCTGAAAAAGAACTCGAAAATACTAGCATTTCAAATATTTGAATTGTAAATGTAGACAAGTAGACAATGCAAACAATACACGAAAATGTAGACAAGAAAAAAGTTTTTTTCTGTTGTGGTATTCTACTTATTCATAGAATCCAAGAAATACGCACTTCTTGCAAAGTTCAATCATATCAAACAGATTTCAAGGATTCTTGTGACAAGCAGTCGCTTTCTTTACATATAAAGCTATAAAGCATTCAAACGAAATTATAAAGCAAACTATAGATAAACTCAAGATAAACTCCAGAAATTCTTTTGTAAAAGACAAACGAAGAGTCATTAATTTTACAAACTACAAGATCGAGCTGTTGATAAATCTTGGAACAAAATTTCTCATTACTTCTTAAGTTATTTCAGTGGACATTTACCATAGCAAAAACTAGAAGTTACGAAACTGAAAAAAGGTTTTTCCTATTTGCTTTACTTTCAAATAATAATTACCAGCAGCGGAGGAGAGGTATGAGCTAACAGTTCCCTTAGTGACGTCATACTGTCGAAGGACTTCCTCGCCTCGTCGAACACGTTGGAGGCATCAACTTGGTTTTCGCGGTGTTCTTCTGGCAAGATTCCTGGAAATATGAAAATTCAAAATTGAAGTAAGAAGGTTGTAACGATTGATAGTTGATTCATAGCTTGGCGCTGATGATAAATAATACACTGATGTTTTGAAGAAGGCAATTTTATAAGCATATAGAAGCTTTTGGTATGCGTTAGTACTGACATGGGTTTCGTCAGTGTAACATCATAAATAAGAAAAGTTGCCTAAAAACCAAACTCTGTGAATTTGGAATTGACCCTCACTTTGAAAGTCCTCCCCTTCCACTTCTCCCCCTCCTCTTCTCCCTCTTCTCGTCTCTCCCTCCTCCTCTTCCCTTTCTCTTCTCCCCCTCCTCGTCTCCCCCTCCTCTTCTTTTCTTCCTCTTCTCCCCCTCAACTTCTCCCCCCTCTTCTCCCCCTTCACTTCTTCCCCTCCTCCTCTCCCTCTCCGCTTCTCACCCTACGTCTCTCTATCATTCCTCCTCCTCCCATAAACACACATCCATCGACATTAGATGTAAAACGAGTTTACTTCGCAGCTCTTTCACGTATACACACTACTTGAAAACACATAAAGTTCAGGCAAACGTATAAAAGAATACACCAGGTTGTGAGTTGTGACCCTTTGTTCAGCAAGAAGCGAATGCCTACCCAGTGGCAACTTTGACTGCTATGAAACCATCTACCTGTCTCCCTGGTTAGTGTCATCTGAAACAGGCACTTCCTCTTACATACGCTACCGGTGGGTCGTATACGGGAATCAACTCTTTTTAACAACAAGGAGATCGGAATCTTTGGACAAAATAGAATTGTTCGCTTTAATTTGCATTATTGGCAAGGGAAAAATTCTGATTCTAGCTTAAACAGCAATTAGTCATTCTAAAAAGTATGTTATGCGAAAACTCATCTCTACATCATTCAAGATGGTTGTAACGATGGGTATACCTTGGATCTTTCCGTGCGGTGTTTCCGAAGTGCTTTGAAGTTTTGTCAACTCAATCATATGTTTTAGCTGGGTTCTAATGCCTTCGATTTCTGTTATACTTTGTGCTGTTTTGCCAGTTGAACTTTTTCCTGGCTCGGTGATTCTAACCTGATGAAAGGAACACTGTTTAAGGCAACATAAAGTAGAGATGAAAGGTGTAAAACTAAGTGAAGAGAAAGAGAAATGAAAGAGCACATGCTTGTCAAGTGACGTTTTACCAAGCTAAGCAAAAGTAAAAGACTAGACCTGACCAATAAACAAGTCAACTTATTTTGTCCCAAGTCTATTAAGAAATGGAACTTTAAACATGTAAATGTGTTGACTATTCAGTAAAAAGAAGTTCCCACATCATACCTTCTTTAGGCTTTTTGGGCTTTTACTCCCTGGTGAACTTGTCTTTTTCATGGGTGAATAGCTAGCTCTTTTGGTGGTCTCTTCTTCCTTCCTTGGGCTCTGCAAAAACATTTTTTATAACGTAGTACAGTAAGTTTGCAATATTTTTTGCATTCTTTATATGTGGTACAATATTCTAAAGGCTAGCAGTATTTCACCTTTATTTAGCAAAAACAACAGCTGACCTAAACACAACAACTCTGGCACACAACCCTCATGTTTCCCAATTTCACAAGCAGTATTGTTATTTGTCAAAACAGGGCGAGAACCACTTATGCCCTAAAACATTGACACCGTATCATTTGTAGCCTTTTCGCAGTTAGTTGTCATCAACTGTATTGAAATATTTCCAAGCTCTAGAGAAACCACAGCAATACAGATGTGTAATCTGGTTAGCATACTAATCATTTGTGTTTGCTAAAAGAAAGTTTACAGTTAAATAAAGCATTTTAATTTGTAGAGTGTTAGCCTCACCACAAGGGTATTATGCAAAAGGTTGGAAAAAATTACCTTTCAAAAGCTTGATACAATAGGGAAACCAAGAGACTGGCCTAAAATTTAATCAGCTCTTGGGGTTGAATTTATACATGGAAAAACAAATGTCTTTTCCTAACTATTGGAGTATACTGAGACCTTCTTTGGAAAATAACAATTCAGCAACAAGATTATATCAAGCATACCTCACTACTGTTAAATTTCATGATTCCTTTGATGGGCGATTCATCTTGTATTATTGGTGTAATTCCTGATTCATTGTCACTTTCTTTGCCAATGCGACCTTCCATATCTTGGTTTGAAGGTGCCTCTTCGGGATAAAATGGGAATTCCATTTTCCTTTCTGATTCAAAAGCAATATCATCAGAATTCACCAATGAAGCAAAGTATTCTTTGGAAAGATTGATTTGGATATGTTTTTGTGTAGGTCCTACAAAAAATGTACCATTATAGTTTTCTAAAATTGATTAACATTCTAGAAATTATATAAATCTGAAAAATAATTCCTTTTATAACACCTTCTTTTTAATTTATAGACATATATGGTATTGAAAGTGTAGGCAAGGGTGCATCTGACAAAATTGTGAATTCTATAATGACACTGTACATTTCAAGCAATTCAAGAAATGACTACCTTTCTTTACTCTTTAAAATGATTCATTGATGATTTATGAAAATTTGATGAACACTACTTTTTGAGTTAAATTGCAAGATGGAGTAATCTTTTTTGAGCTGATGGAGCACCGAGCAAATTGTTATCCCTGACAGAGAAATCATTGGATGCTTGTTCAGGCCTGGCTGTTTGTATTTTTATAGGTGAGCTGTAAATCGCTCCCCTCATTTGCTTAGGCGAGCTAAATCAGTAACACATAGAATGTACTTTAAAGACAATCGACAGATGACTTAATAAGCCCCTTTAGTATCTGTCGGTTGCCTTAATGTAATTGCCTCACTCAGGAGTGTGCTGTTTTACTTCTTTCAATTTGTATTTGCTTTAACTGTGACTTAGGCACCCCCTTTACTTGAAGTATTTAAAAGAACAGACTCTTTCAGTTTTATGTAAAGCTGGCACAACACAAAAACAACAATTCTCTTGCAAAACAATCTTTTTGTTGTACAGAATTTGAAAATGGCTTTGAAAAAAATTTTTAAAACAAGCTGAAGCTATACGTCTAGCACTCTTCAGAGAATAAAATGTCAGAACAAAGATGGAAAATTTTACGCTAAAATACCCAGTTTTGGATCGAAATAGGCCAATCAGAAAGCGCGAGCACATGACTAATGAGGTTGTCCAATCAGTGCCGCTTTCCTATTGAAAATGTTACCAACGGAGTCCTAAGGTGAAAACGAACTCACTTATGTCTACACAAAAGCGGTTGGTCATGTTTATATAGTAGATAGATTCACAAACTGCTAGATGGAACGATGATCAGGCTTTGCCAATAATGCCAAACATGTTGCCGTTATAGTTTTCACCTAATCTGGGTTTTTCAGTAAATGCCGCTGGATAGTGGAATTCCATGTTTTGGTTGTCGTTTTTGATCTGCAAGACAGAGTACCTTGTTCTCTTTGAGGGATAGTTTTGTTTCTATTGCTGGAAGGGACCTGCTGTCTTATTGTATCCCCTATCTACAATTCCTACCATTTTCTTCGACTTTCCTTCCAAAAATATTCCTGTTTTCTTAAGATTGAAAGGTTCTAATCGCTACAAACGTACCTTTCGGTTAACTATCTTTTTCCAAATAGATCGAAGTTTATGCCTATCATAACAAAAACTGCCCAACAAGCAAAAAGTTAATTGCAAAAAATGCAATGACGGGAGAAATCGCTGTTACAAAAATAAACCAATTAACCCTTGTGCGTTTTCATAATTCTCTGAATAGGAAATTTTAGGGGAGCAATTCTTCCTTCATGTTCTGTTTAGGAGAGCAATTCATAGCTCGCCTCAGGTTGCGAGGGGAGAGTGGAGGCCAGCGCGAGCTATCGCTCGCCTCAAACGGCCAGGCCTGCTTGTTATAAAAGCTGCCCTTTATTGTTTTGAGACAGCACATCAAACTTAGGGGCAGTAGCTGCCTATCTGCAAATTGTAAATACCAACCACAAATTATTTTGCTAATGTGTTTATCCCTTTTTAGATAATTTAAGAAGGAAAAAGTAAAATTCATATTCAATGACAAATAAGTCTTTAGTATGTTAAACTTTCAAAAGTTACTTACCATGTCTTTCACCTTTTTGTTCATTCTTTATTGGGGTGGAATGATTCTCTTCATTTCTTGATTCCATTTCATCAACTATATTTTCAATCCTTGGTTACCTAAAAAATTGTATCTATTCATATTGAATATACCCTAAGTTAACAGGAGACTTACAAATAATACTGGATGAGTAAAGCTTTACTTTATTCTATTTGAGACTTTTTTGGGCCACCAGGCAGTACTTTATATACAAAGCATTAAACATGAATTTTGTGAAATAATGTATATTTATTTTTTCAATAGAAAACACTTGCACATACCTCAGAAAAGAATGATGGAAGATCATACAGAAACGATAAGAATTGAAAGAGGAGGATCTAGACAAAGATGGATACTCAATTTCAAGCATTTGCTATTCAAGAAAGCTGAGCTGAAACATGAAATAACAGAGATTGTGCAGGGAAATAATGGAGCCATGTACTGGCAGGGAAACATTACAAAGGGAATACTCCAGTAATGTTGTGGGGTTTCACCTTGACCTGTCATTTAATTATTTGCTTCTTAGAAATGCTTCTTTGTCAATATGTAGCAAAAGATAAAATACTTGTGCTAAAGAGGTTTTTAACCAGTATGGATGCTATGTAAAAAAATGTAGACAGAAAGCTGTTTTTAAAGATTTGCCTCTTAATTATCTGTTTGCTTTTCAGAGTGCAGAACAGCATTGATGTTTCCTTAAGACAACCCAGGTAAAGATGAAATAAAGTTTCTCTCTGGGTCAGTGGTGGAGTTAAGGAGCAGTTGCCCCTCCCTTAACGAGTTGAAGCAAGTCTGGTGCCCCTTTTTGGAAATTGTGCACCCCTCTTGAAGGGTGAGAATCAGGTGAAAAAGTTTCTGAGACCGATAGGTTAATTTGCTTCAAGGATTACCTCAAAGTTATGTTGTTTATTCCAAAAATGGTTCTGAAATTTTTGCATACAGCGTACTTTTGACATCAATTTTTTAAAATTTTCAGTGCCCCCACTACCAACTGCCCTTCCTTCAAGTTTGCTCTGGATCCGCCTCTGCTCTAGGTGTCAACATCCAGTGGCTGGCAAGACTTATTGCCCTTGCAACCAATTCTTTACACCTGATTCGCCCTGAGCTCCTTTATTTGAGTAACTTAATATTCTCAGTTTGATCTAACGCCCACAGGGCTTACTAATTGCATGGAGAGATAAAGACAACATCAAAACTGATTTAAGGGGACCGATTACCACTAGCGCCAGTGAACGCTGAACACAGTTGTAAGCTCGTCAGTTCTAGGTCACTTTGGCAAGTAGTAAGTGCTGTTGCCTATATCATCTAACTAAAAGAGTTCCAGTGACAACAAACGATTTGTTTATCTTGGCCATACGTAAATACGTTAAAACCAACAATACTATAAACCATAAACTGTAAAATGAGAGAGAATTTTATACTGAATATCAAATGAAGGCAGTTAGATTCAGGGAAGCCAGTGTTTCTGTTTGACACAGGTAGGCTAAGCTAACATTGGTTGTTTGAAAGTATTTTTTACCCTTTTTCGTCAACAAGTTTGTTTACTTTAAATTAAAACTACAGTCATATTCACTGTTTGCTGGAAGCATATAACTAAAGGAAATTCTAGCTGCACTAACGGAAAAGTCATTGTTTTGAAAACTTACCACGATTGCCATTCCTGATTCAAAATTGTATAAACGCGCCTTTGCAACAACAACCAGCAACTACTCCATGTGCTTGACACCAAAATGCAAATAAAATGACGGGGTCAAAAAACTACCAACATTGAACAAAATTGATGGAATTTTTCTCATAATTCTGGAGAAATGTCAGAATTGGTTAAACTTTAATGAAAAACATGACTTCAAATGCTTTAATCGTCCTGATAGCATCCTTATAGTCCCGATATTAAGACTTTGACCCTCTCAACCATAGAAATAGTAGCGCTAGAATGCGTGGTCTATCACGTGACGCGTGCGAACTATGGGGAACCAAAATGGTAGCAACAAGTTGGCAAAAAAATACGCGGGAAATCACAGCGGACAGTATAGCCTACCCCTATCACCGTATACGCGCTTGAATTTCTAATTAATCTAATACACTGTTGCTAACATTGAATGATTAATGAACTTTGATAAAAGAAATGGTAGTGTCGTGAGCTGCTTTCGGCTGCCAGAATCGATGGATTCCTAAAAAAGACTTGCTTCCCGGTCAAACAAACACAAGTAAGTAGGCCCGTTGTGTGTACTGTGTTTCTCATTATTCTTAATAGGAATTTGAATAGATAAAAAATATCTTCCAAAAATTCTATGATACTTTCATTAAGTATTCGAAATGATTTTCATTAATGATATTTCTACTATGTTCACAAACAGACAGTAGGTACATAAAATCGGGAGGGCAGTGAACCAAATTAAAAGTCATCTTATGGTTCGTGGCATTAATTCTTCAAAGAGGGTGCAATAGGTGAATTTACTCGGATGCCGAAGATAAATTTTCCTACAATTTCTTACATTGTAGCAAAATTTCCTAACAAACTTTGGTGGAAGGGGGGGCATATAACGTATTCTTATGTATTTCAATAAATACATACTTAAATATGCGGAACAATATATCTCTTTATTTAATGAGTTTATGTGGAAATGCATAGATAGGTTAAATTTCCATTCTTATTCTGTTTTTTTATACAGGATTATAATAAGCAGGGGTGGGAGGGGGGGGGGTTGCGAAAAACTACTGACCTGAAGAAATACCATGGTATGTCCCTATTGGGTACTTTTTAACAAATAACCTAAATGCAAAAATATTGAAATAGCTCATAAGTGAAGCAATTAACCTCCTTGCTGAGAGAGGAGCTAAAGTTCATGCAGTCATCTTTGATGGTGCTCTTAAGAATGTTAGCATGGCTGAGAAACTTGGATGTGATATAAAAAACCTTTGCACATAATTTCCACATCCGTCAAACCCCAATGAAAAGATCTTTGTAATTCTTGATATCTGCCACATGCTGTAGCTTGCAAGAAATGCCTTTTCCACCATCAAGATCTCTTGTACCCCAGGAGGACAAAGAATATCTTGGGAGTATGTTCTTGCACTCTATAGAACACAAAAAAATGACATACTAAATCTTGCAAATAAACTTAAGACAAAGCATATTCAGTGGCAGAATCACAAAATGAAGGTCAGTGTTCAGCACAGATTTTAAGCCATTCTGTGGCATCTGCAATAACTTTTTTGAGAAATCTGGGGTTGCAAGAATTTAAGGACAGCAAAGCAACCAGCGACTTCATCCTTCTGATGAACAATATCTTTGATATGCTTAACTCAAAAAGTAAATTTGGAAAGCATACAAAGAGACCAGAAAACAACAACGCTGTTTACATATATTAATTTGAACTGGAAAAAGTTGATTCAAAACTTCGAAATTTTACCAGAGACCGAACGGCTGGGATTTGATTTCAAGGTAATTTAAGCAAATTTTGTTCCAAGTCTTGAATGCATCAAGTTTCAACAAGACTTTCTAGACACTGAATCACGCTGTTGTTGACACTTTTGTTAACCAGTAACTTCCGCGTTTCTGCTAGGCCAAAAACTTGAGGAATTTTTTTAAGTACTACTCAAAAATAATATCGCATACCCATTTATAATGGTTAAAGGTTGTCTAATAATAATGAACTTGAAATTGAATAAAGACATAATTAATTACTAAGCCGCCCTAGGAAAGGAAATTTGGTAAAGAAAGGAGTCCAAACAAAATACGAAGAAAAACCGTAAAACGACTCGCTGTGGCGTAAGGAAAAAGTAAAAACGTCCCTTACCTTCTTCTATTTTGGCGCTGGAAAGGTTTCATGAAATTTTTCTCCTCATATCACCACGCAGAATCGGTAAGTCCATAACTTCTTATTTGTGTACAACGTACGCCACAAAAGCTTTTTGCCAACATGTTGCTACCATCTTTGCTGCCCATTGGCATTACGCAGAAAACAATAGGCGAACAATAGAGCGCGCATTCTAGCTCTACTATTTCTATGCTCTCAACCATCTGATTCGAAGGATCAATTATGTTACGAACTGAAGAAAATTTATCCAATTATGTTGTGCATGCTAGAAAATTCATTGAATAATTTTAATCAAGCAATTAATAAAATCAGGAAATGTATATCACACATCCACAGATGGCAGCTTATTTTAAAGTTTAATATTCAAAAATAACTTTCAATATTTATACTGTTTTAACTGTTTTCCCTTTCATATCACTTTGGTGATATATCAAGCCTGGATAGTACCATTTTGGCATCAATAAATCTCAAAATCTTTAAGCTCTTTCGAATCAAAGTGGATAAAATAATAACGTTCACATTGAAATTTTTAACAATGCTCTTTCGATTTTTCTCTAAACAAATTTCTGATTTTTGACGAAATCTTATTGTATTGCCATCTTCCATAGCTTGTCATTCTGTTATACTTGTAGTTCTTGTTAGCTTCTATTGTTTTTGTGTTAAAGTCTTTTTTTTAAAAAGATAAAACATTAAAAACTTTTTGACCATGCTTTCGATCCGGTCATGGCCTCGATTTGAGTATTACATTTGTCCGAAAGAGGCTACCCCTAGATGACATAACTTTCATGTGGTCGAAAAAGTGAGCATGATAAAATGCATAACTTTTAATATATTTTAGTGTGAAAAATAATTTTAGATTAAAAATGTCTCAAGTAAAAATACGAAGTGTTTTACCTTTGCTTGACCGAGCAAGGATCCATCAAACTGGTCTTCACAAAATAGGGATTCCGGTAAGTTCATTTTATTTCATTTTCATTCTATAATATTTATACAGGTTAAAGGTTCATACATATGTTTTTCAACCTGACCTGTTTAAAAGAATAAAATAAGAGCTAATAACTATGTTAAAATACTAGTAACAAAAGAAATTTACCAATCAAACCTAATTTACAATATCTAATAATACTAAGGCTATAAAAAGTGAACGTAAAGATGAAATAAAAGTTGTCCCCGACTATAGTTGTTCTTTGAAGGTTTTCAGGGAGGGGGCCAATTTGGTAGCCCTTTCTAGATTATTCCACAGTTTTGGACCGCGATAAGAAAAAGCCTTTTGGCCATTTAAAATATTTTTTTAAGTTGGACGGCAAATTATGCTAGGCCTAAAAGTTTAACATTGAACACTATATTAATTTACTTTATAATGAAGAAATGCAGTATAAATATTAGTAATTATCATCTAGCCTTTGCTTTTTGATGAATACATTAAACATCACCTAGATGAGTCATGTAGACATGATCTAGCATCCTTGTCCGTCCGTGATCATAGCTTCTTTTTGCTTTTCTTGTTTATTGCTCGCCATACCAAATGTTTTTGACTAAATATTTTTAAGCTAAAAAAATATTTCAGCTTTTATGTTCGAGTCTACCTAATATCAGGGGCGCAAATTAAGGGGTGTATTGGTTGTCAAACCTCCCCCTAACATCCAGTATGCAGAGCATGGCAATTCCAAACAGGAGGATTGCTCGCCTGTGGCCGCACTTAAAGCTAAAGATCTATTAAATCATATATTTTAAAAGTTAATGATGCCTGTACATTTGCTAATTTAAAATGATTTTTGCTCACCAAAGGTTTTGTCAAATTGGTGATACTTTGCAAACTAGCTCAGTATCTCGACCCAGTCTGTTGAGGACTAAACTATAATTGTGAAAAGTCCATATGACTTTAGGAGGAGATGAGCCAGACTGAAAGGTTTATTCCACCCGTAATTTTTATCCTCCATTCCCCCTGGGCATTATTAAGAATCTGTCTTAGATTATGTTTATCTGGTCATGTTTCCTGCAAATATTCCACATTTAAACTTCTGACTTTTGATAACAAGAAAAAACAAAGAATGCAAGGTCTCTTCGAAAGCCTTTGCTTCAAATTCTGCACACGAATGTCTGTTTTCAGGCTCATAAAGAATCTTTCTAAAAAGTAATAGTATACAACATACATTTACTATCCCATTTCTTTTATCCAGCAGTAAATTGAATGCCTCTTTCAAATTACGTTGGAGCTGTCCACTTTCATGGTACCACAATCAACATCTCTTCTCCCAACAGCATATTTTTTAAGTTTTCATGCTAAAAAATTTCAGTGTCGTTGTAATGAGTATCTTGTTGTTTTTTTCTTTTTAGCTTTATCAAGCCTGTAGATGTTGCAGTTCAAATGTAGTAAGTTAAAATTTAGTACATTTTATGTTGTTAAATCATATTTTTGGAAAATTTTAAACATATTATTTTAAAGAAGCAGATCATGAATAAAATTCATTCTGTTAAGAAATAATACAAAACCTAATTTAAAATTTCTTCCACCATTTGTGTCAGTAAGCACATCTTTTTACCTCAGTGCAATAAATTATTTGATTCGTTTTGTAACAAACTCTAGTATCACATTCCCTAATGCTCACTGCATCAAGCAACATTTTGCTGCTACAATTTCAAAAAAGTCTAATTTTTTAATATTCTTTGGTAGCAATTCCATTATATCTATCCTGTTGACACTTTCATTAACTGTATCATTCTGATTTTATAGAAGCCCTTACTTCTATCAAATAGTCACTAAAAAACAGATTCCTATTGCAGTCCTTATTAGTTGTGTGATCGCCTCCACACATGCCTAAAACCCAGAGGCATGCTTTCTATTGCATGCATAGTTCCTCGTTTTGAATTACTATTCTTATCCTCTTTCATTTCTTTTAATTTCTTGTTTATTTTATCTAAAGTAATTTTTAATTTCTTTTGTGTGGGTTTTATTGATGGCATTTTTTATTTCCAGCACTCTGTGTTTGTATGTCTCCGTTCTCTCTCTCCGTTCTTTTTGTATTTTCTTGAACATATTACCACAGGCCACTCTGTTTTGGTTAAAACCATAACATAGGTGTTTCCATTACTCCATATTCATCAGGCCTGGCCATTTGAGGAGAGCCATAGCTCTTGCTCCCCTCCAGGCTCTCCTCAAATGCTGGAGGGGAGCTACAGATTGCTCTCCTAAATTGTTCTAAAAAGCAAATTTGCTCTCCTTGAAATCAATTTTTCCTTTGTTTCTATTCTTATAGCTCACCTGAATACTACTAGGAGAGCTGTTTACTGCTCCCCTGTTAAAAGTCTTACGGCCAGGCCTGATTCATCCATTCTCATATCCTTTGCTTGAGCTCTTTTTGAAACTGAAATTGAATGAGTCTGTTTTTGAAAGCCTCAGTCTTCACTGTTCCCAATGCATATTCAAGTGGGTTCGTTTTCGGATGACTCCATTTTAAACAGCGTTTTTGAATAACTTCTGTTTGGTATCAAATGAATCTGTTTTTGAGTATATAAATGGAACTCAAAATCTAAATCAGATTTACTTGAATCCCTTCTCGTATGGAAAGGTAGCAATGGCAACAGGGCCTAAAAAACCTGTATCCTTTTTGTTAATTTTGTTTTCAAGAAATATCTTCTAAAATACATTCCACAAAACTTTTTGGTTTTATGAAGCCATTAGCGGTTTTTCAAACAGTGATACACACCTTCTAATACAAAGATGACATCTGGTCTTCATAAGAATTGTAAGGTCTCCATTTTATGGATTGCATGTCATCGCAGGCCTAAACTTTTCAAGGCGTGTGATTACCAGCATGCCCACAAATTTCATATTACCAGGACTGCTATTGTAACTAATGTAAATAATAAACTTTGTTGAGAGGAAATACTTGCCATCATTAATTGTTGTCATTATTTAATCCTAAAAAATCTAAATACCAACATCAATATAATTTTTTAGTGTCTAGCTTGCCTCCTAATTAAGAGCATTGAAGTACACAATTACTCAAGAGACAACTAATTGAATTACACCCATACAATGTGTAGTTTTTGCATTTTCCTAATGATTATATTAGCTTGAAGCTCAGAGAAGCAACTTAGAACTATCCTGTTCTGTACACCAAAAGCATATAGAGTTCTGTCTATACAGCACTGAACACTTAATGACTGAGCACTTAATGACAGAGCAGTAAACAGTAATTTTCATAGACACTCCTATTAGATATAGACACACTTAATGTATCATTAACATTTTTTATAATATTTTCTTGTCCAGGCTGCTCCTTTCTCTTCTTAAAGCGGCATGAATGATTTTCAACTTTTTTGTCTATATAAATATACATATCTATAGTTATGATTAAAAACTCTACTATGATTTGCAGGTAGATGTTAAAAATATAAGAAACATTGGGATATCTGCCCATATTGACTCAGGAAAAACTACTCTGACGGAAAGAGTCCTGTTTTATACTGGAAGGATCCATGAAATGCACGAGGTATAAAAATCATTTTATTTCCTTTCCTTTATCATTTCAAATAATAACTGATATGCTCATTGGAAAGCATGGATTAATTTAAAGGTCTTTTGGATGAGCACAGCTAAGTTAAATATGAGAACAAGTCCGTAATTTCGTTAATACCCCTACATAATAGACAGGGAATTTTGCATAACCTTCTATCAAACCAAAATTTTTTAAGTTTAAGTCATGAAAGTAAAGGCCACTAATCATCTTAAGTCTGGTACACTCCAGCAAATAACCGAAAGTAATGTTTCAGAAAGCGTGAAAAATGCACAGTCAGCAAAATATTGACCTGCAAATTTTTCAAACCTGATGATTTTAGCAGAAAGATCTTGCAAAACTGAGTAAAGAGTACTCAAACATCATTGATTTCTGGCGTAATTTGACAAGCTGAATAGAATAAGATGGAACTCCAACTTTAAAACATGATCAAAAGCTATTTTTAGACTTTGGTACTTGTGCCCAAGCTGCTGTTGGGTATCGCAGTATAACCTTATAACTATGCATGTTGTACAACTGAAACTTTGTTTTTGAAGGTCAGTTTGTATATTCTAAATTTGTTTTTCTATATTACCGTTGTTTTTTTCAATTTATGCAACAGGATAAAATATATCAGCAATCATAACTATGAAACATTTAGTGTTTGAGCTGCATAAAAAGTCAAGGCACGCCATTCAAACTAACAAGCACCTATTTTGGTTGACAAGGCACGTTAAATTAATGCCTGTTGGGAGGATAAACTGTTTTCAATAATTAGGTTATGTTCAGGCAAAATAATCAGGCTTTACAAACAAGATCAAAAATATTTGAAAAAATTCTTTTTGGTAGGAGATACAAATGTGTGGCAAGTTGTTATGATATATTCCAACACGGTAAAGTTTTCTGCATGAATAGGTTCTTAAGTATTGAAATTCACCCTAAGAAATTGTATTAATAATGATTTTTCTTATATTTTATGGTCTTGAAGTTCTGAAATGCAATTAGATTTTTTCATATGCATATACTCTTCAATCAGATCTGCCTATCAGACAGAAGAATTAAGATGGGCACAAAATAGTGGAAACGTAGCATAATTTCTGAAATTCTCTTTGTCTGACACTCTTCAGGGTATGGCTGAAAGTAAAGCTATTTCATGCCATCTTTAATTTTGTGGTACCAGGAACTTATTTGGTAATTGATTAAATCAATTACTGAATATCCATTCCAATATATAAAGCAGTGCTAATTTCGTTCAGCACAAGATACATATCTTCAAAGCAGGTCTTTTGAAATGTCTCACCTTTCATGTCTGTTTTTTTATATCGTTCACCTTTCTAACTTTCTGAATCAAAGGTTAGAGGCAAAGATCAAGTAGGAGCAACCATGGACTTTATGGAACTTGAAAGGCAGCGAGGAATAACCATTCAGGTAGCTTCAAGAATGATTTTCCATCCAGTAGCTAATGGCTTTGGGATCAATGACATTTCTTGTGAAATGCAGTGAACTCCAGTTACCATCACACCAAATGTTGCTTGAAAAGTTATATAAAAGAAAGGAGTTCTACTCTAAGCAGCTATATTGAACAATTTTGTGCATTTGGGTCTAAATTTTATGTGACTGTATGATCTTAAGAGAAGTGGCTAACGCTAAAGTTGGAAGTTGATAGCTTATCATCTACCAAATTCGTATTGAAAATAGAAATAATTCAAAGTGGAATACCATTTATCAAAGTGTTTGTGATTGTTAATTATTCAATGCATATGCAAAGCTCTTGTGTGTAAGATTATGATTATACATTGCAATAACAGTTCCATGTATTCAGCTATGGCCATCCCTAGGATTCAAATCCACCTCTTGTTCAAACTTTATTTTGATCGCTATTTGATATGTTATTTCCGATTTCAATGCCCTTTCAGTCTGCAGCTACATTTACAACTTGGAAAGATATAAATATTAATCTTATAGACACACCCGGTAGGTAATAGTTACTTTTCAAATTTGAGCATAAAGATTAATTTACAGCCTGGTTTGTGTCCAAATGTGTTTTATGCAATCAAAAAGTTTGAGTAGTAAATTAAAGTTTATAGAATGCAAAGGTCTATTTTTTGAAAAATGACAAAATAAAACTTCAATTATTTCATAATATTTTCAACCGTTTTGTTATATTGTTTTTCTATTAAAACATTTCCAATGCCACCCCATAGGAGGTTAGGGTCAAGTTGTTGATATGCGTTGCGTAGTTTCCAAAGGGTGGTATTCCTGGTTTTGATAGGCCCAAATCAGAAGGACAAAAATTGATCCAAAACAGAAGGATGTTTTTAAAAATATTTGCAATTGCTGATTGGTAGAGGAAATTACCGAATACTGATTTATGAATGCAAATTGTTGTTTTTTTCGAATGACAACCCTAAATGAATCTGTTATCTTATCCTACAGTTTTTGCCTTTCAAAATTAAACCAATACCAATGTATATCCTTTCATGCCAGGAATCTTTTTGCAGGACATATTGATTTCACTGTCGAAGTAGAGAGAGCCCTGCGAGTTCTGGATGGAGCTGTTTTGGTACTCTGTTCTGTTGGAGGAGTTCAGGTATTCAGTAATCTGTTTTCTGCATATATAGATATTAATCAGAATGGCCAAATGTGGCTATGTCCTGAGATCCAATGATGATGGGGATCTTAACTACAGTTTCCTCAATTGCATATTCCTACTTGGGACGGTCACCTTTTATGTATGTTTGTTTATAGCCAATCGACGTGCTTTACAGGATTCTTTTTGTCTTTCTACTTACTTCAGATTAGTTTCCATAGGCCCAGTTCGCTCAAACTATTAAAAGAGAACAAAACACCTTAATTTTGTAGAATTAGCATCTTTCTGTATAAAGAACATATTAGCTTCATTAACAGAACCCTGCTTTGTGTTAGCAGCTAAGCTATTTCATTTTTTTAAAGATCAGTTTACCAAAGCTTTCAGGGAATGTTCTTAACTGCAGTACTTTTATTTTCTTTTTACAAAAAGTTATGACCATTTCTTTAAGCCAGCCTCTCCTTTAAAGTCCACCAGTATAAATATGTTTTAATTATCTCTAAGAACCTAGCAGTTGTCTGCTTGAAAATTTGTATAATTTGTCAGGTTTGTTGCTCAATTTCAAAGTAACCAAAAACATTTTGAGCCAAGGTAATTTTGTTTCGTTGTTTTTAATATTGTGGCAGGTTTATTTTTCTGGGCAATGGTTATTAAGATCAGCCTTCAACATTGCCATCTGACAGTAAAAATGAGCAAAGATCCCGTATTCTGCCTGGCAGAATCCTGTTAAAGGTGCTTCTTGATAAGGCTTAGAGGTAGAAATGCAATATTTTTCAATCAGAATGTGTGATTGAAATACATTAGAAATTTGTTCTTCTGTTGTTTTTCAGAGCCAAACCTTGACAGTCAACCGGCAAATGAAACGATATAGTGTCCCGTGCCTTGCATTTATTAATAAAGTAGACAGGTATGTATTTGTTTGGTTAGCAAGCCCGGTTTTGTAGTGGTTAATTGGATTTCCAGATCTCAATGCTATTATGTCTACAGCGAGCTTATGTAGAATCAATCGACACCAGCCTTATTTTATTTACTTAAAGTTATAATCAACTGACGTATAAGTACAATGAATCAAGCATATATGTAAGAAGAAACCGTGGCCCTTGTTTTACTTGCCAAAGCCATCGGCTTAAGCCAGTGTAAATTTGTTCGCCTTTTTCAAAGAAATGTATTTTGAGAATCGTTTTCTTTTTGAGAAAACTTAAGTAGAATTCTTTTAGCAGTAGGTTATCAGATACCATTGCTGATGAAACTCTTGCCAACAAGACCACTGTCTCAAAAATCAAACCTTTCTGTATCATTCAGCAAACGAAATTCTCCAAGGATACTGCTTTGTTGGAATAGGATCTTCGTCTAGTACTGTGGTACTTTAGAGAATTCGTCTGAATAACAAAACGCTCTGAAGGCCAATATTACCTGAAATTTCTGCCTTTTTCAATTCCAGATTAGGTGCCGATACATCGAGAGTTCTTTTACAAATGAGGTAAGATAAGGATTGCTTCAGCTGATGTAAAGCTAGCTTCAAGTTTCGCTGATAGGATTACAAGAAATAATGAACAAATCATGCTTTTTATCTATGATATACAGTTTCACAGGCGTTGAGGAGCGACTTGAGGAGGTCCTTATTTTTCGTTAGTATTGTTTCGACAGTCATAGAATAATACACGATATTGAAGCAGAAACCTTGAAAATCGTGCTCATTCACGCTGGATAGAATGTGGTAATATAAATTCTTCAAAAATTGTAATAAAACCTTTTTGCAATCAACACCATCAAATATAAGATTTTTTTGTTAGAGGTGCTTTTTTCTTATGATTTCTTATCTCGATCACATTTAAAATATTCAAAACTGGTGCTCGTACATTTATGGAAGGCACAAAGTAAACTTCCAACACTTTAATAACGATTCTTCTTCCATGCTCTTTTCCAGAACGAAGTTACGTCATAATGCTGCCTTGCTACAATTACCCATTGGCCTCGAGTCAGCCCACAAAGGCATTGTGGACTTAATAAAAAGAGAGGCTGTGTACTTTGACGGAAGCTTTGGGTACGTTTACCTTATTGATCGGTCTACAATCAGCAAAAAGTCCGAGGTCTTCCCGGACCAAAGAGAATTATTCAGTTTTCGATTATTTCATCAGTTGGTGTGAATTGCTTTAAGCTCAACACTGCGAGTTGAAACAGTAATTTTACCAATCCAGTTACAAACCTAAAACGTTTATAAAGCCCTTTCTCATCCTTTGCAGTTACATTAGCAGCCCCAAAGCAAACGTTACAAAAAATCGAAAAAAATGCTTGTCTTTAGTTTTCTATTGCACTGAAAGCTAGCTATGATATTGATAACAAAGTGTACTGAGATTTGATTGGTAAAGGAAAATCATTTATCAAATTATCCTGCTTCTTACATTTTTACCAACACTTTTTAAATGTCTGTTGGCTTTCAGTGAGTAAGCAAATTTTTTAGCTATTTGTATTTTCAGTCTGACTGCAGCCATGTTTTCCAAAACCTCATTAATCCTTTTAGACTGGATATAAGAAAGGATGAAGTGCCTGCCAATATGAGAGCTGAATGCGGAGATAAAAGAGCTGAGCTAATCGGTATGTTATTTGCGTTCGATTCTTTTTGTCTGTTTATTCTGATTTCTGATAAACCATTGTTTTTGCTTTCAATGTTGCTTCAGTACCTCATGGTACTTCCAGCACTCATTTTGCTTTATGCATAAAATGGCCTATAGCCCTGCATTTTTAAGTTAAGAACACAACACGTAGTAATAAACTGTTGCAAAGAAATTTTATTGTGCAGTGATAATGTCGCTGCACTGATTGATTCCAAACACAATATAGTCAACTCCTCTGAGCTCTGCCTTTGTTTTGCGGTATAAATATGGGAAGAATTTTGTTGCAGCATTCAGTGAAAAAAGGAATACTCTTAAAGCTTCAGTAGGCCGCCTCTTAAAGAGAAATATGACATATTCAGTCGGATTATTTGACGAATGAGTAGGCTTCCTCGTATTTGATTAGCTGATTATAGTTTAGCGCTTTAATATACGCCTAACTCGTGCTCAGAATTAGAAACTGGTAGGAAGATTATTATCGTAAATCCTCGAAATCGCTTTCTTTGGGCTTGCTAGTCTTAGATGGGGCTAATTCAAGGGGGGGATCTCAGCGCTGCCATTCAAATAGCTCCTTTGATAGCTTCTTATCAGTTTTCAATTTAATTTCATCTGCAATTATACTTAATTACTCTTTCTCAAATATGAAACCAAAATATAAATAAAGGCACAAATAATATTTTAGTCCAAATATTGATATCAATGCCCCTTTTCTGGTCTTTTCATTCTCCGCTGAATATGTTATTAATCAAATACTAAACTGGTGGATTTTTCTACTGTATCTCGATTGAGCCCCCAAAATTGGCTTGTTAGGCTTGGGCTTATTTTTAGGTGGAGCTCATTTCAATTTTAACTTCCAGGGTGATGGCTTGTTCGAGGGAGGGGGGGCATTTTGAGGATTTCGGTATTTTAAGATTTGTGTTACAAGTATTCATTGCTTACTGGCATAGGGATTTTAAATATGTTTCAGTTAATTTTCAGCGTACAGGACAGGTAGCAGATTGCTCTCGTGTCATGAATTTACCTTTCAAGACTTTTTATTCAAGTTTTTTTTCTGCTTGCAGAAACAGTGGCAAACGTGGACGAAACACTCGGTGAAATTTTCCTTGAAGAAAGGGAACCAACGGAGGAAGAATTGAAGGTGATAATTTCATGATTTTGGGGACATTTAGAGCTGTATACATTTCGTAACAACTTAGACTCTTTCAACTGGTTCACTTTTTCTACAAGGGCTACAAAAAACATTCTTATGCTTTGGTACCACATTTTTAACTAAATATATCCTGCCAATGTTTAGCCTGCCAATGATAGCTTTTATACCATTCTTGCTTTCTATGATCGCCGGTTGTTGAATAGTGCTCGGAAACAGCGTACCCATATTCCTTTGTATTGTGCTGAGCTGTATTTGCACGTAGATGTTGTTTCAGCATTGATCCGAACGTGTAAGATACTATGTAAGATAGATACGGTTTACATGTCATCTCTTGTATCATTCTGCATTGATGAGTTTTACGATATCGTCTTTCGATGCTCCCTCTTTTAAAGCAAGTATTGTATGAACTAAGCCGATCCATTCAAATACGTTAATATTTTGAATCTTGCCAAGAAGATCAACTAAAAGTAGTTTATCTAAAACATTCCAAGTTCCATTGATTATAATGGGAAAAATTTTTGAGCTGATAATTATGCAATTTTGCAACATAAAATAATTCAATAAGCACTTTCTAGGTCCCACTGTGTTTAAGCCACAACATTTTTCAATGACATTATTTCATCACTTTATCTTCGAGTCTTCTTGCACTCAGAAGTAATATTTCTAAGCTAGAAAAAAAGCAGAACCAAATCGTCACATACAAGTACCATGCATGCCGTAGTGCAGTGCAAAATAATATGGGTCCGCTTTTTGTGCTATCTTATCTAAGCTTTGCTTATGTAGTATTTGTTTTACCAACAGGCTGCCATCAGACGCTCTGTTATCCAAAGAACTTTTACGCCAGTGCTGCTAGGAACGGCATTGAAGAATAAAGGTGTTCAGGTAATAGTTGGCGGAAATAATTAGGCCCATGTCACGTGGACCCCTTAAACTGTTGTCGTCAGATTCAAATCTAGCTCAGTTTGTTCCTAGGCTGCATGTAGGATGATGTCATAGTTTATCTCTCAGGGTATTTCAAGTTACCAGTATCATAGCTGATGACGTCAGTTTGGTCATGATTTCTATAGACCAAAGACTGTGCTCTCGGTTCATTATTGGCTAGAACTAAGATCCTTTTGAACCAGTCCAGTTACTTAAGTTGAGCACGTATGAATTGCTTGTTCTTGCCCTTGCATTTGCTCTGAGCACAAGATAATCACCGGCTGATACTAAGTTTCACTCTCGTGATTAGAATCACGTAGATTAAAGATTTTTTCCGCAAAGGCCTTCTGGAATTTCTTCATGATCTATTGAATGTGGCAACGAAGCGTTGACCGAATAAGGTTCGCAGTTGTGGTTAATCGAAGGAAGTTATGTGATGGGAGTTATACTGACCTTGCTTTAACCATCAAGTCATACAATTCAAGTCATACATGTCAATTCAATTCTGATAAAAATTTAATTTACTTGAGTGTGTTGGACGTAGTTTTCGATAAGATGCAGTGAATGAAAGTCACAATAAGTAGCAAATCCCACTAACCTAAGAACAGATAACAAAATTTACGTGGTGTGTGAGTGTGTTAGTGCATTGCATTTTCATTTTTTACCGCTCATTCTTGTGTGCTCCAACAAGGACCCCTTACCCCATGATGTATACAATGTTATAGGAAGTATTACTATTTAATATATACACACTATATAATATATGTGTATATTATATTTTGCTTATCTAAAATATCCTAATGTATACAATATTATTTAATATCACATAAAAATTATAAACTTGAATCGATAAGTATGTAGTATAGAAAGCATTAAAGTATGGGGTATATATAAAAATTGAGACGAATATACCACGTAGTTCTATGTTTTTGCCATTTTCTTATAGCCTCTTTTGGATGCAGTGGTAGATTACCTCCCAAATCCAACAGAAGTGAACAATTATGCCCTTGATATAGAAAAGTATGATTTGTATTCGTAATTATTCCATTTTTCATAATTTTTCTCTCTTTGTGCTTCTTCAATCAATCAATTATACAGTATATAGATCATTTGTTTATGTTGCTTGTTAGATGTGATTAATTTGTTTGTTTACTTTTTCCATGACGCACATTTTATACTGCATAGTTAACTGTACGATATTAACAGTTCACATTTTTGTTTGAAGTTTGTCGTTAACAGTTTGTAGTTATCAAGTCAAGGTTCATGTTTCATTATTTTCTTTATTTATACATCAATTGTCGGCCGATTACGGGCCCTTCACTTTTTCAAACGTTTTTATTTTATTAAAGTAATTTGAATCTTATTCGGTCATATTTTGCAGAGACGAAGAAAAGGTTCTTCTAGATCCTGCAAGAAACGATGCCAAGCCATTATTAAGCCTCGCTTTCAAACTGGAGGTAAGTACTCTCAAATTCATTTTTAATCCGTTGTCGTCAAATTATTATGGAAGATTGTTCGTTGTAGAGTAAAATAAGATCTTCTGTTTATTCTTTGGACTAAAGTTTCAATAATTGATTACTATTGGATCCAGTTTTCACCTTATACTGTTTGATTTATCGACTTGCTAAGAGGGTATGTAATTGCTACTTGATCTGAGAGCACCCTTGTACCGTTCGCCAGCACCCTTGTACCGTTCGCCAGCAGCTCTTCAAGGCATGCCACGCCCTTATTAAATCACACCCCTTTCGAATGAAAAAGATTATGGGGATTCTCTAGATAGGACACCAAAGACGCAAGAATTTAGTTCCCCGTATAATTCCATCTTTATTTAGAGCTTTAAGGGCTCTACCGAGTGACAAAAACGTCACCATGATTCTTACAGTGTTTCCTATTTGGAGCTTTGTGCTTCCAATTATTTTTCTACCAATACATCCAATTCATTTTTTTCCAATACTAACCTAACTTTTCTCAGTCTCTTAGAGTGCCTTCACGATAACGTTCTCCATCATTCTTTTCAACCTTTTCTCTCGATTTTGTCTCTGTTTAGGCTGGTAAATATGGTCAGCTAACTTATATGCGCATTTACCAAGGACAGCTGAAAAGAGGCCAGTTTATAGTGAACACGAGGACAGGCAGGCGAGTGAAAGTTCCTCGGGTAATTCAAATGCATGCTGACCAAATGCAGGTTTGTTCTCGATACCTTGGTTCAGTTTTTGCGAATTCTTTTATATTTTCAAAAATATTATCTGCTGTTGTAGCTCTAAAGAAAAATAGCTGTTATTTTGTACATGAATATAAGAATAAAAACGCTGGAAAAAGCCCATTATCTGAACGAGTGTGGCACATTCAAATTCATCGGTTCTGCTTCCATTTATTCAATTCAATTCAATGGTTTTTCTTGTACACAAGTATCGTCGTTTTTCCAGGATATACAAGATGCTTATGCAGGTGACATATGTGCCTTGTTTGGTGTTGAATGTTCATCGGGAGATACGTTTGTTTCTGAAGGCGCACCTTCGCTTTCGATGGTATGCTTTTATGTGTTTTTTGCTCAGTTAGCTTGCAAATGTTGATGTTCGGATTAGAGAATAATGGTTAATTTACTCCATGATATTGATTCATGCAGTCTGTTTATTTCCAAGATTTTTAATCTTCTGATACTCAGGAACTGATTTGTATCATAAAACCGGCATAAAAACCCAGGTGTGTAGAGCTAAAGGGGAGCTCAGAGTAGCTTGATAGGTACCCTAGGTACCAGACTCACTCAATGTAAAATAAGAGAGAGTCTGGTTCAGTGCACCCCTTTTCTCTTTTTGTTGTGCCAATATTAACCAATCAGGAGCAAGTGTACAGATTTCTATACGTTCAAAGGTTACAGCGAAACAATAAACGCTGAACAGAACACAACATAAATTAATGCTGGCAACAGTAACGATTGAGTCTGAAGACGCTGTTAAACTGTCTTTAAAGAATATTTTCCGCATGATGTGGAACTTAACACAGAACAGTTGGCAGCATTGAAAGCATTGTTTGTAGAGAGAAGAGACACCTTCGCCATATTGCCAGTTCGGAAAGTCTCTTATATTTCAGGCAGTGCCTCTCATTGCAAGGAAACTAGGCCTTGTAGTTAAATGTAGTAAATAAGGAACACCGCAAGGCGCCGAGAACAAACAACAACAAACACACGTAAACCAGTTGTGGCTAATATTTCGCCCCGGCATACGGGGCTTCGCTTGACGTATTGGCCATAATTCTGTGATGAACTTCAAACGTGCTGATGAAAGAGGTATCCAAGCGCTCTGCCTTCACAATGAGGAAGAAGACTTTGGAAGTACACACAATTTATGAGGAAAATTACAAAAAACTTATTTTAAGTTTTATAGGAAGTTTATTAACGATAAATATTCTATAACTGCATTGTGCTAACTTCAATTTCATGCTTCGCGCATGTTTTTTGTTGCCAAATGGCGTTTTACACCTGATTTGATTGGAATCTTTAGGCAGAGAAGTATATTATTTTTGTTCTAATAATCTCGACTTTAAAGAACTATATAAAATACATTTGCTTTAAGATTTCCCAAACTTCACTGAGTATGTTTATCTGACCATCTGGTTTACAGGCCTAGTTTCCAGTCTGTTAAATTGACTAAAGTTCTATCAAATGAGTCCACCGGAACCCAGACGCACTGAACCAGACTCTCTTATTTCATATAAAGCGAGTCTGGCACCCAGGGTACTTGATAGGCCTCTTGTCAATGCCCCTTGTCGATGCCCCTTGTTGATGCCGAAAGGTAACCTCTTTATACTTGTTGCTATTTTTTGAGACAGTTTTCACGATGGCCTCTCTGTTCTATTTTCACAGCACTTCACCTCAGTTAAAACCTTTTTTCCACCTTTTCTCTGTTAATTGTACCGTACATTTTTCAGTTCAAGGGCTCTTTAAGTCTAATTAACAACATTATTTCCTTTAAGGATTCCTTGCCGTTTATAAAGAATCTATTCCCTAGGCAGTAAACGAAATTTCTTGAAATCCTTAGGCTACTCTACTGTACCAATCATCGTAAGTTGACGCTCAATTACCCACGTGCAACCAATTCTTATAATTTTTAGAATCATGTTGACCCCATAGAGTTCAATCCTTTTGAGACGTGCCGTGAATAACTTGGACATTCACTAAGTTGGATTTATTTTCCATCCCCGTTGGATTTTCCTACCTTATTCGAGCCAAAACTCGTAACCCGGAAAAGTCAAATATTCGTAACTCGGATCATTCCCTTACACGCCTTGAAGATCAGGCATAATGGGATTAAATTGTGATCAAGATGTACATTGATTACAATAATTTTCTTCTAAAAATTTCCTGATTTCTTGTTACTAGCTTTGGCCAACCATCTCCTGCGAGAGGCGCTGCGGACCCTTATCAATCCCTGCTATGTAATTTTTAACTTGCTTCCAGCTTCTACCCTTAAACCTGCACCGCCTGATATTAAACATTCTAACATTACTTGAACGTGACCTTTCTTCTCATAGGAATCAATATTCGTACCGGACCCGGTCATTTCGTTAGCTGTCGAACCAAAGAACAAGGTATTTTACCCTTTGTCACCTGTGTTACCCTGTATTTTACTATGGTTGTCCAAAGCAGCATTTAGTTATACAATCGTGTGTCAATGCGCAAAATTTTATCAAAGTAATTTTTATGTGCCTTCCTTCTAGCAACATATTCTTCATTTTGTCTTAGTAATTGTTAAGCTTTCTCTGTCGTCGGCTGATCCCAGTTTTTATAAAGCCGATGCTCTCTTACTGTGTTTTTCTGTTTAATTCTACTATTGAAATTAAATATCAAAGCAGAAAATTGTAAATCATAAACATTATGACTTGCTTTAAAAGCTTTGACCATTGATCGTTTATTACCATTTTTTAGACTGATGTTGAAAATTTTTCGAAAGCTATCAATCGTTTTACCCGAGAAGACCCAACATTTAAAGTGCATATCGATAAAGAAAGTAAAGAGGTAAGTAGCTACATCGTGTAGTCATTTTCATTATTTTTATTGGAAACGATTCAGCATTGTATAAGACTAGGTTATTTGACAAGAGAGTAAAAGAAATAAGTCACAATGGTTTTATTAATATCATCAGTGAAGATGAAATATTGATAGAAAATTCGATTGACAAGATTCGAATTATAAAGATTCGTATTTGACTGTAGAAATACTTTAGCATTAAAGAAGACACAGCTACGTAACAAGAAGTAATAGAAGCAAATCTGAGTGATTTTATTAATGTCACCAATGATAATTCAATTGACAATAATAGCAAACATTGGTATTTGTACTGTAGTAATACTTTAGTAAGAGAACGTTTGGTGAATAAGCATGTTTTTTGTCATATTCATAATAACATATAAGGAGAAATGAAAAGAATATGAATTCTTATTAAGCATTGTGAAATACTGCATAACTGACAAGTTGAAATATTTTCTAGACATTTGGTATCTGTATGATTTTTTGCAGACTATTATTTCTGGAATGGGTGAGCTTCACCTGGATATTTACACTGAAGTAAGTTTTTTTCTTTGCCTTCCTCTAAATTTCCATGCTGGCTGAGCTGATATGTGATTTAAGGCTTCAAAAAGACATGTCTACGTGCTTATAACCTTGATAATGAAACACTAGACGGCCATTTCTAGTCAAATGTTTTGTTCCATGTTTTAGCGAATGAAATCGGAATACAACTGCCCTGTCCTTACTGGGAAGCCAAAGGTTGCCTTCCGTGAAACTATAACTGCACCCGCAAGGTATTTCATCGTTTTTTGCTTTTTGCTTTCGAATATCACCTTTACAATTTAATTAGTTCTTGTTGCTGCCTTGTTGTTGTTGCTGCCTTGTTGTTGTTGCTGCCTTGACGTTGTTGCTGCCTTGTTATTGTTGCTGCCTTGCTGTTGTTGCTGTTGCTACTGTTTTCTGTTAGGGTTTTACTATAAAGTGAATATAATTTTTTTTTTCTCTGTCTCACACAAACTTTCTAAGAGTTCATCTTTTCCCTCATATTTTCTTCATTGTCTAAATATATGCCTGCCATTGACACTGAAGGTGCTTCACACCATTAATAGACCTTACGCTCAACCAGATTTTTAGCATGAAATTCATTAACCTACAATCTTGAACCTGAGCAGCGTTGTCTAATATCTATGTTTTTTGTCAGTTCCTTTGCTAATGATAGCATTGATTTCCCATGGCACTTTTCAATTGTTACTGTTCTGTTTTACCTTGTTTTTTTCTCCTTTTAGTTTTGATTACCAACATAAAAAGCAGACAGGAGGCTCGGGTCAGTTTGGTCGTGTCATTGGAAAGTTAGAGGTATGTTTATTTCTTTAAATGAGAGTGTGGTTGATAAACGCATAGCTGTTGTATGTATTTCAGAAGTTTTTTATTGCTTTTTAGTTCGTTGTTGCTTCCTGCTTAGAAAGTACCTATCATAGTAGGTATTAGGGGGACTGTTTCTGTTTCTGAAGTATCGTTATTGCTGCCAGTAAACAACGAATAAAGTATGATATTTGGCAGATGAAAAGGAAAAACTGTCCCTTTCTCTGTCTCTTAGACAATATGTACTTTATCAAGCTAATATTCCGAAGAGTTCTCCATTTTTTTATCTTGAACTACCTTTCCCAAGGTTAATTTTCAGTATCTCTGTAATTATGCTACATATGCACCAGCTTTTAATGAGAGAGAGGGTGGATGTTAGACTATGCGGATATGTGACTGGCTCGTGTTAAGAAGTTTGTTTTATCAGCTTTTTGATTGTCAAACAAAGTTGTAGATACACTAACGCCAAGCAACAAGCAAGATAATTTTCTTGCAACAAACTGGTGTCATATTGGTGGTGTAACATATATAAAAGACATTTCAATTCGTAAAATGTTTAAACCACTAGAAAGTGCATTACATTCGTTGCACTCGATGTCAGTCATCGAGATAGACCATCCTTCGTATGCCGCTTTTTTCTTACCCCCTGAGTTATAATGTAATTTTTCTCGCGAACATTTTTAAGTTTGCAATTTGAGTACATATATTGATAAGATAGAAACGAGGAAAGTTAATTACAAATATTCTCTAAAAAGACTTGAACTGATAACTTGAAAGTTTTCATCTAGTGAGGTCATAAAATATCCTAGAAACTTGTGTAGCGTCATCACTGTGATCTTTGTTTCTTTTGTGAAAAATTTCCCGTGTGTTCAAAATCTTTTAAGGGGCTACCTTAGGCTATTGATTCTTTGCCGCCACTGTAAATATCTTCTGATAAGTCCCACGGCTTTAAATATCAAAGAATTTTGTTGACAATTCAACAACTTTGAAAATTTTCCCTTTAAATTTGTAAAGAAACGGTTTATGATAATAATATTAAAAGCAATAAATAATAAACAATTTATTAAAATTTGAAAAAAAGACAATAGCGGTAAGCTAATTAAGGCCAACTATACAAAATTTATTCAAAAGTCTTATACAAAAATAAAATTTTACACAATTTACAGCTGCACTTTGGTTTTTGTAGCAAGCTAGTTGACTGCAGTTTAGTTTATGTAGCCAACTTGAAGGACCATTAGGGAAACAAGGTTGTATTAACATTTGAATTGCTATCCCTGCAATCCTTAGCCTGGGGTGTTTTTAGACCACGTTTTTAGCTTCCACCTGTACATTTTCTATATCTGTAATTAGATCAAATCCCTTTTCTTAATTTTAAATTGTAATTTATTTGGATGGCAAAATTATACATAAATACATACATTACTAATCTGACGTGAAACATTAATGACAGTCCGGTTTCAAATACAACATGAAGGCAAACCGGTTTCAAAAACTTGCTTGGAGTGCACACTCTCCTAAAAGATTCCAGTCGTTAAACTGCCATGATATACAAAGAGTTTTACGGTTTCAGTAATTTCTGGCAATATTCAAAGCTGGTCCTTAAACTGCCGTTCTACATTTCGGTTTCGGAATCTAGAAGTTCTGTCGGATTTCAAAAATTTTCTCAGTGTTGGCGATATTGAGTCTTCTTCTACCTTGTGTGTTGCCATTTTCTTTCCTTGAGCCTTATTAACGAGAAGTGTATATTTTTACTTCTTGTAAACAAGAGAGGCTACTGTTGCTTAGATTAGCAAAACCATACATCTAAATACCAAGCTAAAATGCATTTTCATGACGAGGTTTTGATTCCATCTCTATAGAGAGTGCCTTCGTACGCTGACTGTCCTACCCTTTCAGCATAGTTGACCAATATGGCCATTTCTCTTCTGTTTAGGCATGATTTTTGGCTCCTTCGTGTTATATAACGGTTTCATGAAACCAAACGAAATTTGTATCCAAGGCTGACAGAGAAGTTAAGCAGTTAGCAGTTATCTTAATTCCTTTGAGATAGCTTTCTCGCTACACTAAAACCACTTAAACCACACTGTATCACATTGGTATGTGTTGCTCAGTTAAACCTTAACGAAAGTCTTCAACAAGATCACAGATAAGATGAGAATGTAGCTCCCGCTGTCCCTCTTGTCATGTCACCTGCTTGCCCTCAATTGATCTTAACTGAAATTCAAGTGAAACTGTACTGGCTTTTCGGATAGCTTTAGTTTCTAAAGTGGCTTTTCAGTGAAACATAACAATGAAAACTGGTGCAAAATCGAATAGCTATCAGGTAGAGGGCGTACCTTGACTAGCATCGGCTAAACTCTCAGTGTGGAAGATTTTATATTTTGCAAAACTTTATGTTTCCGCCAGGATCTTAGTTAGGTCTTTTCATAGATGGCGCCAGCACTGAAAGGTGGGTATATCGAAGCTTCCATTTCGACAACTCAGGGCCTAATCTGTTACAAACTGCTACAATTTCAGCAGATTCCGGAGTTTTGTACTAAAGTTGGTTTAGAAGATTTTAAACATTGTCTTAGATTCATTATACATTGAAGGGATAAACAAAAATATTTTTCGGAAGAAAATTGTACCTCTAGTTCAGTGGCAACATTATTGTTATGTATCTATAATGTTACCAACGAGACTACGACTGCGATCTTGGATACACGTAAGCTTCATTTGTCATGATTTGTTTTAGGGGATGTAAAAGACTATTCTTTGAAAACATGCTCTCTACAAACTGGATTCATTTACAATGCCATCCAAAATTACTTGGAAAACCCAGCTATTTGATTTTTTTTCCCGAATGCTACTACTTCCACCTCTCTTTTTCCCCTTAAAAAATTTTGATAGTCTAGACAATATCATACAAGTCTCAAAAAATTGTAATCCCCAACCTCCTTTTTTTATATAAAACTAACATTTTTGCAAGAGGAAGGGCGATGGATCTTGAAAGCAGACATTGGTGTTCTTTCGAGGCTTTTGGCAGCGATTGTATCTTTGAAATAGAATCTAAAGCTGCCAAACGGATCCACATTAAGACTGTTGTTGAATGTTCAAACATGACAATGCATTTTGTGCCGTTATGTGATTAACAAAAAGTTTCTAAATCCCACTTTGCTGTCTTTGTTGCATTAAACTATATTTAATAGGGCTTCTTCACTTATATGATTTCGCGTATACAATTTACCATAAGTTTAAACTTTGGCTAATTTATCCCAGGTGCTTCCAGTTGAATCCCTCACTCATCTGGAATTCGTAGACGCAACAGTTGGGATGAATATCCCAAAATCATTCATCCCTGCTATCGAGAAGGTTGGTTACAATAGCCTGTTCAGAGTTATTATTTAAACAATCATGTTTCTCTTTGTAGTTTATTAACTGCTTACCTTGCATGTTAAGCAACATAAAATTTATCAAGACATTGTCTTACGATGTCATTAAAAAAGATGGAATTATCTTGATAAGGTGTAACAGGTGAAATCTGGGCTCAATCCAGTGCTTTGTGAAACAATAGAAGAGAATTTGTGTAGAAAGCCTTTTGAGGTTATCATACCCTTCCAAATAGAACTCGTCCTTTCCCAAGGAACATTAGGTATTTTCTAAGCCACAATAAACTTTTCATTCCAGTAATTTTGTAAGGACATTTCAGTTGTGCATAGGTTACGCAAATATTAAGTACAGATTATGCACCGATTACGCGCAGATCACGCACAAATTACGCATAGATTACGCACAGATTGCACACAGATTGAACCTTACCAACTTTTTTTCAATGTAAAGAGGAACTGGGAAGTTGAAACATAAATTCCAATATTGTTTGAAAATGTAACAATGTTGTTTGTTGCTATTTGAATTCTTCGGGATAAGACATATCAAACAAGCGACTTTACTGAAGCTAGTGAGCTGAGCTTCCCTCTCCTTTTTCACAGCTTAAGAACTTTTGAAACTTTTAGGGCAATTATCATGTCACGTTAGATAGACAAATTGAAATTTATAGCTTTATATCACCCAATGACTTGATTGGATACTGTATTGAGAATGACGGCCTTAACTGTCTGTCCATTTGTAGACTATTTCCCAGAGAATTATCGACTTTAAAAACAAAGTAAGCTGGAAATGCTGATAAACATATTGGTAATTTTAGGGTTTCTACGAAGCCTGCGAACGTGGGTTTTTAACCGGTCATAGAATGTGTGGTATGAAGTTTACCTTAGAAGATGGTTAGTATACGATCTACTGATTGCTCAAAGTTCTACCTATTTTTTGTTTTAAAAATACACGGTTAGCCAAAGAACTCTTTGGTACCGCAAACATTGAAAATGGCACAAACTTTGTTCTGGTACATTAGTCAAAGCATTAGATATCAAAAAATATTGTTAGAATTTTGCAGAAAGGTTTATCCCATCCAATCTGATAGGTTATCGTCTCAGCTTCTATAAAAGGCCAGTCGTTAAACTGTTAAGAAAAGTCCATTGCGTTTACTTTGAGATTTTTTGCAATCGACGTTTTAAAGTCTTTGAAAGTATCAAGCCATGCAATTTAGGAATCAACCAAGAGATCTCACATTTCATTAATTGTTCTTGAATATATCGAAGTTCGGGCCATGACCAATGCGCTTTTTCGATATATCAAGAGAAATGTTGACTATTCTTTAAAGGCTTTAGTGCTACAATTGTTCTGTGTTCATTTTATACTATTCAGCTCATATGCTAAAGATATTGATTTTTACAGGCGCCGCTCACGCTGTCGATTCAAGTGAGCTGGCATTTAGACTCGCAGCCATAGGAGCAGTTAAGCAAGGTAATTATTAAGTAAGACAAGTAATACACAAGAGGAATCGTCTATAAACAACTTTCTTCTTCCGTGTTTCTTGGAAATGCTCTTTGGCCATCAGAGTCATCAGTGCTTTCAACGTCACTGAAAACCTCATCGTTATTACTATTGTAAACTTAACTGCACTATTATTATCATTTCAAATCATTGTATACCATACAATACAATCAATACGATAAATACAATACAAAGCAATATAATACAATACAATGCAATCCATTACAATAAAATGATTTGCAATGATAACAATACTCCAGTTCAGTTTACTATTGAAGTAACGATCAAGTTTTTAGTACAGATACAGATACAAATACAGTACAGTACAGTACAGTACAGTACAGTACAGTACAGTACAGTACAGTACAGTACAGTACAGTACAGTACAGTACAGTACAGTACAGTACAGTACAGTACAGTACAGTACAGTACAGTACGGTACAGTACAGTACAGTACAGTACAGTACAGTACAATCCATTACAGTTTGTAATGATAAAAACGATGAAGCTTTTAGTGGCCTTAAAACACAAATTTCTCTAACCAATATGGTCAAAGAGCATCTCTACAATGCAATTCAATACAATGTGATGTCTTTCTGATGCTCGTTTTTTTCATTTTATCTTTACAAGCTTTCATGCGTGTCTTATGCAGATGCCATGCATACGAAAATCACACATTAAAGCTCAACACTTCAATTGGTAAATGTATCCCCTTTAATCTCGATATTTAAACTTCTAGCACTTGAAAAAGCACGCCCCATAGTCCTGGAGCCAATAATGTTAGTTGAAGTGAATGCACCGCAAGAATTTCAGGTGAGTCAGGTTTAGCTGCCGTCGCCGACCTCTTTTGTGTTTCGCCGGAGCTCGTTGTTTAAGATCAGCTTAGAGCGGCTTTCTGTTCGTAAGCAAGTCGCAACATGTCTCTCATTGCTTCTATTAACAACGCGATATAGATTGGCAAATATTTTTTCAACCACGTGAGTTCTACTGAAAACGGCTTGCATATCTTCATCTTTCAGAAACGCATAAGAAATCCGCTCAACTTTAGAATTTGCGTCGATTTGCGAGAGATATTTTCTCTTTATTAAGAAGTCATTCCCTAGACAAGCCAGGTGTTTCCTAGCTATCATTGGATCCATTGAAGCACGTGATTCCATTATCGAATTATGATTGGCTGGAGTAATTTCATCTCTCGCCTTGGTCCTTGTTTCTAGACAATTTTCGTCATTAGCGCAGTCTCTAAGATTTCCATCTATTTGAATTCTCATTCAGACTAAGACACGTGAACAAGTTAGAAGCGCTTAGTCAGCAGTTTTATTTATTTCTAGTTGGCGACGTATCATTAGATCCAAGAATTTATTGGTAATATTTCTAGGTTTTAGGGGGGAAAAGCTTCATGAAAAAGTTATTTGCTTTGTTTATGAACAATTTTTAGAGTATAGCATGACAAGATCGGAATTTCAAGCCTATCTGTGATGCTCTTCTAACTTGTCTGTAACTTAGGCCTGTTCTAAATACCAACTGTTTGTGAAATTGAAAAAAGAACTTTGGTATCAGGCTCCTTGTAATAATACTCTATTTAATGATGCAACATTTCAGTTTATTGTTTGCTCGAGAGTCGCAAAGGGTAATGAATTTGCTATCAGTTTCTATTGATTATGTGTGTTAGATTTTCTCACGAGTCAATCAAAGCATAAGAAAATTGATATGCTTTATCGCCGTTACCAGGATTAATCTGGTTACCAACTGCACACCCAAGTGGCTGCCCCTTGGTCCTCAAGGTCTTACAGACAGATTAAAACAATCCTCGTGATATTGCGATAATCCTAGGGAAGATTCAGTTGATTTGATTTATTTCTGGCTTAGTCGTTTGCTTGTGCAGAGTCTTGGGTTGCTAATGATCGGTAGACATGGTCCTTCATTACTCACTGAGCATTGATGTTAAGTTGGAAAGCCTCGCTTCTATTCTGGTTACCTCGTTAATAACGAGGCGGCTCCATAGTTGATTGGTGAACATTGGTGAGCATATACCAAGAAAATCTTTCCACAGCTAGACGGTGTGTTTACCATTTCCCATAGCACCATCTTTCCAAACTTTTCCTTTCTGCATCGTTTCTTTTCTCTTTTCCTGCCCTCTCCCCAATTTCATCTTTCGCATTGCTTCTTCACTGTCTCCGCATCGCGGCTCTTCTCTTAGTATTAGGTATAGGGAAATGCGTAACCCTTGGAAGTGCTGCGAAATGTTATCACAGATGTGATCACTAAAGATAAAACTATTAGTAGTGTAGGCTGAAATTAGTAAAACAGACAGTCAATTGCTTTTAGTTTCACTAGGTATTATTAAAGTATTATTAAAAACTATCACTATTTGACAATGTTTACAAAATTTTGCACCTAGAACAGCAACTAAAACATCAACTAGAACTATAATTTCTGATTTGAGGGTCCAATTTTTGCCTAGGGTGCTATAATGGGAAGCATAAACAAGCGTAAAGGGTTGATCACCGGAACAGATTCAGTGGAAGATTATGCAACAATTTATTGCGAGGTAAGAATTTATTTCATTTAGTGTAATTCCGCCAGTCCTTAGATATCTTTGCAAATAATCTAAGATGGCCAATATGACATAAACACGTCGTACGGGCGATTGCAAGGCCAGCAAGTCAAAAATGCTCTAAGCGTTAAAACTGATCAAAAGCAGGGTTCAAATTTGATCTGATTATTTCATTTAAGCATTATTCTTTATCTAATTTCGTTATTCTATGTTTTCGCAAGTAAATCATCTGAAAAACATAAACAATAGCGATAAATTTTTAGACCTATAAGTGGCAGTGAGGCCTAGTTGGGCCATCCCTCATGTTTTTAGAATTTTTTTAAGCCTAGAAGTGGCACCGGGGCCAATTTTAGCCATCCCCTCCCGTTTCTAGAATCTTTTCGCCTCTTTTAATAATATCTGCGTTATTTTTGTGTATTGAGATATTCAAGAAACATATGTATGAGGCAGTAAGATTTCAGGTAGCACGTAATAACTTCCACTTCATCCCGCCTCTATTTAACTTTCTCGCTCCTTCGTTCACTTCTAAAGAGCTTTGTACGTCCTAGTAGATAAGCTCTTTGATTATAAGATCCATGGAGACCTGATCTCTGAAATCCGTGTTTGAACTTCTACTACGTCAAAACAGAGATTTCATCTGAAAATCGTTCAGTTAATCGCATCTGCTAACAGATCGCCAGGCAATCTTATTACAAACCATTATTCTTGTGCTTTTTATAGCGTTTTGTTTCCTCTAATTTAAACTTTAATCGTGGTGACAGATAAAGTTGAAGCACAGTACCGATGTCCTTAATAGACAAAGATTTTATTTATTGCCATACCGGATAACCGGCTTTAAGCTTTTTAAGGAAAAATAATTTGGTTGCAGCGAAATGGTTTGCTTAATGAAAGATATTTCATCCTATTGGGTTATCTTAAGATTATTTGCTCTTTTTAAATTTTCCTATTTATGACAAGATTGCATAATTTCTCAAATGCCTCTTCTTCTTTTTTGAATTTGTTCTCAAAATGTTTCACATTTTTGCTATTTTCTCGATCTATTCTTTATTTCTTTGATCATTATTTCCAGGTTCCTCTCAACGACATGTTTGGATATTCAAATGAGCTGAGATCCATGACACAGGTAATGTTTAAAGAAATAGGAATTTCAGCGTGTTGGTTCTCCTACAGATGTTTTTTTTGCTGAAATTTGGCATAACATTTTTATACTGGCATCAATATCTGTCCTCTTATTTTTGCTCTTTAAGCCTTTTGTCAAAATTTTTACTTAACTTTCCAAACCTTTTGTCAACACATGTTTGAAGTTTTGAAACCTTCGAAGTCTGATACAAAAAATGAAAATATGACCTCCAAGATTCCATTCATTTTCAACTGCAAAGATTAGCTCTTGCCCATTAACCATATAGATTTCTGCATGGGTTACCGCAAGATGACAACAGAATTCGTCGGGAATTGGGCCGGTCACTTTTGAATAGCAAGCGTTCACTGATTCTATCGTTACGAGACGCTAGCAATATAAACCTGCTTTAAGTTTGCAACGACATGATTTGACTCGTTTTTGCTCACAGTTTATTAGAAAACATTAGATTGTTATTTCACGAGTGAACGCAAAACTAGGTTGTTGCATTTTCAGCAATTTTTTTTAAAATTTTTAAAACGTCTTAGAAAATGCTCTACAAAGTTCCGTTATGTTTCCTGTTTCTAAAGAATAAATAATAAAAGGATTTACATTATTTTATTTCGCTAGACTTATCATGTTCTTTTTTGTCGTTTTCAAAAATTCATCCTTCAAAGTTATTATCATATGACCTTTACCTTTATATTCTACTAATTTTGATTCACACCTATTATCCTATGTTAATCTAAACAACGTTATCAGAACGTTATATAAACTTTGTTGGAGTTTCTTTGGGCCTAAGTTAACTGTTCATCTTCAATGTATGTGTTGGGTAACTACAGTCGATAGAATTTGTGAAAGGCCTTATTTGTTGGCAGCTGTATTCTCTTGACATTGATAATGTCGATTCCTTGTATCAAGTGACCCATTCTCATTCTTAGGGGAAAGGTGAATTCACAATGGAATTTACAAAATACCAAGCGGCAAGTCCACAATCCCAAGCGGAATTAATGGAGAAATATGGAACTGCTTCGGCACAAAAGGCGAAGCTAAAAGGATGATTTCTCGATAAGTTAGTGAATTTCAAATTGAACGTTTATAGGAAGAAGATTGACTTTGTATGATATAGCAACTGTTGCGAAGTTCCCCTGTAAGTATTGAGTGTGAACATGTTAATTGTCTTAGTAATTACGCAGTTCTTGGCGTAATGTCCCATCACCCCCTAGCACAAGTTTTTCCAACCATAGAACCTACGTTTATTGGAACTTAGAAGCCAATCAGTTGGAACATACGAGAAGATTGCTTTGAGGCAATGTTGCCAAACGTGTCTAGTACAAGATGCATTAGTAGGGTGGCAATCATTTGTTGAGGGGAATCGAATTTGTGCATTTATTAAATTGAATAAATGATCAATAGAATCAGTGTATTTTGTTGTTGTTGCTCCTCCAGGTTTTTTATAGTTAAGAACGTTTTGAGGGATTTGATTTGCGCTGTTAGGAAACCAACCGTTGGTGTTGAGCTCTAATCCTTTTTGTATCTGTGACATTCGACCTTGTATGGATGGCTAAAAATACCCTGTCATTATATTGTCCAGGTCAACAACGGGTTATGTGTCACATTTATGATTGAAAAACCGGTTTACAGAGCGCTGATTTGAACATATAACAACTTGCCCATGCCTCGTGTCCTTTTTTAGACATTAAAATCATATACCACTAATGTCTTCACCAATGAGTCATAAACTGCCTGAGATCCACATACCAAAACAGATCCAAATGCAAAAACTGCTGTCTCTCTTTTCGGTTACTTCTGGGTCATTTTTCTTCCATTAATAGGCAAAGAAGTTTCACAAGACAAAGACGAAACCAAAGCGGAAATTGGTGATTCCACACAAATGTGAACTTGTCTACAAATTCTTTCAAAAAGCATTCTTCACAAAAACATGGTACAGATGAGCCTAACGAGCAGAAATTGCTTTATATTTTCCCCTAATACTTTCACCAACTACTTTTAGTTGTGATATCTAAGATCACAGTACCATCTTGTGGAAATCTTTTAGTGAACTCAGAACAGTTCTATTCCTAATGAATTAAGCTGTATCTCTTCGGTAAGAGGCTCTTCGTCTTTGCCGTCTGTATGCACAGGGATATATGACCTATAGAAATTAGCTGCAGCCGCCATTATTCTGACTGCCAAGGTTTCTCATTAAAGGCTCATGTTGCGCAAAGGCTCATGGGTAGAAATGACCCTTTAAAATACTATTTCATCTTTTATGTGAACTAAAGCTATCCACCCTCGACCTTAAACACTTCCTTGGAGAAGGCTTATCCTCTACTCAGTGAATGCCACTCCCTTTTAATTCCTCACTCTTTGGTCGATATTTCTACAAGTCTATAAATTTCATGGATAAGCACTAGAATGGACATCATTTCAGGCAAGGATTACAATTACTTGCTCCGTTTTTGTTTATCAAGTTTCTTATCTTAACCTTGACTTGTTTTCGTATTCCTACATTTTAGAATTTACTACCTTTTTCCTGTTTCTTTTAATAAAGAGTATATTTTGTTAATAAAGAGGTACACATAGCTTAGATAGGTACACATAGAATATAAATATAAATATTATACGTATATAAATAGGTACAAATAGGTACAGATTTCTTCCTCCTGTTCCTTTATGTGCTTCCCATTTCCGTTTTTATGTCTTGTACTGTATCATTTCCAATTACTGACAACAGTTTTAAGCTTTCACATCTATTCTTTACAAAGATGTGTCATGATAATCATCTCCATCTTCAGGAAAACCTTCAGCATAAAAAACATAACTTATGTTAATTTGGTTATTAGGAACATTTATTTGAAACAGAAAAGCCCCCTCTTCGCAAATTACTCACACGCTGGAAAAATACGAAGTTGGAATATTCAGATTGATTTTCTCTAACCTTTGTAAATCATTTTCCATTTTCCATTTATGATTTTGCACTTGTTAATGCTTTGCTTCAACCTGAAAGTCTTCAACCTGAAAGAAAATCCTAGATGCACATTTTTAGAGCAATTTACGTAAATATCTGCAGACATTACAAACAACACGGCATTACAAGTTGGCAGAGCTGTTGGCTATTCTGAAGTATTACCTTTGCTACTCAAAAACCTTCTGTTAATATTAATTTGTAATGATGAATTCGTTCTATTTTCTCATTGCAAAGAATGATACCTTCCCTCTTCATCACAATGCTTGCCAAAAATCACAACACTGGCATCAAATCACAATTCCACCATTTCCCAAAGATCTGGAAACTGCTTTTGTGTTCCTTGTGTGATATTTGCCTCAACTATCAACATTGCTCTAAGGGGAAGAGGATGAATGTGGTAATTTTTTTCTGAAAAGAAATGAAAGGTATAAAATACCACGCAAATTGCTGGATGTTCCAAGTATTTTTGGCAAGCATTGCAGATCATTGTTGTACATGAAAAACAAGAATTTTTGCACAGACGACTAGCAGATGTGGTCAAATTACACAAGCACAAGCCATGGCTAATTTCGATTGCAAACAAACTTAAGAGGTTTCAGCATATTCTATTGAGATTTTTTATGTTGACTTTTGATATTAGCAAACTAAGTCGAATTTGCATAGATTTTTGCTAAACAACATTTACATGTAAAGGTAGATTCACTCGCATACCTTCAATATTTATTCAGATAAAGTGTTTTATGGTGATTTTTTGGACGTTTGTTTAAGCAAGCGATACATCTTGGTTGATGCAATTAGTGATTACGACAAGAGAAGACATACGGATGTTGGTCAACAGAAATTCCTTTGATAAAAGGATACAGTTGAAAATGTGTATTTATTGAGTTGAACGCTTTGCAATAATGAACAAACTTGATTTTGCAAACAATGGCACTAAACAGAAACGTACAAAACATCTGTTGAAGGGAGAAAGCGTTTATTGCAAAAGGGGGCACAAAAACATGACGAAAAGAAGACAGATTTAATAAAGATATAGGTAGATGGGGTTCTGTCAAAAGTAAGATTTCAGATTACAAGGTTACAATATTAAGATAGCCCAAGGACCGCGGAGCTTGGCTAAACATGCTAAAAACCAAGGCCAGATCGAAGCAATTTTTGTATGGTTCAAAGTACATCCTGGAAGTTATTGGCCCTCAGCTCTTTCCCATCTCAGTATTTTTGAGTCATTTGTTTTTGCCTAATTAATGTTTAAAGCCTGATCAACTTTCTTCTCACTCGTGTTGCTTTTTACCTCCGTTGCCACGATGCTTCTCCCCAGGGTCTTTGTTGATGCAGAAGTCACAGTGACCTCGGAAATCGGTCCATGCTCTTGAGCCTTTTCAGAAGACTATTAAGAACTAATTGGTTTATATATGTGATATATATAAGATTAATTCGTTGGAGAAAATATAATGGATGGGAACCGTTTTTTCATAAAGATTTGTGTCTTCTCTAGAATAGCGAGAACCGGACAATGTCGGTGGCCAGATTTGTGCCTAAGAACCGTGGTCTTTGGGAAAACACCACATCAAGTTTGGTACTGGTTTGGAACAAGTTTGGAACATCAAGTTCGGTACTGGGGGCCCTTCCCCCTGATAGATGTAATAGGACACCTGAATGTAATCAAATGTCGTTTCACTTGTAACCTATAAAGCAATGTAATGTTCAAGTGTTAACGTATAAGCAACTGTTTGTAATTAATTGAGATTTAGTTTTAGTGCAATTAAAGAGCACACAATGTATTGAGTGCGTTGTCTTTGCCTCTCGCTCTTTACGATGTAACGCCTCCACAATAGTGTCCTCTCTTATTGATTCCTTTTTGGAAACACCCAGCCCCTGATGATGTCCCCATTGATCACTTGAGATATTTACAACCCACTACTCAAATCACGAGGGGCTCAGGTAAGAAGTGGTAATGTTTTTAAAGAATTGTACTATCAGTCATATCATCCGAAACAAAATACAAAAAAATTGTTACACAAGAGAAATATTGTCATATCTTTTCTCCCAAATTCGATGCATGCCCCTATTATAGATGAAAACTGTCTAAAACTCGAGTCTAAAACTCTCGTAAAACAACATAAATCGAAAGTATCTCGGCATTGCCATCTGAAATCTGCTATAAGCAGTCAACATATTCTCCATCGAATGTATTCTTTTTTAACAACATCACAATTTAAGGCATTTTACATTCCCTCCTTGGCTTTTAAGTACAATGGTCAGTCGGTTTGAACTATGAACATATAATGCGAATTTTGCAAAAAGATATTCTCCTGACGCTTTGTTCCTGCATATCCACCTCCAGTAAGAAAGGCTTTCTTTGGGGTAAGAATAAGAAAATGACTTCATAAAGTAAAGCAGGGCCCACGCCACCGGGGGGGCCGGGGTGACCATACCCCCTCCCACTTGTTTGCGAAGCGAGTAGTTTTAAAGCTGAAGTAAATGAGGAAAGAAGCCTTAGCCCCCCACACTTTTGCTAGCCTTGCCCCCCCCCCACTCTCAGATTCGTGGCGTGGGGCCTGCAAAGGTGTAATTTGAGCTTCAAGATCTATAATCTGTTAAACTAAATTAGATGATTGAGGTGTTTGCAGCTGCAGTACAGTTGAGTTTGAACAATCACGTTCTCGGCTACATACAAATAAACTCTAAGAATAAAAAATGATGATAAAAGAATCTTAGGACAATAACATTTTGTAAATAATCAGTAGATATAGTAATTTATAACAGCCAGATTAAATCCATATATAATGCTTTTTAAAGCTGAAGAACAACCAAAATTAAAGATAGTCCTTTCGAGCCATTGAAGCACTTATCAGCTGCTATCAGCTAGCATACAGCTGGACAAACCCAGTGGCAGCACTAATTGGGGATAGGGGCTATTACTCCCAAACAATGACAAAATACGATTCGCATAATTCTTACAAGTGCTGGTGTGGGTAAGAACTTTTGTATGTCGGGAGGAGGGAAAAGCTTTCAAGACGGAATTTGAAAGAAACTATTAAGATTATAAACAGATCCTCTATTAAAGCATGACAATTTCTTAAGGCCTAACAACACTCTCGTCAGAATACAGGCCTTACATCAGTACATCAGTTCATCACAAAATCTCGTCTTAAAACCTCCGATCTAAGTTAAACTGTCTCATCTTCAATTCTTTGAACTTGACCTCCAGTCTTGAGTTACTGTTTCAAAGAATCTGCTGTTTCCCAAAGTATTAACTTGGATAGTTGAAGGGATTAGTATTTAACGTAAACAAAATCAGATTACAAGCCCCAATTTTGAGCACGTCATGCTGCTCCTGTTATGCTGAATAGCATATGATAAGAATAAACTACCCAGAAACAATTATATAAAATACACTTACACGTCAAGGAAAATTGCATTGTTGAAACCTATATAAATTTATGTTAACATTTTGAATTTTCTTCACGAAAAATGTTAAATTCTATGTCATATACCAAAGCATTTAAATCATATACCTTTCAAAAAGATGAAATCAAATGTGAGAAACTGACTTTAAAAAGACTGAGTCAGGAGCATGCCTGTCTATAATGAACGAGTAGTCTTGCCCTCTATAATGTTAAAGAATATAAGAGTTAAAGATAACGTTATGACGTAGGAATTGACTTTTGTGACGTCATACAGACTCATGATGCTTTAGAAATTTAACTAGTTAGCAAAGAATGGATTCATTCGATAGGCAGAGCAGAGGATCGTGGAAAACATACCCCAAAAATTTGGTGGCCTAAACTGACAACTGATAAACACAAATAATTTCTTAATTGTTTCACAGATAATCAGCAAAACAGGTTTGCTATTCATTTACTGGAACTCGGAAAGCAAGAAACTGGCGTTATATGAATGGCCAAAACATGATAATGAAACCTTTAAAATACCCTTAAAACTTGCATTTCATGAAGCACTGTTGTTATTCTAAAATGAAGCACATAGAGTATCACCATCGACTCCTAATTCATAACCATGATAAATTTGGTAAATTTTTGTGTTACAGTGTTACAGTTATGTGTTAATTTTCAGCAACCAAGCAAATTTCGAGTCAAACCAGTAACAAAAATGCCACTTTTCTCTATAGTTGGTATCTCTATAAAACAATATTCAGAAATGCTGATATCATATTCAACATTAAAAATCTTATGAAATAATATGTCTTTGATTTTCAATAATGAGCTTCAGTATACCTATACCATATCGTTTTGCCCAGGTAATTCTATACCGACAAACTACTTTATAGCTACAAACTTAAAATTAGTATGTAGTGCTATGAACAACTGGGATGCTTTAACAGACAGGGCTGGGCATCTACTGCCTCTTGGCCCTGCACCCTTCTTTGAGACCCTAAGTGCTCCTGAGTGTTTCTAATTGAAGTCAATGTTAGAAACCTTCCAGAAACAAAGATTCAAATTTTGAAAATATGATTCGAAACATCTATGTAGAAATTACTTTTTTATCCCTGACGTCACTTATGTCGGAATGCAATGAAAAATGTTACAAATTGTGGAAAAACGAACAATAGACGTCTTGCCTTCGAAACCTGCTCCAAGGCTATTTTGCCCCCATAAACAGAATTTCATTGAAACAGCTCCTAAAAGACATAATGGTTGAATGTCTTGAGCGAATTAGACTCATTTATAATGGCAAATGATCTTGCAATATTTTAAGCTACTCTAAAGAAAGGAATGATGTTATTACGTATCCCTTACATAGTGAAATGTTTCCCAGAATTAACCCTTTAGCATGAGATGTTATGAGTGTTATACATTTATATTTGCTTTAAAACCTATAAATAAAAAGTATTGAAGAAACTTAACAGAAACTACTGAAAGGTTTAAGGCCTAGGAAAGTTTCTAAAGCATTGGCTTTTGAAGCAGAACTGGAGGACGTACATTAAATTCATTACCTAGCACATGTATTCAATTATAGTGCTATTTTTAATATTTTTCCAGAATAAATAGAAAACAGCTGAGCCAAGCATTTCTCCCGTCTTATTTGAGAAATGGTAGACACAATTTTCGGCTCTATTTGTTCAGATTTGACAAAACAACATTTTGTCTCAATGGCTTGCCATCTGGCGGCTATTTACGATTTTTACCCAGTCAACAATGCTAATATAAATTGATTTCTTCATTAAAATTTTATAGTTCATCATCTCGAGGAAGTAAACTTCAGCGTAACGGGGGAGCACCTTTATGCTAAAATTCTGAGTCATTATCGCGTTGAAAACTACATAGATTCGTCATCATCATGATAATAACTTTATCATCATCATAAATCTATCCTTTGCAAGCTCGACCACTTTGGTTGGAGAAAATCAAGGTTTAAAAAAGTTGCGGGTGTATTTCAGAGCTGGTTGCAATAGTTTCAACTATCCTTCGCTAAGTCTTTTCCAAGGTTTATTCCCATTTTAGGCCTTGTTCCTCTTGTCTGCACTTTGACGTTAGGGAACACTAGGTTATGTGTGTGCAACCGTTTGAAACCAAAAATGGATTCCATATTATCAAGAACAAAAATATGCTGTTGCTTGAACAATCTTGCAAAATGAAATCAAAGGGTATGAACTGGAAATGGCTTTATTTCAGCAAGTGTCAATTATAAGTATGATTTAAAATTCCATTTCTTAAAAACACCGCTTTGTGCCGTATTGATAAGCTCGCCTATTAGACAGTTGAGCATTGCTAAGTCGGTAATCACGGTTGCTCTTTCGTATCGAAAAGAATTACAAGCTTCTCACTCCATGCGAATTTCCAACTTAATTATTTATAACGTTGATTCTAGAAATAATGCTCTCATCTTCAACTAGGCCATGGGTGTGATTGGAAGTTTGGCTAATCTTCTTGTTAATTTAACCTCTTGTGGTTGACGCCGTAACACATAGTCAAATGCTGGACATTTCTCGCCAGTAAAAGATTTTAAGCTGGGATGCCATAGTAGACTGCTTGTCTAAAAAGTGACTTTGTCTACCACTGCCGCTGTGACAAGATTAAGGGGGAAGAAAGTATCGGTTCTATGCTGTTAGAACGACATGTAAATTGCTAAAGTTTTGGATTATGACGGGCAACGTTTGTCATTTTATGTAGCCTATGCTAAAAATTGACGAGTGCTGAAAATTTTTAGGATTTTAAGAAAACACAGAATTACAGAAGGTACAGCATTTTCAGAAAAAAAGTCCCATCACCGTGAAAACATTGGAACTTTTGATTTTCATTAAGTAGAAACTTATTGCGTTAGTTTGCTTGTCGCCCATCGGATAATTCGAGATGTTTAATCACCATGGCAACTTTATCACGAGACAATTTAACTGCACAGTTTCATACATGCGGAAACCACTTCATAGCAAGGTTTGATAGAGCAATTTTAAGACCTGCAAGCGAGAAAGAAACCAACCAATGGTCTGCTGAAATTGGACAAGTAAATTTTTTTGCAATTAAAGATTCACAGATACTCTCCAAAGCTTGTTGGTGGCAGGGCTTTGAACACAATGCAGAAAAAATGCAGGCTGGATCGAAAGAATGTATAAGGATCTTTGAATGCATTGTTCAACCCTCCTGATCTAACGCGGCAGCTCGTACATACCGACAATCATTGAGAACCTCTGCGTATGAGTTGTGGAGGCAACCTTGTAACACCAATGTATGCATATTCGATTTCAACCGCGGAACCCAGCTGAAGACTCGCGAAAATCGCTCACTAGTCAATCTTGCAAAAATGACTCTTAACACGAAACAGTTTGCCCTCTCGTTTGTGATTCACTTTGCTCTGTGGATTCTTGGGGATTGTTTTGAACTGACGATACTACACACGAATGATGTGCACGCTAGAATCGAACAGACAAATAAATATGGTGGAGATTGCACAGCTAACGATGCATCGAGAAATCAATGTTTTGGTGGTGTTGCGAGAAGGCAGACGCTAATTAAAAAAGTTCGAAACACCCACCGCAATGTTTTGCTTCTTGATGCCGGTGACCAGTTCCAGGGAACGATATGGTTTAACGTTTACGAAGGGCAGGCGTCGGCATTTTTTATGAACAAGCTTGGCTATGATGTTATGGTAAGGATTCTTTAAATTCTTTTCAATCTTTTAAAATATGATCGAGTTCCGATTTGCAGAAACCTAGAATATTTTCTTTAAGCAAACTGAAATCGAACTACGTGTATTTCTGCCATGCCTTGTTGTTTGTGGAAGTAAACCTTTCAGGGTTTGTGCAAACAGTTTACACGTTACTTCGTTGTAAAGGCCTTCGTTACAGCCTTTTCAGCGAAAGGAGAGCGAAAATAATAACAATTGGTTTTTTAGACCATGGCACTGTGATAAATGAAATATAACAATTCATGGTTGCATTGTTGCATAATTGTGGTGTCACGCAAAGAGCTGTAAACGGTCATTCCAAGCGCGATTCTTAGATATTAGTCTCAGAATACGGAGAAAGCAAGATACTTCGCTTGACCAAATATTTGTGAACCTTTATGACAGTGGATTCTGAAATTCGTGTTCTGACTAAAATCCGAGCTTTTGCAGAGCTGCAGTCAGCTGGTTTGTAGGTTCTCAACTAAAAGTCATTCGTCAGCTAAAACGGCAGACCTCACTGCAGCACATATCAGTGCGCATGCAAAGCTCTGCTCAAAGTTTATTCACTTTTTGCAGTCATGTTTTAACAAAAAAGCTACAATCGTATTAGAACATTGAGGTCGATATATCATGTCCCTACAGGGACGCAGCAACCCCCAAGGGTTGCAACAGGGTATCTATTTTGGGGTTAGATTATGGTAAATCTAGAAAATAGTAGGGGAGATTCACTCCATTTATTATCCATTCTATTTCTGTTACCAACTTTACAATTATTCGATACTTTTCTTGCTGGAAAATTTCTTTTTTACAACCCTTCTAAAACTGACAACGATCGTTCTCGAACAAACAAATTACTAGAGCCATCAGCAATCTACGTTTTAACTTTTTGGAAAGATATTAATTTTTTAGAGAAAAAATTCCAACGCTTATTTCCCTAACGAATTTCGAAATCTCATGTATCATCCAGGAAGACTTCCATAATTTTTAACATCCCTTTTGTCCGCGAAAACTATTAGATCGATGTTACTTTCATAATTTGGGTAGCCTTTAACTATTAATCAAACTCGAGATAATTTCTAAACAAATAAGAAAGTTTTAAAGCAGATTTCGGAGTTGTCGTTTATCCTTCCCTAAATTAATCTTGTTTCGTGCAGCAAAGCAGAAGCAAACACATCAATTGAATTGAACAAGTATTTAATCTTGATGTAACAAGGGCTGCCTGCGCCCCTGAAGTGCGCTAACAAAGCAACCATATTTTCCATAAAAACAGCTTGAAATCCTATTCAAAAAAACCGCAATACGCTATTGCTAAATCTTGATGGTTGTAGAAAATGTCTGCGAATTGCTTTATTTATGCTCAAGATGATGCCCTCTCGATCTCTGATGGGCATCATCGTTCAATGTAGAGTGAATATCGTTTAAACACTAATGATTTTGCATTCATTTAATTTACCGACGGTTCAAGCTGTCGGATGAGTGGCTATTCGCTTGAGTTACAACTGCGTCGACCGTGTTAGGTATGGTTGTATATAGTATCCTGTACGAGGCATACAGTGGCTGGCTCCCTCCAATATATGCACAGAGTCTTTGCAAACTCCAGTTGCTACACCCATAATCACAACTACCCTAAGAAACGTTAATCTCAAACTTTGGTAGGGTTTTAAACGGGGGCGTTATCACTCCAGGAAAATCTCGTATGGTTTTGGAAAAATACTTTTGTTTTCGAGAAAATCCCTGTAAATCGCCAAAAAGTCTTATTGTTTAGAAATACCTCGTACGCTGTTTGGAAAGAATGATGCACACCTCGGTATTAATGCTCGAGTTGCAGTGAACATTGCATTGCAAAGCATTGCAGTAAACAATTCTTACAGAATTGTTAACGCTAGAAAGATGAAGTTAAGATGCAATTTTTTTCTCGAATGCTGACAGGGTACAAAGCTGGAAGCTTTTAAAGGTGCTCATGAACAATTCTTATCAGTCCAAAAACCCTTTCTGCTTGAGCATCATACGTAACAACATCATACCTCCATCTTATCTTGAGCATCATACCTCAGTTGTTATTGTAACAGTTTTGTCCTTGCTTTGTTTTAACGAAGGACCGCTCGATCAAAACACTTTTTGGTTTGAAATCGAGGCCTTCGGGAAATTGGCACTCAAGTGTGGTCTTTGACATCCAAACAAATCTTTTTTCAAATAGCAGGAATACCAGGAATTCGAAAACTAGATTTAGTATTTACTATTTTGAAGTAGAAATACAGACTTCGGCTCTTCTGTGAAGAAAAATATAAGACGTCAGGCCACCTACAAAATACGTGCAATGGTGCACTGTGTTTCTCTTTACTTGTTTTATCCATAACCTATTTGGCTTAAAATTCCCTTGTAAGCAAAAAAACCTCTGAAGGTCATTCACAAATGAAATGTGCTTTCAAGGTACTACAACTTCTCTGTTTTTGACTCCATGATCTCAGTGCCGAAATCACGAGGCGGCTCTAGCCCATCACAGAGCGAAGCTTTTCGTGTTAACTATAGAAAACTTATACCTCATCTGAAAATGTCCAAAAGATGCGGAGGGGGGCCTTGGCTGCTTGAGCCCCATTAAGGTTTTAAAAAGGGGCTCATTCAAAATCGAGAGGAGATTTATCTGGCGAGCAGCAAAAAAGCAGTATCTTCATACAAATATTGAAATGCACCACAATACTCTTGAAAAGGAAATGGAAAAGCTTGCACGTAAGTTTCTGTTTTTTACAACACGACTTATCTTCATTTTCCAGACCGTTCATGGACTAGAAAAATCTAGCTTTAAAGACTTTAACCCAGTAAAGCTGCGTTCGTGTTTTACAAAAAACAACTGTTTAATTTACCAACTAGAAGAAGCGAGCAAAAATGATAAGGCCTTTGAAGAACTTTGACACCAGAAACATTTGTAGCATGCAACACATGCCATTTGAAAATCGAGAGAGGAGAAATTGTCAGAAACATTTACTACAGTTTTGCAATTTGGTTCAAGGATGTAAAAACTACACTTTTCAAGCTATATCATTATACCAGCTCAAGATATTGTTCGTGCTTCAAATATAAAACAATTGATTAAACGGTGATATTTTTCATAGTTATAATTAGCTAAAATTGTCACCCTCGGATTGATGTAAATGCGTAATTCAAGCATAAAAGATCCCAGTGAACTCAAAAGCAAGGGGCTTGGGCAGCTGCAGTTTGCACAATGAACATTTTCCTTATACAACCACGCTATAAACTCTCCCTCCCTACCTCTTACCCTCCCTTAGCTCCCTCCTCTACCTTTTCCCACTTATATTTTTACAGTAAGTAACCTTCATATTTCTTCAAATTATCTGTTTTACTTAACCTTACATCCCCCTTTTTTGCTTGAAAACCTTTTAAAATGCTGCAAAGGTCGATATTATGCAAAAAAGAAATACTGCCTGCATTTCATATACTAGCTTTGTTTTCACCCCTTCCACTTTTAGAGAGAATGGAGTCCTTACGCTCTCGGAACACGCTGGATATCCAAGTGAAAGCTTATCCTATGTTCCTAAGCTCTCCAATAACTGGCGTATGGTATCTTTCGCTTTAATTGGTAGGTTATCCTTGCGCATGGATGTAGACAAAGAGCAAAAATTGCCCGTGAAAAACCAACAGATCAATCACATTTAATAACTGGTGTTTATTTTATTTGCAGCAGGCCTAAAACAGAACCTAAATATTGACTGAGTAAGTATTGAAAACAAACACAGACAATTTCTCTAAGGTACACAGAATTCTCATTTTAGAATTTAATTTCTAACGCCGCATTATATCTCGCATCATATCTTTAAAAACCAGTTATCCTGAATTGTATAGCATTTGCAGATCCTAGAAGCGAGTAAATGCAGGCACGTAAATAATAGGGGGGCGTGGGGGGCGTAACGCCCCCCCAAAGTTTGGAAAATCCAGTTACAGTTGGAAAATGTAACGGTTGACTTGGAATTTTTTTCTTAAGACCAAACTTGTGAATTTTATATTTTAAGAAGTTTTTTTATTTTAAATATAAAAATTCTAAACATTAAAATTCACAGGCTGAAGCTGACCCATCCAATCGTTTTCTATTGTGAATCCCGTCTCCACTGGATCCAAGTTGCACAATTGCCCCGTTTGCTTTCTTTCTGACGGGAGTTGAATCAAATTACGAACAGGCAAGGTGAATTTCCGGATAAGAAACTTGAAACTTTATAGTTTGGAATAATAATTCCCGTATTGATCAGAAAGCATTAGAGTGGGAGTTTTTTAAGAAACTACGAGTAGTTAATTCAATAAAAGATTAATAATCTTTCAGTACTAAAAATTCTCAACGCTTCTTATAAAAAACGAGTTTATGCTAAACTCCCCCTGTTATTTGTTAATGTCCTTGAGTCCTTATCATAAATTCCTATGACAAAACTGCTGTGGAGCAAGAACACATTGCAAAAACTGCAGTAGAAGTATTTGATCAAAGAAGAGTATTTCATCTTTCGAATCAGGCATATGCACAAGTTTGTTCTCAAATCATCATTTCAATTGTAAAGAATGAAAAGGCATTTGGCCCTCTGAAAAGTTTAAAGGTAGTTTTCTTCGATCAAGAACGAAAATAAAAGGCCCAAATTCTTGGTGCTTCTATATCGTGAAAAAATGTATTTTAGATAAAATTGATCAATTGATCTGAAAGAATACTACTAATCATTAAGTATATCTAATACTGGTTTTGCTTAAATGTTGCTTTCCTTTTTACAGTATGTTTAATGTTTGTTTCATGTTAATCAAAATTTAGAGATTTAGGCTTTTATGCTTTAGGCTAATTATTGAGTAAAGATTTGGTAATTATAAAGAAAATAGAACTATGGTCCTCGGGCTATTTACAAATATCAATTTGGTAGGTACAACAGATCTACTGGTCGAATGAAAAATTTATCACTTGAAGTTGGAATTTTCATACTTCCACGCCCCCCCCAAAATTAGCAACTTGTTTTCGTCCCTGAGTAAATGTTTCAAACAAAGAGTCTTGCCTTGCTTCTCTTGGTTTTTCTTGGCTTGGCTCTCTTCATTCCATCCCTACCGAAGAAACGCCGCCGTCTCCCCAACAACAACCGATGAACTTACTCAAGCCCTGGCCAAACGAATAAAACATCGGCATAAAACAACATTGTTGCATAAAACATGTTTTATTCGTTTGGCCACCATGTTTTATGATGTTTTACGATGTTTTACGATGTTTTGCAAAATTTGATTTCCATCAAACATTCCGCAAAACATCTCTTTTGTTCTCATGTTAAATAAACAATGTTGCGTTCGTTTGTGGCCACCCCTTAAAACATTTGTTTTACTAACGCAAGCGCAGTAGGTTTAAATCTAGCAAATATAACGCAGTAACTGTAAGAAGCTGTGCGGCAGCACTTGACCATCACAGATGTTTTAACATTTGTTTGATTAGTTTGGCCAGGTCATAAAGCATCGTCCAACAATGTTGGTACAAAAATGTTTGACAATGTTTTACGGATGTTTTATCCGGGCCTTAAATGCTCCAAAAACAAATAGGCATCTAGTAAAATGAAGGGCCGACGGAACCTTCACTGAAATTGTAGCGAAGGGGTATCCCCAGTGCTCGGAAAATCGTACAGTTGACTCCGCTTATAGTCACTCCGCATAAAGTCACACTGCTGGTTACAGTCACCTAAGATCTAGACCCAAGTATGCAAACTCTTCAATTTGAATCCCTTTACAGTTACACTCCGTTTACAGTCACAAGCAACATTTGGTGTGACTACAACCGGAGTCTACTGTATCTGAAACTGTTCGCAATTCTCTGGCCTGTAAAAAAACCATTTGGCAAGATGTAGGCCATAGAGTTTAGGCCATGAAAGCTTTGACAGTGACTTTACATGCGCAAGTTAGCACGCAAAGAGTGTTTCTAAATGGTCGTTTAGCAAAGCTTTGCAACAGATCCCTGAATGGAAAGAGCATGTCGCGTGATATTCTCATTTATGCAAAGATTTAATTATTATTATAGTACTCTCAATTTTTATTTACTAACTTAATCCTTTCGGTTAATTCCATGATAGACATAGTCAAGTTTAAAAGAATAGAATCAAGATTCATCGGTCTTTGGGTCTCAACGTCTAAATACCTCAGCCATCACTGAGTAAATTTCAGTTTAGTTGTGATTGCAATTTCAACGGCCGTTCTCAAACAAATATTAACATTAGCTGTTGCAGGCTTAAATAGCCTTGTAAACTTTGAGTACGTGTGTTTGCTGTTGCTAAGCGATCCGTGTCGTATTTTAAACAACAAAATTCTCGTGTTTGAATAATTCTCGTATCGGACTCTCTTACATAAGCAGCTGTATTTCGTAAACCAAACTTTGACACTTACGAATTCACCAACAGGTTACCCTAATTTATGCCAGTTGAAAAATTTTGTTCCACCCTTCGGTTTTCTAAAACATGTTTTGCTAACCAAAAATTAGACCAAATGAAATTTTCCTTACCATCGAATTCAAAATTCGTAACATCACAGCGGGTGCAAATCTATCGGTCATAAACTCTTGGTTTTTTCATTTGCATTTGCAGTTATTTGCCGTCATACTCTGCTTCTTTCCGGACAGCAGAGATTGTATCGACCCCCATCCACAAGCAGTGGTGCAATGCTATAAGAAAGGCTCTTGCACATAATGTTGTTAAAGAAATAGCAAAAGTAGAAATTGGTTATGTTTTGGCATTATCAAGGGGGCTCAGCCCACTTGGGCGGCCGCCCTTCCACTGCACCCCCATCCCAAGCCCCAGCAATACACCAATTCGACTCACGGCCTCATTTTGAAAAAGTTCTTCAAATTCTTTTGTACAAAAGTTTTGACCTCAGATTTGGATTGACAGCAATGATTTTAGTCTACTTGTAAGTTTTTATTATGATATTGCTCACGATATTGATTTTATGACGACATAAAGATAAAAACTTTATAAGGGATTTGACCGTAATTGGAAACTAGGAGGGTAAAATTTCCCCCGGAACGATTTTTGCGGTCAAATCCCTTACAAGTTTTCAAACTGCATTTCTCGGTAAAATCCAAAATGCAAGCTCAAACAATATGAAAAATGGCATCCCGCCTAAAATTATGACGATAAAACCAAATCTGAGCTTAAAAAAGTCGTATAATTAAGTTTGGAAAAATTTCCAAAACGAGGTCGTAAATCGAATTGGTGTATCACAGTCTTCTGTTCTAAAATGGCGAATTCCAAATTTAAATCGTTTCTTGTCATTTTAAGACAAAGAACCCCAAGCAACACGTCACCAATGGCCTGAAGAGGCCTACATTCAGGGGGAAAAGGCAAATCATTTTCGGTTTAAGTTTAGTTGTTTGCATAAAGGACATGCACTAAGCAAGACACTGCAAATTTGAATCGTATGTGGCAAGGTTTTGACTACTTTTTTACTGTTTCATGCATTTGTTTGAAGTTTTCTAGGCTTTTTTTCTGTAAGATTTTTCGATGTTTCTTAAAGCAGCTGTAATTGTTGACAGGCTCAAAACCACTTTTATTTCCAGTTGGCTTGGCTTTTCCGTAGAGTAAACAATTGTCCAATATGACGTTTATTTGGCTGCGATTCTCACTGCTAATTCCTTTTTTGTTTAATTTTCCATCTTATAAATGCCAGACGCGACTGGAGAAAAATTTATTATCAATGCTTTTTGTTGAGACTGACTTCTATTAGAAACAGGATATTAATTATTCACTTTCAGTATAACTAACTAAACGAGAGTATAATTGTCGGCAGTTTTCTTAATCTAAATGTCTTGTTCATTATTTACTTCAATTAGATTAAGAGCTATCATTTCAAGCAGACGATTTCTACTAAAAAATTCACATGTTATTTATACTCTGGATTTTCGTCACTGAGGAAAAAATAAGACTAATTTTGTAACTTTGATGACTGTCTGTTTTTTGAATGCATACCTCTTAAAGATGTGCGAATGTAATTGCATTGACAGGGCTTTTATCAAAGCTTGTTTTCCTTGTAGTTGAAAATATTCATTCGCGTTTTGGTTGCAGCTATATTCAGTTTGTTTTGAGGAACACCTACCGCAAAATTTCGAGTAGCAGACGTTTCAAACTGTAAGCACCATTAAACGTAATCCCAATCCTGTCACCAGTTTACATTTTAAGCTTCGAAATAATGTTGGTAAACTTGAATAAATGCGATAGACGTTGGTATTCCTAAAACTTGTCGTATATTTCTTAGTTTCCTGAGGAAAATGGGCTGACATTGCTGGGAACGTTTTCGCTACAGCTTCTACGCAAACATTTGATATCCTAGACACTATATTATGAAAATTTGGTTTCTATTCAAGTTCTCATTGAGCCTTTTTCTACGTCTCCTATAAAAAAGGTCCATATCATGCGATTTATACAAACTTGTATACTGGCAATAACAAAACCAGAGTTAAAATGACTATAATGGTATATTAACTTCTAATTCCTCTCAATAAAGTTACTGAAGAGGCCTTGCAGGCTCCTTTCATTAAGCTCAATCTGTTGCTTTCGCCTACATCTCCCTTATCGTGTTTTTTGCTTCATTGAACAATTCTGACTGTGTCCCTCTTTTAAGTGTGTTTTCTTCTCTTTTTTGTTAACAGACAATAGGTAACCATGAATTCGACATGGGTCCGACAAAGCTGGTTGAATTTCTCCGCGGGTTAAAATTCTCCGTGGTTTCTTCAAATCTGGATGTTTCACGAGAACCAAAATGGCCAAGGGCAGAGAAACTTTTCAACAGAAGCATGATTGTAAACGTTGCTGGAGAAAAGATTGGTTTTGTTGGATATATAACAAAAGAAACTACTTGGTTTGTAATTTTTTCTGGTATTTACATCATTTTGAAAAAAGACTCATAATAGTTCTTTTGTTTTGTGTCATTGTGAAGTGTGATGCAGCGCTAATGACACAATTGTATTTTCCTGTGGCCGAGACCACTTAAATTGAGGCGTTGGGGTATGAATGTCATGACGTATGAATTATGACCCTGTCTAAGGCAAATTGATCTTCTTCATTTTCAATTTCACCATTAAAATATTTTTTGCTATTAACGCATCACTAGAATGGAAAGCTTAGGATATCTTGACATTCATATCTGACACTTGTTCATTTTGTAACGTTTAAAGGAAGTTTTTTGAAAGCAGATTAATTTCTGTTTGTTAGCTTCTTTTTTATATCATGCAGTGACTCGTAGGCCTGGGAGAGGTACTACACAGTTAACTAGGAATGCTGTGATGCCTAACTTGATGTCTTAGGAAGACATTTTCCCTTTATTCTCTTAAGACACTTATTGCCAGATCCCATCTCCTTAAATTAACATAAAAAGTTACATCAATTCTTTATCAAAATGACATTGTTTGTGCTCTCTGCTTGGTAAAATGTAAAAGTTTATATTTTCAGTCCTTGTAAATTAGAAAAACATTCCGGGAAAGTCAAATTATTTGACTGTTTCAAAATTTACTTTTTTCTTATTTAGAGCCAATATATTTGCCCCCTTATAATTGTCATTGCCTTTGCCAACTATTGATAATGCAAGCTTTCAAGAAAATCTAACAAAATTTCCTTTCCCTCTAAAGCCCAGTATCATCGTACATTGACTGAACATATGGTCTTAAAGATAAAATCTTCTTCAGCCTCTTCTTGCTTTGCAAACCAGCAGGACCTTCATTTTTCACGATATAATTTAAACGATCACACAAACATATAAAGTACAACAAACTAACCAATGTGTTTTTATTGGCAGGCTCTCGTATCCAGGTGACAAAGTTAAATTTCAAGACGAGGTTAATGCTGTGAGGGCCCAAGTGAGTTTCCTGAAAACGCAGGGAGTGAATAAGTTCATTGCACTTGGCCATTCAGGGATCGAGATGGATATTGAAATCGCTAAAAGTGTGCCCGATATAGACATAGTTATCGGTGGTCATACAAACACATTTCTGTATACAGGTTTGTATTTTAAGATAACTTTCATTGTGTATCAATATTTGGCTATCTTCCAAAGTAGGCGGAAATTAATTACTTTTCGGAGGAATCGAAGATATCAACTCAAAAGAAAACACATTTTTATATTCTAGAATGAAATTTATATTCATTTTTATATGCGAAAATCTTGTCAGAAAAATTATACTTGGATCAGTACAACATTCTTATCCCCATCCTTGAATAAAACCTCTCTACCAATTATGATTATTGAAGCCAATGATCTGAATATGTTTCCACTGCAAAAATTGTTCGGTTTACTGCATGATAACAAGAATGTTATGAGACATGATAACAATCCGATTGTCACCGTGCTTAGTTTGGAAAGCCTTGCAAGCAGTAGTCGACCGTGTCCTAATGATATTGATATCTTATGTTGATCATGTTACAGAAACCAGCTCTCCCTGGACTTGGGCCTTGCACCAATACCACCGTAGGCTTGAAATCAGTCTTTTTTTGACAACTGACTTAAGTCTGCTTTGTTTATTTTCACATGATGCAGGCAAAGCACCGTCCAATGAGCAACCATATGGACAATACCCTTTAGTGGTAAACCCGACAGAGAGACCCTCCAAGCAAGTTTTGGTTGTTCAGGGATACACATTTGGAAAGTATTTGGGGTACCTCAATGTAAGTTTTGATAGTAGTGGAGAAATTACCAGCTATGGTGGCAACCCTGTTCTCTTAAACGGCTCTATCAAAGAAGATGAAGAGGTTCTGAACGAAGTGAAAAAACGACGTGGTCCTGTTTCAAATTACTCAAAGGTAAGAAAAAATTGTTTTCTCTTTAAAGTAAGGATGGTGGCTTAAGTGTCATGCGGCAGGAATAGAGGGACAAAGAATGGATAAAAGAATACACACAGTTAGTCTTCGTAGAAAGATTACCCTTACTGGTGTGGAAATGAAAAGTAATAAAACAGTTTTATGGCTGTACAGAACTTGAAAATGGCTTTGAAAAGAGCAAACACTTTATGTCATATTTGCTAAAAGACTTTTCGTCCGACACTCCTCAGAGCATAAGACGTCAGAATAAGGGTCCGAAAGAACCCGATGAAAAGTACATGGATCGAAATAAGCCAATCAGAAAAGCGCAAGCACAGGACCGGTATAGTTGTGCAATCAGTGCTGTGCAATCAGTGCTGCGCACGTAAAGAAAAACTACGAATGGAGTCTAAGAGAGAAAACGAACTTCTTCTGTCTACAATTTGGCGGTCAACATCTTTTAGGTAATGACGACATGTTTCAGATAGTTGGCAGAACCCGGTCGTCTTCCCATCTAGCAGTTTTGGAATCGATCTACTTACAAACGAAAAAGCCGCTCATATACAATGAATATGAAAAGTAGTTAGTTATAAAAGCCTAAATGTGCAATAATTGTTCCACACAATCTACAGCTAGAATCAAAGATTTTATGTTTTGTTTAAAAACATGTTTTTCTTCTTTCTTTTTACTGTTACCTTAAGCCTTATTGCTCTGTTTACGATGTTTTACCAAAAAATCATCACATGTATCACCTTTGGCATAACGTCATCAGCGAAGCGTATCTGTATTGCTTTCAGATTCCTCTTGGTAGAACCCACGTGTTCCTTGATGGGCAGCGCGAAACATGTCGACTGCAGGAATGTAACATTGGCAACCTCATAACTGATGCATTTGTCCACATGTACCAAAAACACCCAGACGAAAAGTCTTGGGCGGATGTGTCAATTGCAATGTGGGTATCTGGAGGCATTCGAAGTTCTATAGACAAGAAGATAAATGGTATGTCGAATAATTTCTAAAATCGAGGCTTGTTTATAATTGCTGATATGTTGTTGACACTGACTTTACAAGACAAACTGTGCATATGAATAGTTCTTGTTTTTGCTTTACAATTACAAATACCGTTAATATTTCTGCATTAACGCTGCAATTTACGTTATGGATGCAAAAATCATCCAGAAAGGAGTCGTCTATTGTTTGAATCGACTTGATTCTGCAACTGAAGCAATATCTAAAGAGAGAAGACATTAGTCTAAAAACTTATTTGGTGTAGAACGATAGTAAAGAACGGCATAATGCTTGAAGTACTTTGATTCAGCAATGTGATAGCACAATGAAACATCCATGTCGTAGGCACATCTTGAGTTAGACTTATTGCTTGTTGTTTGGAGGTGTCCGTGATTGGGATGTCTCCGTGATATGGAGGCGCCCGCAAGTAGGAGATTGGGAGATATATAGGAACGCTTGTTGCTATAAATTGGTTTCTATAATGACTTCTAAATTGATTCAACGTGCAGACAAAAGGGGCCAGCAAGAGACGATGTTACGTGATCTTTGCGTTTGTTGAATTTACAGATTAATTACAATACATGTAAATATAAATCCATATAAGAAATATACATATAAAACGAGGGGTCACTACAAAAGTGATGCTGATTATGTTATTGTGGGTACGAAGATACAAAGGAGGACATGACTACAGTCACTAAAGAAGTCCTTTACTGGAATATGTCTGCTGTTGGAATATGTCTGCTAGATAGAGATGTTTGTTGGAGGAATATGTCTGTTACATGGAGATATTTGTTGGGGGCGATGTCCGTTTAGTAGAATACGTCTGTTATTGGGTAAGATTTACAAGTGCTTATAAAAATATATTTTACTGATGCTTATAATATACTTAAGATTGATGAATCTTAAAGGATTTTCAAAGATTTTACTTTGCTTCCTTCCTAGATTCACTGACATACAAAGATATTATCACTGTTCTTCCATTTGGCAACCAAGCTGACATCATCGAGCTGAAAGGAATACATTTAATGGAAGCCTTGGAACACAGTGTTGCTGGGTACAACCCAACCGCACCAACAGGACAGTTTTTACAAGTTTCCGGTACGTTCTATTCTATTTCTTTTGGGATTTCACGGAATATCTAAACGCTATTCGGTATCCAGCAGGATGGACCAGTGTTGTTTTCAGTGAATTGAAAAAACCAGGCCTGTCGGAATATAGGTATAGAATATATTGAAAGACTAAAAGAAGCTTAAGGTCCCAAGTATGTTCTGTTTCATTGTAGACTACGACAAATGTGAAAGGATGTTGTTTGGAAATTCCTTTACCGTTTAATTTTACGAATTGCAGTTAATGAAACTTGATTTAGAATTAAGTGAAAATTATCTCTGTCTTAGAAATGATATATTCTTCTGAAAGGCTCATTTTAGGGTTTATATTATAAGAAGTCTGGATATTTTCATTATATTAATATTTTAATTCTGAGTCGGCATATATCAACTACTAAAGAAACAGAAGGGAAGATATTACAAGTGAAAGAGGAGAAACGATAACTTAATGGAATGTTTACCAAAGATAAGGCAGAATCCTGAACTTTCTAAAATACATCGAGACTTTGGGAACCGCAGCTTGGTAATAAAATTTATAAAGAGTACCACGACAAAAAAGACATAATGTGAATCAATTCGACAACTTCTTAATCCGATAAATAGACAAATCCATTACATTCGGCAATCCTTTGTTACTAATCCGTTAAATAGAAAAGTCCATTATAATAAACGTTTCGACTCTACCTAGAGTCATCTTCAGTATAAAAGAAGGGCGACAAAAGGGGAACATAAACCATGTGATCAAGCAGTACGCTAATTTCTAAAATACGTTGACAAACACGTTGCATAACCTCATTATTATACAATACAAAAAGGAGCACATCTGTGAACAGCAAATAGGGACTTTGCCTTTTTTCTTGAAAGTGGGAGGAAATTCTCTGAATATATGCCAAGGGTTACACTCTCTTGTCAACTTTTGTGATTCAAGGACAACTTGTAAATGAGGGCAGCTAATATTTTTTGTCTGGATTTTGAATACTGTATCTTGAGTTAATTTCCACAATGGCCAGACAGAGATTCCCTGCCTTTACCAGGAGATGGGACAAGATAACATTTAAATTGCTGTATGATGCAATAGTACTGTGTCTATGCAGCTAGCGAAGACAATTGAGATAAAAAAGCATATCAGATAAATTGCATTGAAAAAGGCACGTTCAATTAACTCATTTTTATTTTCTATTTATGATTTATTTCTCAATTCCATTTTCGTTTCGTAGGTATTCGCGTGCAATATGACCTTGATCAACCAGTTGGCAAGCGTGTCGTCAAGGCAACAGTTAGGTGCTCTAAATGCAGGGTACCAGCCTACGTTCCAATAGAAAACAACACGGTATACAAGGTAATGTCTCAGTTCCTCTTTGTCAGCTACTTTATTCCTATTCTTGTGAGCGTTAACCGTTTTCTTTTGCAATTGTGAAAAACTTGGAAAGGACAGTTTCAAATAAAAGGTGACTCAAGAAAAAAGTTAATATCAAAGTTAAAACAGGTCTAGATATGGAGCAGGGCTGGATAAGTCTTGACATTATACTAAGCCATTCCTAATTCCAGTGCTAAAAAATTCTTATAGATATCTTAAACACCAGTGCTAAAGAGCTACTTTTGTAGAGACACAAAATCTTAACATCGTAACAGGTCTTGATTCCCTCATCCCAGGAAGCAACGTTGGGCTGTTGGTGCATCGGCACAAGTTGCTTTACCTAACCCATACAAAAAACCTAACTTTTGATATAGCTTGCTAGACTCAAGTACAAGCAGCTAAAAGTTTTTGGCAGGAAATGGACAAGAAAAGTTGCTGAAATAAGAACCCCTAGCAAAATCAAATTCTACAACATCTCTCGTCAAATTAACTCTGATAAAATTTCAATTGATCACCATGATTAAGTGTGAAAAGCATTCTTGCATGTATATAAAACTTCCCGAGGACGAGCTATTTTTCATGCAATAACAGAATGCATATTGTTTGAAAGTACTTTTAAATTTATTGGGAGCTTTAATCAGCAAATGCAACATACATAAATTGCCATATCTCTTTAGATTATCATGTCTACATGGATGCGAAGAGGCGGAGACAACTTTCAAATGTTTGTCAAGCATCGAATCAAATTGCATCCAGGTGAAGACGCCGTGAGGCTTGTTGCAGAATATATAGACTACATTGACCCAATAAGAACTGGCGTAGATGAGCGTATCACATTTGTAAAAAAGCCAAAGTTACCCTCGAATTGTGTATGTAATAATTCCAAACCATACACCTGTGGTGGTATGTCTTCGTCAGCGCCTCCTAGTCTCCTTATGCTAGTCATGATCTTGGCTATGTCATTTCTAGTATTTCTGTATGTTTAAGATGAGCCCTTAGTCATTGCACTAAAGTCATAACCTTTTCTATGGTGGAGCAGAGAAACAGCTCTTTATCTTACTTGGGTCGAGCCAAGGGAGAGTTGGGGCATAGATCTCAGTATATGCAGAGAATATGGTTACATATCAAGAAAACGTCCTTTTCTATCGATGATGATACTGACTATGCTAGGTGACTCCATTCACACAGGTAACACCTAATTCTGAGACAGATGTCCCATGACTAATCAAGTCTAAAAATGTAAAAAAATAGACACTTTCAAGAATTATTTCATTGAAACCTGAATTTAAAACGACCTCTGCAAAACTAACAAAAGTTTTGTTTCTTTCTAAAATATCTTCAAAGAGATATCGAACAACCTATACTAACAAAATGAGTCGTTACGATTTTCTGCTAACTTTTATGTTGATTTTTTTGGCACCTGATCAAAAATTATTCTTCGTTTGATTGATCTTGGCACATACTTGCATTCAGATTTAAGACGCATATTCAGGAGTATGTTTTCTCTGTTCAACCTACTCCCAAACAGAATAGTGAGAATAGTTAGCCAGATCAGTAAGAAACCAGCAACCAGTGACTCTTGTTGAACCATTAACTGTTTGTGTCAAAATTTTGTAATTATGCATGTCTTATAACTAAAGTTTGATTATCCGTAACATTTCAAATTAATAGCTTCGTGAGATAACTAACTGATTACTTTTCATCAAAATCGTTTGCTTTATTCCTAAATTAATTTTTGCCATCTTAACAACTAATCAAACTTTCCTTTTCTATCTTATACTACAAATCAAAAATTCTAATAATCTATGACAACTTATTTCTGCCAAAATCTTGGAGGCAGTAAACTATAAGACCCTCGTAAAATAGCACTAACATCTTTACACTCAAATTAACCCTTCGGTAAGTCTTTTTATTTTTAAAACTGATTTTGCAAGTTGCTGGCTAAAAGATAAGTACAGTTGGCAAATAACCTGCTTTTAGTCCACCTAATGAAGAGACTTCACCTTAACTTGTGATTACAGGCAGTGTACTGTGATTTTGCAATGTAACATTTTAAGCTGTTTATTCCTATTTATAACTAAAAAGGACGCTAATAAAGTATGTCATGCTTATTAATAATGGGGCAAACATAGAATATAATATATTACCTTTAAACAAAAGAAGAAATTACTCTAATTATTGACGAATTCTAATAATCCACCATCAACTATTGATTGATAAAATTTCTCTGAGATAGCAGCATTCAGGAAAAAATGGAACACCACAGTTTTCTAATTTAAACATATCTAAGGACAAGAACTGGATTTATCAAGCTAATGCATGTTTAAAATTTTAGGCTAACCTGCTGGTAGTACCCCTGGCCCAGTTACCATATGTTTTACAATCCCAAAGCTTTCTGAAAATAACTTCTTACTAAAGACAATATCTTCACTTTATACACACTTCCACACTTGCTGTACTGTGGTCTTACCAATTCCTTATACCCATTTTAAAAGTTGTAAATTGCTTTGTTTATACATATATGATAAACTAGTAACAGGAAATTGATAAATTATTTGATAAAATGATCAAACATTGGACTATATATTACAAAGACAGTAGATATAATTATATTTGATTGAACAATTAATATCAGTATCTTGTTGGAATTCTTTAGAAGATCAATTTTGATTGAAAAAAATTGTTCACAGAAAGTCTCTTTTTACACCTCTCCTATATAATACATTTTTCTCATAATTTTCTTCAGAGAAATAAGGGGAGCTGGTTGCTTTTGGTTTCAACTATATAACACTTTTTGATTGGTTAGCTTCTGCAAAAGTTGATTCACAGCAGTTTGTTTCAAAATAAATGAAGTTTCAAAAACTGGGAGTGTATTGAGAATATTATGGATGGGTATATAAAAGCAAAAAAACTTGTGTGTAATAAGAAAGAAACACAGGATATGCTGTCCACCAGATTCTGTAAATCTTGCGATAAGTAGAAATACAAATAATAGCCAGGAACAAAGCAACGAAATGACAAGAATCTAATGTAATGAAATATAATTTTAAAATAAATTTAATTTTAATAAATACTAATTTTGTCCTGGCATATGGGGCTTCATTAGAGTCACTCAGCTTCACGCTGTTTTGTTGCTTTGTTCTTGACTATTATTTGTAAATAACTTATATTTGCATCAAATACAGAAAAAACTCATTCCAAAAATTCTGAAATCATGGGAAAAGAGTTTGAGGACAGAGTTTAAAATCAAACAAATGTTTTTTGATTCCATGGAAAAGACAGTTCCAAAAAAATCACAAGATTGCTCTTAAACAAATTGAATACCAGAATCTGTAACAATAAACTTGCAGCTGTATGGATTGGGTTTATTAGTTAAAGATGCAATAAAAAAGCTTGAGTTTTTATCACACAAATCTGTGAGTCCTTTCTCTAAAACGAATTTATAAGTGAGAAATTTGTTCCATTCAGGACTGAGGTAGTCAGCAGGATCCCAAGAATCTTTATGTGTTTTACTGCTGGACACTGTTTGGCTCATTATAGCAGATTTGGCTACAAAAACAAGCAAGTGAAATTCTTCTTGAAGCTTCTTAATTTTGCTTATTATACTTCGCTGGAGTCCTTCTTGTTGGTACCTGGTAGTACCATTAATTGTCCTGTCCATCCAATAAAACTCTGAAATGGTATCCACCACCAATAAACATATGTCTGCATTTTCATGAAATAATTTTTCAAGGTGTGATAAAGTTTTGATGAGGTTCAAACTTGAGGAGCAGCGGACTAAAAACAGTCTTTGCAGACAAGTTCTCATTATTTCATTCATATCTGCTGTGCTGATAAATATAGATTTATTAGAAGCTTCATATCTAACCCGTTTTTCCAGCACACCCATGAGCCGCCACAATGGAAATTTGTAAGCAGTATCAATAAATACAACCTTTGCTTCTTTGCCAAATAAATCTAGAGAATTCCATTTTTTTGGCAAGATGCAGTTGATACAAAAGTGAATGAGTACTTCTGTTTTTCCACAACCTTCTTCACCATAGAATTCAACTGAGTCTCCTGATTGTAGCTCCTTTTTTAAACCTTTGAAAAAAATTTTATCAAGCCCATCCAAAGATTGTTTTGCATCCAATCTTGAAAATAACTGAAATGAAAATGTTTTGCATTGGCTTAAGCCATGAAATTTAAAAAATGGGGAAAATTGGTAAAATATACAGCAGAGAAGAAAATGTGTGTTTTATGCAGATTCACACAACTCTATGTTCATTCTGAAACACTTTTAGATGGTATGTCTTGATTAGGTAGGTAGGTAGGATAGTATTAGGAAGGATTTAATCTGATAGTTCACATTGTTTAAATATTGATAACATGACATTTTTTGTCTACATTAGAGAAAACATTGGATGGACTTTGGATCAAGCCGTGATTAATGAAGCTGTTCAACATTTTTTTACTTTGGATAGCCAATTTTTAAAGATAGAAAGATAAACAGTCTAAGGAATTCCTTAGGAATGGGCTTGAAATCCTCTGTGTTGGCAAACTGGGGCAAGATTAAAATATTGATGTTTTTGCATGACCTATGGTTTCCCCTACTTTCATCTCAGCTAACTCAGATAACAAGTGTTGCATATGGCAAAATTCGTTTCTATCAAAAATTGCAAAGTCTTTGTGCTATGCATTTTGTCTGCTGGCAAGAAACACAGATTCCACTCTGGGTTGCGTATATTTCATCCATATTTTTAGTAGTAAAAACTCCTTTCACCAAATATATAGCATGAAAACAAAAACTTTCTCTCTAATAGGGAAATGTGATTTCAATATGTCGCGTAGAATTCATATAACAGGGTGTGCATTTTCCAAGAGTGGCCACCTGGGAAAATTGAAATAGTTCGTGTACAAATGCTTTTTTGAAAAAAGAATTATCAGCTCTTTTTATCAAAGAAAGATGATTTAGATTTTAATTTTTTTCCTAAACTAATTTTTTAGAACCGATATTTTGACGATTTTGTTGATTTAAGTAAGATACCTGTAGAGCTGTTTCTGTATTTTCCGCCATTTTCCCGCTCACATTTTGTGAGGCTACAAAGCGAAAAAGAGGCTAAATATTTTTCAGACGAAACATCAATATGGCGGGCAGGAAGTTTATATTCCAAATTTTGCTGGTATCGATTCTGTATTCTTCAGTAAAAGGTTTGTATGAAATTCGAAAGTTTATTTATTTGCTTTGAGATGATGATGTAGCTTTTTACGTTTATATTTCTCTGCCGATAAAAAACAAAAGGGAAAATTGAACCTGATATGATCGGCAGGAGATTGATGGGACCTTTTTCGAAAGGCCGACTGTTTTTCGAGGGAAGTAAAGATTAATTGGGTGCTAATAAAATGTTGTACCTTTCAGACAGACACTGACCATTGTTAATGCATGGTTTCATATGAATGTCTAAGCCAACAACATGCTTGTATATCAATTTTGATTAGTATATCTATTTAGAGTTTCCTCCTTAGTCAATTAATCTTAAATACAATCTTGTAATATGCCTTTTTTGTGTATCTTATAATCAATGTGAAATTAAATGTAGTTTGTATTAATATGTTTCTTGTGTAATTACTTGTAGATTGGATTTAGGATTAATTGATAAATTAATGAATGAACTGAATGAAGCTTAATGTATCATATTTTAATATTAGCACTATATAATCATCAAGCATTAATAACTGGTTTTTTGTCGTGCCAAATTCAGGAATAGCTTCTTTAATAAAAGTTATTATCAGAATTTTTCTATGGCCTTATCATCTAAGATACCTATATAGTATTTATTGAAGGTTAAATCAATGATCAGTGTTTGTTTTTATATGCTAGCCTCTCTAAGCATTTTTGACAATTTCAAAAGATGTATTCAGGCATAAAAATAACAAATATATTAAATTATATTTTTTCCTTGACCCTAATTCTGTCAAGAATTATCTGATTAAAGAAAATGCTAAAAGATAACATCACTTTCCAATGCCAATCTTGCACCACCATATTGGTAACATTTCCCCCAGTATAAGGGACCCTAGTATACAGTCAAGCCCCGGAATAGAAATTGTCAATCAAAATTAAGTTCTAAAGTGCCACCAAAGCTGTTTCAATTCCTTATCGCAATGATAGATAGAAGTTGTTTCAATACATAGCTGCTTCTTTGCCAATAGAGACACATTTTCAGTAAGGACCATGTTTTAGAACCCGTACATGAAGGACATTCCCATCCAAACATTTGTAAACTAAAATGTTGCCTTGTTTATGATGAGAATTTACTGGGGAATTTTATGAACAAGAAAGTTAGAAGAAAGATTTCTCTATGAACTCAAGGTTACAAATCAATCTCTGTAATTAAGTGCAGCCTTCTGAAAATCAAATCCACATGTGACATTACGTTATTCAGCTGTTGAAAAACTCTCTACCCAAAAACTCCACCTCAGTTGTGGGAGAAATGCAAGAGGAATGCACCTCTAGGTCAGAGTTAGAGGCTTCTCCAGGTTACATGGACCTCTGTACATTTAAGCATACAAGGGGCAAGTATGATAATTTATATTGTCAAGAGATGGGTGCCACCTATCCTGTTGGCAAGTCTGCTAGAAACATGTTATTCCTGTTATATTACTTTAGTAGCTTTCAAAAGTCTTGATCCACATTCCAAAGGCATACTAAGTTTTCTGAATGTAGTGTATTGCAATGGAACTTGCCTTCTTTTTGCAGGAGACAAATTACAATCAAAAATATATAAAACTTTCAAGAGCTTTTTCCCTTGTGTGTTACTAACAAATGCAACACATTCAATAGGATGTACATGTAAGTAAAACTTTTTTTGTAGACAAATATTCAATTTGGTTTTTATCTTTTTATGATGGCTTTATGACCTGTTTTGACAAAGAATAAACAGCAGTCCTTTTACGCTGGCAACGTTATGCCCATCTCATAAATATTTATGTACATTGTTGTTTTGAAAGAATGATAACATGTTGATTTGATATATTTTTAAAATACAAATTAGCTTCTTATCATGTCTATGGTTCTTTATTGATTGTTGAGGCATTGCATCAATATTAAAAATAAAAGCTGCCTACCTGCACATTCAAAATCCAATTTGGACAGTTCTCAATGGAAGACAAAATAATTGTGAAACTTTTTTGTCAAAATAAAGGAAGAAAGATATTTCTGATGAAAATTTTTTGAAACATTTCAATTTTTAATTAAATTATTGATTTAAATAATATAGTGTTTTAAGCTTTTTTGCAAAGAATTCCTTATTATCTAGTTGACATATTTTCAGCAAGTGATAGCCTTGATTTTGAGTTGGTTATGTTTTTGGATCCATTTCAGCTTCTATGAATGGCAATGTGGGTGTGCTACACCTGATAGCAAAATCAGAACATCTAGAATGGCTTCTAAATGTTGGTCCTCATAAGCCATACATACCACTCATATCATCCAGTATGTTTACAAAGTAAGTCAAATATTTTTTCTATGATTTTAGTCCTATATAAATCCTTATTAAGACTGGTGTCAATGCATTTATGATGTACCACCAAAGGAGTTGGCCAACCCATGAGGTATTTGAAACATTGAGAGTACATAAATGAATATCTTAACCCAAACTAATGAGTAATATTGAGTTATATTTAACCCAAACTAAAATTATTTCAGCATTGGTTTCAGCATTGTGTGCTCTTTTGCAAAAATGTTCTATTGATGTTTTGTTTTCTCATGTTTTTATTTCAAATAAAAGTTTTTGCAGTGAAATTTGATGTTTTTGTCTTTATTAAAGGTTTTTGAATAAAGTGACAGTAAAGGGAACCTGTTTTAAGTACTGGAAACAAAAATATATATTATTGAGTTTTTTATGTTTTGTTTAATTTTTAATGTTATTCTGCTTAATAAGGAGAAATAACCTTTTGTATATATAGAGTGCTTCACCTTGATATTTTTTGTGGGATAAATTTTAAGATATCAGATGAGTTATATGTAAATATATGAGTCTATTTGTGATGGTTGTGAACTGTATATAGGTCTGCTTTCTTTACTATTTTATTCTATATTTTATTTTTATTTCATTTTGTTGATAATTTTTTTTATGGTAGCCTCATCTTATCCCTATTTTTGTTCCTTTTATTTTATTAATCGAAAGACATAATATTAATTTCTGTTTACCAGTCTGTCAAAAAGTTTCCGATGCTGTACATGATTTTAGTGTACAGAACTGGACAGTTCTAAGTTGCTACTCCAAGTTTCACCCTTAATACCTTCATCAGGCAACTTTTGTAAAAAGAGAGATCTTAAAAGTCTGGTTTATGTTTTTTTAGAGATACAATGGATCGCCTTGTAGCATCAAAGAAAATCAATGGGGCATTAGTTATAAGCACTGGACACCTTGGAAAAACACCACTTGCCGGTATTTGAGAACTTCACTTTGTTGGTAAAGCCCGATCGTCCTTCCATCTAGCAGTTTTGGAATCTATTTACATAAGCACTAAAAAACCGCTATTATGTAGAGAAAAGGAGTTCGTTTTCACCTTAGGACTCCATTGGTAACATTCTCAACAGGCAAGCAGCTCTGATTGGTCAACCTCAACATTCATGTGCTCGCCTTTCTGATTGGCCTATTTTGATTCACAGTTGGGGATATAAATTTCCTAGCACAGAGTTTTCGATCTATGTTCTGACATTTTAAACTCTAAAGAATGTCAGACAAAAAGCTTTAATTTACTTGAATGTTTGCTTTTTTCAAAGCCATTTTCAAGTTTTGTACCACCAAAAGATTGTTTGCAGAACTTTACTTTGTTCAATTTTAATTCAAAGCTTAAAAATTTTTCAACTTTATATTTAAAGATTTGCTTTGAAGTTTAAATTATGTAAAAGGTATTACCAAAAATGTGTTTTCCTGTTCGTGTTTCAGATATTTACATTCTTATAACTCTTGCAAATACGTCTCTCCTTTTAATCTGATGATCCATTGTTTATCAATTTATTAAACCAGCTTTTAATTGGAAGGATGGAGGATTGTGATATATTACATGTAAGTTTAAAATGTTATTCCCTCCCAAGAAAAAGTATGGCTGGCAAGGAATTTCCTAATGACAGGGAAGAGTAAACTGCTAATAAGTGGCTTTAAAGGCAGTCTGTCCCCTATTGTGCTTAACTTTATTTTCACAGGAGTGAAATTCACGCACCGTTGAGCTTGATCAATAATTAAATGATTTAAACCAAGCAGAGACAACATGGATTCCAGAACTTTTGAATCAAATGGCTGTGCTCTCATTGAAGTAAAGCTGTGGCTAGAAAAATTTGTTCCCTGTTTGGTTTTTACAACAGATATGTCAACAGCGAAAGGAAATGCTTCCATTATCATCAGTCAATTCCAGTAATTAAATCTTATTGCCATTCCTGATAGCTTTTTGCTCACAGTTTCAAATGTTGTCTACTACCGCAGCTAGGCCAGCCAAATCCAATAAGGCATGAAGACCTATTTTCATATTAGCCAATCATTGAGAGGACAGACTGTCTTTAATAGATGAACTGAAATATGATTTAGGTGATCCTTGAAATAGCTGTTCATCGATTCATAAAATTCTTATTTCTCTATGCTCCATCATGTTGCTGCCAAATTATTTATTGTTGCACCGTTTCTAGTTGTAAGATCTTTGACACAGGTTGAATCAAAGTTTTTTGTATCAACAAATAGTTATAAATTAACATGCATTCAGAATTAAGAACTTTTTCTTTAAGGATTTTCACCTGATCCTGCTTGTCCTCTTGATAAATACGGTATGTCATTTCAAAAATGTTATCAAATTATTCTGCATTTTGACTTTGCTGTTGTTACAAAATCTACGCAAACACAAATTTAAGATTATAAGAAAAAAGCATAAAATTATTCATTACATACAACTCATTTGTTGGATCTATCAATTTTGCGGCCTGGCATTCTTGTAACAATAAATTTATCTCCAAGGTCTTTTGCCATTCTGGTGTTTGCTCTTGTGTGTCATATGTCATCATTTCATTAGCACATTGAGAAGGGTTGTACAATTATTTGATACTGTTTTGATATTTAGGCACTGATTACATGCGAGGTGGCAAGTCTTCCTGTTGTTAATGACTTATCTGGTATATAATACCTGTTACGATTTTAAACCATAATTCCTGCTATTATTAGGCATTTTATCATTTTAGGCATGTATTCAGATAACAAGGAATATTCAAGCTGCAAAAAAGTTCAATGGAACAAAAAGGTTTGTTTACTTTTGCTGCATAGATATTGACAGGTATATATTTCTGAAATCCGATGCAATTTTGGAGAACTCCCTATCACTGGTTTAACTTATAATTGATGTATCTATTATCTAAGTGATGTTTATTTTTTACACTGTTACAATGCTGAGCAGTAGGTTAGTATGGGGGCAAGAGGTGGCTGCACTCATAATGGCCATAAATATTTTTGAAAAGGGCGTTTCTCAGCCTTCCAAAGGGTGGGGAACCAATTCTTCCCACAATTTATTAGCTTTTGCTACTCCAAAATCTTACCACCATTGCTACGCCATTGGTTATAAAAGCCATAGGAAATAAATACCTTTTACCTCCTTCTGTATTTGTTTGCCAAAAGTGACAAAAAAGTTTGTTGACAGTAATCAATTTAAACCATTTTGAAGTCAGTTTAGTCTCTCAAGAGCAAAATTATTCCAAAATTTGTAATTAATTATCATTTTTCTAATGCTTGTCTTCCAGGGAAATTCAATGTCAATGGTTTATTATGATCTTCCAATATTTGCCTTGGGTTCTGAAGAAGAAATCAATGAAACAATGCGGGTAGTTATCTATTTGTTTCTCCAATCAGGCAGTATTTTATTACCTGCTTGCTTTATATATTTTTATATCAGCAAGATAAAATAAGAGAACTGAGATAGTCTAACTAAGACCCCTCGATTTACTTCCCTTTTCGCATCCCGATTCTCGGCGAAACGGGTTTAACGGCTCATTCGCCACGTCAAGGCTTGCTCTTGTCAAAGGTGGTCGTGTTTTAGACAACAGAACCTGTTCCACCGTAAATCAGGATGCAAAAAGGGAGGTAGATCGGGGGGTCTTAGTTAGACCATCTTAATTCTCTTGTTTTATCTTGATATCAGGAAAGTGGATGTCAACAATTTTCGAATCAGTTAGCTTTCTTTTTAAAAGTTTATCGCTATTTAGTTACATTACCCTCTCTTTTCAAATCCTTTTCAAATATAACATTATACTTGAATGGCTTGAATTCGTCCTTGTCAACCTGCAAACATAGACATCTATAGGGTAATTTTTTCCCATGCACTCACTTTTTAGAATTCCTAATTATTAAATAAAGAGTATCTGTTTCATTGAGAATGTTTAATACTTTTTCATCGATATTCACGGATTTTGTTCTCCCCAGTGTATAGAGAAGCACAACTCAAATTCCGAATATCCATTGTGTGCAGTTGAACTAAAAGATTTCATGTTTGCTGCAAAAGACACTCCTACTTGTAAAAGAAAATCAGATGCCCCCGTATTCCTGCAAAGCACGATAAGTATGAAATTGATAGCAGTTCTTACTTGTTCGCTTAGGAGGGGATTTCGGGGAACGAATTGTATATCTGGGGGGTTGTAGTGTCTTTGCGGTTCACTGATATAAGAACGTCACCTTGCTGCAAAGAAAGTTTGTTTCTTTCTTGCATAGAAAAAATGAGACCTGTTTTATACGCAAGAGGGCCCCTTTTTACAGATACTTATAGTAATTACGGATTTCAGTCAGTCGATATGAAAACGTCTTACGGTCTGTGGGGTGGGTGGCTTGGGCGTCCTTGCATTTTGAAATAATAAAAAGGCATCTGTGTGCTATTTCAAAGACCTCAATGGGAAGGGGCACGTTTCTAAAATCTTTGCGAAAATGATTCTTTACTGTGATAAATGATTAAAAAAGCATGCCATTCCAAACAGAAAACATGGGGGCAGCTAAGGGACTAAAAGACTTGTTCCATCCAACAAGTTTGTTAATTGAGGCCCTGGAATTGTTTGTCTCACTATGGATTAAAGGACTGTGTTCGTTTTATGAGCTTAAGATGCGAAATATCTCTTCACCACGAAGCGTGTTTTTACCTTTCCGACCTCCGCTAGCAGAACATGCGTCCTCTGTTAAAGTATGAAGTGACCTACAGCGAAAACATCAGCGTTAAAGAGTTTGGTAAAAAGAGTTTGGCACAGATTCAGAGAAGAGCCAGTGTTTTTTGATTTTCAATTTTCTTAAGGACTCTTTTCAACTCCGATAGACAATGTTTCCAATGGTATTTTCATATATTCAAATAGGATTGCCGTCAGAATACACACAAAGGTACCGCAAATGTCATCCTTGCATCCGTTTTGAACTCATAGAATTAGGGTTAATGTAAAAAAGGTATTACCCATACCGTAATCTTTTTAGAAACCTATCAGTCTAATGCTCTTAAAAACATGAAAAAGAAAAATCTCATTTTTTCTAACAAGCTTCCATTCCACACGATTAAAGTGAAATAAGATTTGTTTTTATATATGTATTTGTTTCAAGCTGAAAAGCTGTTTAGAATGGTGCGGAAAACTCTGTTGGTTTGTTGTACTGTTAGGCCTGCGATTCGCCAGGGTCGTTCTAATATTTTGCTTAAAATAGATTTCATTCCCCTCAAAGAAAATTATAAGCAGATTCTATCATTTGATGAGATTTATTCGGCTCCAGTTTTTATATGGTTGAGATAGTGGCAAAGTATACATCTATCAAGCAACAACTCTCGATTCCGGACATCCCAAACAACGGACAGATAAAAGCAAGAAAATGCATGCCCCCTTGTAAACCAGCATTGCTGAGTGGTCTTACATGCTTAAATAATGAATGAATGAATGAATGAATGAATGAATGAATGAATGAATGAATGAATGAATGAATGAATGAATGAATGAATGAATGAATGAATGAATGAATGAATGAATGATTGAACGAATGAAGGCCTCGGAAAATGTAGCCCCTAAAACAATTGTGACATCCTCCTACAATTGACAGTAACTCTAGACTCACAGGTCTTTAATATGGAGGTTTGGATGTATGTGCGAATCAACAAAATTTGAGCGTAATGGAAAAGTCAGATGCCTCTACAAAATCCGTAATCGCGATTGATGTAGAAACATTTTGATTTCCTGACATCTTTGTTTCCTGTTGACTGAAACAAGGATATGCTGCCATATTGTTGTTTTGCTGCAATATTGAACGCAGTACGAGCAACTTCAAATGTTCATTGATAATTCATAATCTTTAGGTTCCCGTCAAAGTAGATGCGCATGGAAAAATCCCCATATGACAATATTTCAAGAAATACCTCTACTGATATTTTGCGGCTACCCACTTGGCTATTTGATTTGCTTATCAATTTGAACAACAACTTTAATTTTAGATTCATTTTGTGATCCTCTTGGAGACTGGAATGTTTGGGGCACTCTGTACCCCCTCACCAAACCTCTGGCGGAAAAAGAAGTTATCATCGTCTCATCAAGGGTGAGTGGTATTTCATAGGTTGAAGAGGTGTGGTCAATTATTATAAACTATCATGTGAGCAGATATTTCATTCATAGAAAAAAATTGGTATAGTTAGAATGTGTATCACTTGCATGAAAGGTTCGATTTGATTGGTGCTTCGTTAATCATGAATCATCCATCATTAAGAATCATTCCTCCAGTTGTGTAACAGAGGCAGCTGAGGCTCTTGGAATAAAGCTGAAACGGGAGCCCTATCTACGGACAGCTAGAAGGTCTCATCCAAGGCTGTTTAGCGTGTTAAACATAATAGCAAGGTGTAAAAATGACACTTTCCTCTGTAAATTGGGGGAGCCAAGTCATTTGCTTCAGTTAAAAAACTTTAAAAGTTGTTGAGAGCAAGGTGAACTTGAGCGAAGTCTTCAAACATAGACATTAAGATATCTCAGGGGCCCCTTTTGACCAGGGACCTTTATTATTCGCGCTCAGGTGCCCTAAATTGCATGAAGCCCTCAGTTTTTATCTTGTGTAGTTACGGATCCGGTATTGATTGACACACATCAATGTAATCAATGTCTGTCTAGTTTTGTAATTCTCATTTTAAATTTTGCATTTTGAACTAACTTTTTAAAGATGGACAGCTCTGGGTTCTTCCACGATCTGGCTCCTGGTGCAAACAATGACGTATCTGGTATTGTGACCCTTCTTGGAGCGGCATATGCTCTTGGAGAACTCAAAAGAAAAATCGTAAGCAGCTTTCAGTTGAAATAAACAGATCTTGTTGGAAGGGCCAAGTTCTACTCAAGGATAAGCTCAAAAATCTTTAAGCAACCTATCTATTCTTTCACTTTTGTTCTTACGCATTTAAATAATACTTTATCAGTTTAATTGATAAGGGTATAAAAGTACCTTTGTACCATTCTATATACTGCCTATCATAACTCTATTGGCCTATTCATAGTTTTGAATGCCTACAGCTGTAATTGGTGTAGCTTGTGCAGTCTGCGCGCAGGCTAGTTATTGTGCAGCTTCAAAAAGGATCATTGCACTTCAGATATTTTTTACCAAGCTAACCAATGTATTAATTGATCAGAAGAAGATCAAATATTCTGCATTATGCATTCGACCTGAAGAAACCGGTTTGTATCAAATTTTCGTACAATGCCTAGCAGTAGAATTTGAAATGCCGCAGATCCCAGTCTACACCGACCTTTGCTCACTATGAATCTTTATCGCATCAAGATTTATATAAGAGATTTATGTATAATTTTTCAATCGTACTTTTTTGGTAAAAATTGCCAGGTAAAAAGTTGATATAAATCTTCATGACTTTGAAAATATTCGAAAGACCTTGCCTGAAGGATAAAAACATCAGATTCACATTTTCAATAATGGTAGCTTGACGAAATGCTTTGGAATTTTAACATTAATTACTTTTCTAAGCAATAACATTGCAATACTTGTGACTGTAATATTGCCAGACCATATCTCCCAGCTCTACTATGGGGATACCACGCTGTAAATCACACGTGATATTATCAAAAAGTCAACTTGAAGCAAATTTCAACTGAAAAGTAACTCTTTTTACAGAAAGCTGGAACATTGACAGGCCACAAAATGAAACCAGTCATGTTTATTTTGTTCAACGGGGTAGGTAAAGCATGATATTTGTCTTGTTTTCAGAACTCCTTTGTCGTTCTTGATTTTCATTTTCATTTCGCAACGTTATGCAACTTCTTTAGCATTATTTTTTTCTAGGCTTGTTTTGCCTATGCAAGTTAGAGCTTTTACTTTTATTACATTTAGCACCATATCCTGACTTATGAGGTAAAAAGGTGTTGTTAACGCTACTCTTTTATGTGTCAACATCGAATTGGTTTGATGGGAAAGCACAAAAAGTGGAAAACAAATATTAGGGTTTTCATGACGATTGATCTATTCTAGCAAAGCTTAAGACTTTGAAGAGTTTTGTTGAAAGAGTCATTTACTCAATGTATTTTTGTAATCGTATATGCATACACTTATCTGTCAGTTTGAGTAAGCACCAAAGCTATGAGAAACAACCCGGAAGGAGCAAGTTGCCGTTTTAAGTTGTGGCTCGCCTAATGTCTTCTTTTTATCGTAGGAAATTTGGGATTATATTGGCTCCTCTCGGATGGTATGGGATATGGAAAATGGCGATTTTCCTTACTCAAATGAAAAGCCGGTAAGATTCTTTTAATGCAAGTGAATAAATATCGCTTTGTAACGCATTTATTACCACATGTTCTTTGTACATTAGATACCAGAGGGCTGAGAACGTTGCTATACTTCTTGTGGCTTGATAATGTAGTTCAGTTTGTTATATATTGAGGAAAACAAAGACAGATAATTCTTATTAATATACGACCTTGTATTTAGCAAAGTGAAACATTGTTGCGATATTCAACACGTGACTCTCCGATTTAAAGGCAATGGAATGTGTTGATATTGACAGTTTCTAAGATGACCAATACATATTTCGCACGATCGCCTTCAGGACCCTTATGATACACTCTCCTTGCCGTCATTTACTATTTTTTTATCTACATAGAATATTATCCAATAGTTTTTATGCACCATGTGCTCTTCATTTCGTGAATCGTTTCCTCGCAGAAGGGCAGCAATAACACTGTTTCAAAGATGAATTTGTCGAATATTGGATACTTTTTGGAAATCAGTCAAGTTGGAGAGATGGCAAATAACACAGTTTGGATGCATAGTGATCCCGTTTCTGTCTCCGGAGATCCTGATGTTAAAAAGGAGGTATAATCAGTGATTGTTTTTTTATGTTTCATGACAACTATTTTTTTGATTTTGAAGATTACGCAATCAGTTTTTTGCTATAGTTTTCAACAAGTTGAATATTTAGATACCAGGTAGTAGTAGAACAAATAGGAGTAGAAATAGAGAAATCCTAACTTATTATCTCAGTGGAATAAACTTGATCTTTTAGTCAGGGCATAAACTTTTACCTGGACTTTTTAAAAAAATCACTCACTTACAAGTCGCCCTTCCCCCTTGGAAAATTCGTATATGGTATACAAAATTCAAAAGGGATTGCATATCAAACTCGAGGGTTGTGCTGAGCAAACTTAATTTTCACAAATTTCAATAAAATTTCAAAGACACATAGAAGATACAGAACACTTCTTGCTACATTGCAATTCTTGCAGAGAACAGTTTTCTTGCTGGTGTTAATGATGTGCTCCAAACTTATGAATGATCTTTACCTCAAGACAAAAACATTTTCAAGCTTTTTTATATCGAGATGAAAAATTTCGTTTGGCGGTGAACTCAGTAATATTGAACTTAAACTGTTAAGTTAATTTAAAGACAGAACGCCTGGTTCAACTTGTAGTAATATCTTGCTCAAGTGTCTCTTGCATGTCTAATTACTCATGTTGCCCTATTGCTGTTTTTGTTTTCTGTAATGGCCATCGGATAGGTATGCTATTTGGCTCCAATAATCTCGTCTTTGAAATATCATGTTATTAGAAAATAAAATGTAATTTTGAAGAGTGAATATTTATTGAAATAATGAATAATTTTCAAACTGTGAAATTCTAGGTTGAAAAAATGGAATCCTACCTGATGGGGGCGGGCAAATCTGGAAGTATTGAAATCAACAAAGCTGACCCATCAGACCCCCTACCCCCCGCATCATTTCAAAGGTTTCTTCGCTCAAAGAAACTGAAGAAGAAGATTCCTGGAATTGTATTGGCAGATCACAAAAAGGAATTCCATAACATGTGAGTGTTGACGATCAAATTTGTTGATCTGTCTTTCGTATAACCCTTTTTTTCATTCACAAATTGTTGTCTTCTGCAAGTTGCCATTGGTTTTCCGATCCTGAAAACAGATGATTTATTTCCAGCTTATAATGTCCAAAAGAAGGAAGTGATATATCCCCTCAACTGTTAAGCCGGTGAAAAACTTTATATTGGCTTTCGATAAATGAGGCAGGTCTTTTCTTCCAACTGTTTCCCCTTTTTTTCAAGCGGTTTTTTATTATCTAGCGCTGTTATGGCAACATTCAGCTTGTTACGTATTTTCTGTATATTATCATTTGAAAAGAACATACTTCATCGCATATTTTCCAAAATAAATGAATGTAATTAAGTTTTTTTCTTAAAGCCTACTGAAGGCACTGCACTGTTAGATAAACCATACGTTTATGATTTTTAAAGAATGTTTCTGGGAACGCATGATGTTTCTCGCTTGTTTAAGGTATTACAATAGTCGATACGATGATGCAGAAAATATCGGAGTCAAATTTGATGTCATTAATCGCGATGGAAAAACATACCTCTCAACTCGAAAGAATGAAAGTGAGGTAGGGAAGTCAAATAATTTACAAGAAAAGAAAATTGGTAAAGATTATGCATATAAAGAAAAATTTGCTGTCTCAGTTATGAAAAGCCAGAAATTTTGATAGTGTCTGAGGATCTAGTTTAATTTCTTTGCTGAAATTTATGCGGGCAATAATTCCCCAATTTTGTTGCTTTTCACTTCTTCTTCTTCTTCTTCTTCTTCTTCTTCTTCTTCTTCTTCTTCTTCTTCTTCTTCTTCTTCTTCTTCTTCTTCTTCTTCTTCTTCTTCTTCTTCTTCTTCTTCTTCTCTGAATCTAAAAAAAGTCGGGGTTGCTTTGATCTAAAAAACTTTTTATTTCCTCTGATATTAGCCAACAAAAATTTTGTGTCTGTTGAAATGTGCATCATGATTTGCTCAGTTGTTAATCGGAAATCATTGTTTTTTGGGACAGTCTCGCTGACATTAACTTATTTTTGCTTACAAATACATCTTTTGTTAGTCTTGAATTACTTTTTGCATTTCATCCGTGCCTTGTCATGGGCATGTATAATTGATTATAGAAACTAAAATTTGTTTGCAACGCGGTCATGTTCCACAGTACCATGGTACGTCAGTAAATTTAGTTTGATCCTCGCTCTCATTCTTTGCACATTCCTTGACAGGAGCTTGCTAATTTAGCAAAAGCTGTCGCCACTGCTGTGTACAAGCTTGCTACCGATGGGAAGGAGCCTCCTGCACCAATGAACGTTTCTGCGCAACAGGTAAATTTAGGCCTTAAAACACGAAACAACGTTGATGTCAAAATGATTGTAGTAGGTAACTGGGTTGCTGCTAGAACTAAATGGCTTTGTTTTTTCGACAAACCCCCTTCACCGTTTAGTGAGATTTATGTACCATGATGTATTGATATACTGGAAAAATGAAATTACACAAACAAATTCCTTTGTGCCATTTCGTGTTAAAAACCCGACTTTGCTTCCTAATTGTTTGTTTTTGTTCAATTTAAAATAGGCTGGTGAGGATTAACTCGAAGACTTTTTTAACTCGATGATGTGACACAGAAATTCATTATGTCACTTCAAACTGTTGTTTTATATGAATATATTCCAGGAATTCCTTTTTTTAGTTAGTAAAAAATATTATTTTGATCATGCTAACATGTCTCCGAAATTTCTTTTTTAGACCCTTGCGATCTTGCTGTTTATATTATATTACCCTAACAAATGTTTTTCTATAGACCTGCAAAAATAACTCGTAACATAAGGCAGGGTTTTCAGATTTCATTGTCGTTACTTGTTATATGAATTGTTTCCTTGTGCCTCTTTTTTAGATTGCAGACCTGATATCGTGTTTCTTAATATCGGCTAGCTGTCCCGTTTTCCGAGAAATCCTTCCAGTGAATTCTAAAAGTACTCTGCGTAAGTTTCATCAATAGCCTTGAGTATTTGATTTAAGTCCACTAGGAGAATCCTATTCTATGGTTAAAGATTCTATTCTGTTTTGAAAAGATTTTGACCTCAGTATACATAACAGAACAAGCTGCTCGCTTGCTTATAAAGATTTTGGTATGTTTAGTTTCCAAACAGTGTACTTTTGCCAATCTATGATTTGAACCTTTTAAGAAGGGCCGTTGTTGGAAACGGCCTGTAAAATGCATACGCAGTTAATGTAGTTTGTTAAAGTAAAGAACACTGTGGAAAAATTGCTAAATCATGGAAGAAGGCACACTGTAAGACTACTGACTTGCGAATTCTTTGTTAACTGGCTTACTTGTCTTTTTCTTTCCAGCCAAAAAGCCGTTCTCTCGCTACATCAGTGTTGCACAATTTACAAACCCTATAACGGACATAATCTACCTTCTGCTCGGCTATTATACTGGTAACTGGACAAAATACGACGGAAATTGCTCGGACACTAGGAACAATGTAAGTTATGCATTTCAAAACATCTGAAATGCTTGCTAGTCTAGGCTCTTATTCCTCAATTCATACTTCATACCTCAAATTTATAGTCAAACCTTTTTGCTTTTTAAAGATTTGAATGTCATTCTCAATTAATTCTGCCTTCTGACCCATTCCTACGCTTCGCATCGCAACATCCAATTCTGAAAAATTAAGATATTGTAGTCAGGTAAAAACAACCTGAATGTCATTAATTTTTTTCTTTTCATGTTATTTTTACTTTGTCAATAATGATTGTTCAACGATATCTGTATCGCTTCCCCTGTAGCTTCCAACTGCTGTGTCAAAATACGGTATGAAAGGCCCACTGAATTCGCAGGCAATTTGCGTTGAATTTGCAGTGCACAAGACTCCAGCTGTTTCACCAGCCTTTGAAATCAAAGACTATAAATCGACCGAATTCTCTACGTGGGCAGAGAGCATGTAAGTAAACTTTATTCTGAAGGTTGTGCCCGTGGGGACAAGGGTTGTACCGTATGGAAACATTGCAATGGATTGCAATGGAAAGAAAATTTCTGCCTGCCTTTGGATAGGCACTAAATTAGGCTGGCTATAGATCTATTCCATTGATTATCTATCCCATCCAAAGTAAACTTCAGCATGAAATTGATCGAAAGTTAAATCTTGTATTATCCTTAAACGTATATTGATTTTTAAAAAAACTTTGATGTTTTCAACTTTCATTATCGATGTAAATATTTTATTAACTTACCGTAATCACCCAGGTGGAACGCTGACTTCGGGGTGAGGATGTTCTTAGTTTCTGGACCTACAATGGAAGTAAGAATTTATGTTTATTCATCTCCATTTTTCTTCTATTCTTGTAAAACTTGCGGATTTGGTTGGTATTTTGCTAAAATTTATCATTTTGGATTTATTATGGAACTGTATTTAGTGGATGACAACAAACAAATGATTACCATACCCTCTAAAAGTGTTGGATCCCCCTCGGCATCTTTTTTACCCAAAGTCTTTCTTCCCCTTCCTTTACAATGTTGGATTCCGTCTTGTTATTGACGAAATATGAAAGTGGGAACCGATAAAGTGTGTCATTCAGACGATTAGTGAGATATGCCTTTCAAACATTGCTTAAGGGGAGAAGAGAGACGATCTGCTTGAAATAGGAAAATGAAGGGAAATTATACATTTGCCACAATCGCAATCTCGGTGTTCCAACTACTTTTTTTGTTAGTTGTACCTTCACCAAGATTGAAAATACAAGGTGAATGGTCTTAACGGGTTGATTTAGGGGATGGATGGGGGTTGCTGGGTTTTCAGATACAAATTTGGGTTTTCAATACTTAGCTATTATAAGTTAAATCTTGGCGAGTTGCGAAAATAATAACATTGTTGAGAAATATGTTTCCTTTATTTCGTTCGCAAGTAGCGTCTTTGCTTTGACAGTGTCAAAAACTGTAAGGTATTTTGTTAAAATTGACAATTATAATCCATTTTTATTTATGCCTAGGTCTCCGATTTTGTTTATACAAAAAAGAATGGGGTTAGATTAAGACAAATTACCACATTTCCCCTGATCTTATTGCGATCTCTTTCCTTGCTGATATGATCAAAACTCACTTTTATCATTTAGTGTCTTTGTTTATATATACGTGCAATTGTTATTTTTTAAATCTTTTTGTTTACCGCTATAAACTATCTTTGCAGTACACAGTGTTTGGGTGTGGAGTGCTTGTTCTAATCTTGTCATTCGTGACCGTGCAGTTGGTCTACAAAAGAGCAAACATAATTTTTACACCAAGTAATACTTACGATACACAACAGGACAGTCAGGAAGTCGTCAACTGAGTTCGTTAGTAACTGTCTTTAAAGAACAATTTTTCAGCATGTATTGTCAATAAACATATTTTTATTGGTTGCGAAGATCTTTCAGGCACTCTTTCAAATAAAGTTCCTTTGGTACTGAGATTTTTCAAGGACTTGAACAGATTTCTCGTACCAACTTTTTTCTTCTCAAAATTCGTCAATGTTTCTACATCGCCCCTTCAAACTTATACCAGTAGTATCTTAAATATCTTGTCTGTGTGATTTGAAATTGGCTCTGTTACACTCTTTTTTATAAGAACCAGATAATTTTTCCGAGGCTAGATGTTCCTCTTTTTTGAATCATTTGCAGCTTGAATGTTCTCAATTTCGTTCTTAGATCAAAATTAATTTTGTAAAACTACAACCTATGAATTGTTTTGCATGACGTTTCCAGTATCACTGTTACTGGGCTAATAAAATTGAACCCGTTTGTTGACATTTTTCATGTTGATTTTCCCTGCTACTTTTCTATCTGTGGCTGGCCATGTTTGTTATTATTTTTGACAAATCGACCCTCAATTTTCGTTTAAAAAGTGTGTTCTTATAAAAAAGAGAGTTTTTAAAAGGTTTCTGCGAATCCAAATTACGTATAGTCCATACTAAACTCACGAGTTATCAAAAGATGTTACCAATTGGAAGTCAATCGAAAATCCTTCTGCTCTTTTCAGAAAAATAAAGTGGCAGCAAAATAAAATTGTAGTAAGATATTATATGTATATTTCTTTGACGTTTTTCTATGTATGTGAATAATTTATATGTAATTATGAAGTTCCCCTTGAATTTCGCAGTACTAATTTTTCTTTTCTCTTTAGTCTCTCTCTGATCTCTCTCAGGCCCTTTCTTGCTAGCTCCTACAGTGGAACTAAGAATTTTCAATTAGCCCCAAAATTTTTATGATTTATGCTTTTAGTCCATGATACATGACATGTGTGCGGGAAAATGAAAAACTAAAATACGGAGCGTTTTCACAATGTCTTTTTTGACAACATCGATTTGCAGTGTGCTTCGTTTCAAAGGTGAATTTGAAAAAATGAAAAATTCTTTGAAAACGAACTATTTGTTTGGCGCCTTTCAGATCCTCGTTCTTTCAGATCCTCGGCGTTTAAGTCCTAACTCGTTTAAACACCCTTCGAAAAATCTCCCATCCAAAAACGCCCGAATTCATAAGAATCCAGGGGGGCTATGCAAGGATTTACGGTATATATGTATTAAACTCGATCGGATAAAAACATGATTGCGCAGTAAGTACGTGGTGAAACCGTAGAAAGTACAAGGCAAAAATTGAGAATAAGTAAAAATAAGAAAAGTAAAGAAAGTAAGAGGGCAAAAAGCAACAAGTTCTAGAAAGAGATGAATTATCTTTTTGTTCAACGATTTGTAAAATAATTGTGTGGATGATTAGTTGGTAAATAAATGAAAATTTTATCAGTGTCAATAGAATAGACAAAACTTTACGTTCTTCTTAGGAAAAGATTCATTTCTCAATTGTAACGTTTTTCTCGACAGCATTCTTTTTTGTTCGTTGAGAGCCTTTGCTTAACTTGATAAGTTTAGTGGCACTGCGTCCTTTGAATTTCACGTCTTTTGTCCTTTACACTCATGAAAAACTGTTTGTCTTTGCGCTACAATTTTCCCGTCATTTTTCGAGTCCAAGCATAAACGAGCTATCTTTTTACTAAGGTACAATCAAAATTTTTACAAAATATCTTGCTTTTCAAAAACGAATTATTTTGCCTTAAAAAACCTTTTTGTCTTTGGTCATAAAACCTAAAACAATGTCATAGCTTTTGAATAGATTTCCATCAACATCGCTTATAAACAGCTTAAAAAACTTGATATTTTAAATGTTCTCTAGGTTGAAATATTAGCATCTGAATAAAGGTGAATTGACACTAAAGGTTCGAAAACGTACGTTTCTGAAAATCCAGCCTTATAAAGAAAATATTTAACATAACCGCATCAAGGTAGATTATTCGGTGTAAATTTCTTGAAAATTTCTCCAACGATAATTAGTTTGTAAAGATAAAATGTCATAAAGCAAGGTAGTCACAATTTCAGTCATACTGTTTGAAGAAATGCAATTTTCGTGGCAATAAATAAATCTTTGCTGGCTTTTCCTTCAAATATGAAAGTCTAATGCTTAAGGAAAATGAAATTTCTAAGCAATTTCACTCAACCTCGTAAGATTTTTCAAACAAAAGTAAGCCATTTTATTTATACCGATATACAACAAATCCGAGCTGCTTTGCCTGAAGAAAACACAACCCACTATAAATCCAAATAAGGGACTAAAAGAGATATCCATTGTTACAACATAAGCGACAAGGTACCATTGATACAAAACAGATCAATTGAAAACATAATAATTCAACATTTCTAGTTTAGATACAACAATGCGAACTGAAGTCTACGAACGTGATTATATAATAGACAGCAAAACCGTACATTCCACTATCTATATTAAAAATTCTCGAAAGCTTAGGCCTAGTTACAATTTATATGAAGTCAAAAAATGATCAACTTATGATAAGATATTGGAGCAAGCTTGCGTGATCTGTTCAACGGACATTTAAATGGACCCGGGCTGTTGAATCGCTAATTTGCGCACATCAGAATGGGGTGAGAGGGGGCGGGAATGGCAGTTAACAAGACAAGGCTTTCTTTATAATAGTTACTGGAACTCGTGACCTTGATACTCGCAGATTCAAGTCACCAGAAACAGGTTATTGCGATTATACCAGAGATGGGAAGCAAAATCAATCTGAGGTTTGGTGATCGCTGGTCATAGCTACGACGTTTTTGGACGACGGATAAAGGTTGCTGTAACGAGCTGCAACTAGCACGATTAAATCTCTGCATGCCATTACCTGGCATTAATACACTGCCGTCTGTTTACAGGTCAATGGTACAACGTGTCTCTTCAAAGCGTTGCATCTGGACCAAAGGGAATGTTGTCGTATTTGAATGCTCTTTCTATACAGAGCTCTTATCTCCATGTGTCAACACAGACATTCTCAATCACGATGGAGCAGACAACAAGCTGAAGCTTAAAGCGTGTTACAATTCTTCATCAACAGTACAGCAATGTTTACACAATAAATACCCTTTCACTTCCTAAAAACCTGCTTTTTCGTTGTCTTGCATAAATGAAATAGAATAGGAAAGTAAATTTGTCCAATCTTAATAGACGTCGAAATTGATACAAAACTTTACTGAACAGCAATACGCTCGAACAACCTTTAAAAATATGTCATAGTTCTGGTTTACATTAGAAAATATATAGAAATAGGTTTTCATTTTCATTAAATTCGCTAACAACCGTCATTATCCGAATTAAATTTGAAGGCCCATATTTTTGATGTGCCTAACCTGTCGTGTCCGAATAACGCAACATGACTGAGCTGTCACTTATGGTCCACCGTTTGATGGTTGCTTCATGCAAACTTGACAGCGGCTCACTCTGCGTCTAAGATTGTCTGCTTTTATTGTGTCTTCCTGGGGTCTTCTGAATTGATTTTGATCTTCGATTGTAGCGAGCCAGAAACTGTAAGTTGAGCCGTAAAAATAGCATTTACCATCACCATGACACTCGACGTAAGGGTGGGCCCTGAAGTCTTCAAGACAAGACCCTGCGGAGCCGAGATGTTGGCCGTCACCTTCAGCTCCTGCGCTGTTGTACTGTGAGAAAAGAGAACAGAAGAGGTCATAAGGGTTTTGAATACTCTATACAGCAATGCTGCAGCAACTATTGGTTTGTGACTCCTATTGATAAGCAAAGCATTTTTAGCGATAATAAGTGTGTTCATATTTCTTTTCGAAGACGCTCAACCGTCAAAGCAATTCAATTTGTCAATAACCACCGTTTTACCTTAGCAGACATTTTAAGAAAAAGTCAACCAAAGAAAAAATGAAACCAATGTTGAAGATATTGAAACTGGCAAATAAACATAGAATAATAAAAAGGAACAATCATAATCATAGCCAAAACTAAGAGCGCCTACTCACCATTAAGAAACTGTATCCATACCACAGGCTGACCCAGCCACGTGGGCATGCTGGGGGCTGTAGGCTTTGACTGTGAACTGCGATGACATGGGCTGGGGCCTCACAAACTGCACAGCTGTTGAATATAGAAAATGCGTTGTAATCAATATTCGCATAGATCAAGGAATATATACACCAAAAATTAAACAAATACACTATCCCTCTGAATCTCCTGCAAATTGGCGATTCCTTGCTCACAATTCATTCTCAGCAACGTATCAACAAGATTAATTTCAAAATTGGCACCCATAAATGCGCATAGTCTTGTACACATTACCCTACCTCCCACGATAAGAATGTACTGGAATTTTTCATTTTTCCTAAGTCAAACGATATTCTGTACATCTTGATGATTCTAGTTGAATATTTAGATCTTGATAAAAGAGTTTTCAGATCGTACCCACGTTTCCCTCCACCTATGAACATTCCCTCCGAGCTACGCTATTTATGGCGCAACTAAACTATCTTAATTCACGTACCGGCTGATGTACTTCTCGACGGCTGGTCCGGATGCTGTCATCATTGGCACTGGTTCATTGGTACTAAGCCAGAAACTATAGTCATTTCTTGAAGCTACTTTGCATTGGTTCTTGATGTTGCAGTACAAGAAAGGCATCGTGTTGAACTTCCTTAGGCAAGAGCCTGGTTTTCCCAAATCTTGTCCCTCTGCACGTCCGTTTCCTTGGACATAAAGTAAACTGTATCCGTCCCAAATTTTTTCCATTCCAAATGGACAGGATGGAACCTAAAAATAGAAAGGGATCTTTTGCGATATAGCTACAATGACAACATATAAAAGGTTTTTTGGTACACAATTACATTTTTGTTTCATTGAAAATATCGACGTTTCAAAAAGTAGCTATTAGGAGAATCATGCCAAAATTTGTGATGCATTATGGGTAAATGTACGATGTTTCAGTAGTGGGGGTTGGGAAACAAGCTAGTTTCCATTTTACTAGTTTAAAACCTAGCAAGAGACTTCCTTTTAGCTAAGATAAAAGTAAAACTCATTACCTCATTAACGAGATTAAAGAACATAAAACGAAGCGAAGAACAAGGGGAAATGAAAACCTAGATTGTAGGCTACCTCTGTAGTCTGACTGTGTCTTGTGAGGTAAAATCCGAAAGCTGCGGATCCACTTGGGCCCGGTCTTCCGAGTTGTCCTTTCGGACCTGGCAATCCACTTGGGCCTGCATCACCACGTGGGCCTAAGTTTCCTTTTGGACCAGTAACACCTGAAATAAACAAGAGTTCATTGCTTCATCACGTCGCAATGCTATCGAATTTAAATTGCTTTACCATAAAAACTGCCTGGAAATATCGGTGTAACACGACATATTCTAAATACTTTAAATAACGAAAAAGAGTACATATTATATATTATCACGAATTGAAATTCCTTTTTTTTGTCTTTTAGAGGGGTATCCAATATTTCAAAGTCACAAAGACAGGGCCTTAAACAAGTTCCCTATCAGTGGCTCTTGCAAAATTCCAATTACTGCGAAAGTTATTTCCGCTGTCCTTTTGAAAAACGATGAAAAATGAAGTAAAAGCAATAAGGTAGTCTTAAGCAGCCTTTTTAAGCCACCTTATTAATCTCCCTTATCTACTATCGACTGAGGGAGGGCCGGTCTAGATAGAAAGTCTGGCAAGATGTAGCCTGCAAAATGGTCAATGCCCGGAGCTGTCTGAGAGATAGTACTGGAAAATAGAGAACAGGCGCGTGCTACACAACAAGATGTCACTATTTGAAAGAGAAGTTGCTAACAATCTCGCCAGTGGTTCTTGACACAAAAGCGACTGTTTATTAGCTTACCATAATCGTTGTTTGCAATGAACTACTGCTTTTAAATGTAAAAAATGATATGCAGTACTGAGTTTTCATTACCTTTAATTCCATTGATGCCTACATTGCCACGTTCACCTTTAGGCCCTTGTGGTCCGGGTGGTCCTTGGAATCCTCTTTCTCCAGCTGGTCCTATGTTCCCTTCAAATCCTCTTAGACCAGGCAGACCCTTCTCTCCCTTAGGTCCTGTAGGTCCTGTAAACAAACAAGATTTGGAAGATTGTCAAAAAATATTTCCTTAAGTACAGGTAAGTTATTGGAAGATTTGCATTAACATATTCAGATTAGTGGAGCGGAGATATAGAACATAAAAGGCAAATTAAAGCGCGAGCATTTCAGTTCATTTGCTGAGCCACAGTCAGAATGAAATCTCTTGCATAGATAAAATTGTTGATTTTGTAACAGCTATTGATTAAATCCGACAACCTTGGCGCTGTAAAGTCTGAATTTTTATTGTGGCACATCTTTAATGACAACCAAATTACCTGTAATTGAAGCTGGTGCTCCTTTCTGCCCTTTTTGACCTTCACGTCCAGGCTCTCCTCTCTGTCCCTGGTTTCCTTTATCTCCAGCTGGTCCTACCAATCCCATGTCACCAGAGATACCAGCCGGCCCTCTGGGTCCACTATCTCCCCGTTCACCTTTAGGTCCTTGTGGACCTGGATCACCTCTAAGACCTGCAGCCGGTTCTCCTTTCTTTCCTTGTAAACCTTGGAGTCCTGATGGCCCTGAATTACCCTTTTCGCCTCTAAGCCCACGAGATCCGCTAGTGCCAGTGCATGGAGGTCCAACTTCACCTATGAAAGCATTAAAGCATGATAACGATATGTGGGATTTGCTGAAGGTCTGGAATGCGCAAATCAAAAACAATAAAACTCGAATATATGTTAGCGGTATTCTTGAGGTGCGGGTTAACTGACATAGGCTACATGAAACAACATCCGTAGATTTTGAACCAAATTTAGTAGTTTAGCTCTTACGGGTCTCTTCTACGTATGAGATAAACAAATTATTAGCTCACTCAGACATTGATTTTGCAGCAGAGTTGTTTTGATTAGACTTTTCATTCGTAATCGAACGTTTTTCAACAGTCACGTTTAGTAAGCATTTTCCAGCCTATTGGAAAACCCAGGTTATGTAATCATTCTTTTGAATAAAGGGCACCAACCTCTTGGTCCAGTTTCTCCTTTGGTACCCTTTGAGCCATCTTTACCAGGTGGCCCAACTTCTCCTTTGTTTCCTGCAACACCTGCTCTTCCATTTGGACCCGGTTCACCATCCTTTCCAGGAGGCCCTGGCAGTCCCGGTGAGCCAACTGGACCCTCGCCTCCTTCAGGACCAATGTCACCTTTTTCTCCTCGTACACCTACGCGCCCTGCGTCACCCGCAGGACCAACGGGACCTTGGATACCTTAACAAGATAAAATACATGAGAATGATATTGAATAACTTGAAATTTAACATCTAACAAATCTCGATTTATTTGGCTCAAAAAGAGAGGAATGTTGTCTGAAATTCTAAAAAAGGTTAAGCGAATTATTGATTAAAACGCAACTGGCTATTTGAACATAATTTCAAAACGTAAATTAATATCGACAAAATTACGTTAAAAATGAATCAAAAACAGAAATAATCCCGCTGATCTCAATTCTAAGAAAACATTTAGCAAAATAAGGAGCTTTTGGTCGAATCTTACCAACATCACCCTTGCTGCCCTTCTCGCCTGTGTCTCCTCTGTCACCCTTAGCACCCATGGGGCCTATTCTTCCTTTCTCTCCTTTCATTTCCAATAAACCAAGTTTTATCAACTCTGCTTCTGTCAGCGCATAGTCCTTTCCTGGGGTTCCTTTCAATCCTGGAATACCTTTTTCACCTAGGGAGAGAGAAATTAATAGAAGGCATTATTTTTGTCAAAAAACAGCCCATTTAAAGTTTTCTAACGATAGGTGGGCTACTCAAGCAAAGTGGCAATGTGTCAAAGAGAGGGAAAGGTCTAGATGACATAACCCTAGGAGAAGAAACCTTTAAAAATACAAATCTATACACAATACATACCAAGCTATAAATACAACTTAAATGATAACGCGCACCCTACACAAGTCTATATACACACCTTTCTCCCCTCTTTCTCCCTTTTGCTCCTTCCCTTGGTTCCCTTTAGCTCCGTTCGGACCAGGATTACCTTGGTCTCCCTTGTCTCCTTTCTCTCCGGGTGCTCCAGCAAATCCTGGGTCACCTTTTTGTCCTTCGCTTCCTGGTAAACCTGTTTGAAAATTTCACAATTTCAGTCTTGCTGCTTTAAACAGGCTGCATTATCAAGATATGTAATAAATGAACACAATTCATTCCAAAAATCCTCCAAATATTTCTGAAACTCTGGTTGCTGTTCGGGTTCATTAAAAAACTAATCCGAAAGGCTTGCCTCTGAGTAGTGAAAAGTAAGATTAGCCTTCGGCTTTATTCATCCAACTGAAGTACATTTCAACACAAAGTGAATGCAAGTATATAGAATGATGACAACATCACTAAAATCTTATGTATTGAAACACACGAAAAAGCCTGTATAATCTTTGAAAAAGCCTGTCTACGAAATAATAATCTTTGATAAATCAAGCCTGCGAAAAAGCTTATTTTCAAATACCCAGAAAAGAACTAAATAAACTTTGACAAATAGCTGCTTAAAGTCCTTTAATACCAAAGCATTTCCCTTACCTCTGATGCCTGGAAGTCCCGCTGGTCCAATATCACCTTTTGTTCCTTCCGCACCTTTCTCTCCTTTAGGACCGTTATCTCCCTGAAGACCTTGTACACCACGTGGACCAATGAATCCCTTGTCACCCTTTATACCGCTTGGACCAGGTCTACCCACTGGCCCTGTCAATCCAGTTTCTCCCTTTTGTCCATCTTTGCCAGATTCACCTTTCTCACATGTTGGTCCACGTTCACCTTTTACACCTTAGGTACAATGAATGTTGCGATGAGATTTGTAATGATGCTAAAACTTCAATGGTCTAATGGAACTAGAGCATTTGAAGCAGCTATGATAAAAACTACTGTTTCACAGGTCTGTCAGATAATGCTCGGTGCCGTAAATAGGCTTACCTCTGACTCCCTGCGGACCATCTGCACCAGGCAAACCACGAGTTCCCTTTGGACCTACAACGTCACTTGTTGCTCCCTGCTGTCCACGGATTCCCGGGTCTCCCTTCTGTCCTTTGTCACCTTTGCCTCCAATGCCAGCTGGACCCTGTTCTCCCTTCAGACCAAGTGCACCTTAGAAAAAAATGAAGTCTATTGGTATCTATTGCAAATCCAGTCGTCAGATGGCCCCGTTGGTACTCATGTAAACTGAGGTACTAAGTTGGGGATGGGGGTGAAGGGTATGGTGGGTTCTTATTTGGAAGGCATCAATTGAGTGCACTGACGTTTACGGGCAGAACTTGCTTAGAGCCATCACGTCACGCGACAGAACTACTATTAGTGCTGACCCGGGAAGGCCACGAGCTTTACCAATGCAGATCCAAAAATAATTTGTATTATACAATGAAAGGTAAATATAAAGATATGATTTACAGGTCGAAAATTCATACTGTAACATACATATAAATCTTATCTTGCGAAGCTGACTGTGCCGAGATATGACGGTGACATCATCAGAAGAAAAAGACTTAATAGTCTTGTGTCCGAATCACACTATTTAGAGCTAGAATTAATATGGAATGCAACCTTAATTGAATGCAAAATATCTGAACACGGGAAATATATTTTGCTTTGTACAAACTTAATGGAACCGAGCACACGGCGATATGCTTTTCACACTTTAAATATAACCAGCCTTGACTTAGCCTTATCTTGACCTACTTGGGTAAAAAATAATGAGAGACAGCAACAACAAACCAGGAGCTCTTAAATACCTCGGTCTCCTTTGTCACCCCTTGGTCCAAGAGGACCTTGATCTCCATCATCACCAGAAGGTCCCTGAAGACCAACTGCGCCAGGCACTCCCTTGCTGCCTTTGAATCCGGCTAACCCTGCAGGACCTGCAGGACCAGGGGGTCCTTCTGGCCCTCTTTCTCCTCGAAGAGCCTGTCCTTCAGCACCTTTGCTACCCTTGGAGCCAATTAAGCCAGCAGGTCCGGCTTCACCTTTTTCTCCTTTTGGTCCGTCCTTACCTAGAAATTAATTCTACTGTCAGCTTCTGACCCATCATTACTTAGACACTTGATTTAAAGTTGTCTAGAAAACCAATTGCCTTGAAAAAATCACCTTTAAACAACCCATTATCGAAAAACTTGCATAGCTTTCGAATACTAAGCGTGTAAAGGATTCCTTACTTCTTGTTTCGTGTGTTTACTAATGAACGCCGCTTTCAGAGAGCGGCGTTTATTAGAGGGCGACGTTTTTTCTAAATGGTTGGCTGAACGTGCAGCGTTCAAAAGAGGGCGGCGTTTATCAGAGGGTGGCGTTTATCAGAGGAAATACGGTAATGTAAGGCAGCGTAAAACATAAATGGATAACGAGTAAGCGAACGGATGCTTAATGAGTAGCAAAATACCTTTCAGTCCGGTTTGTCCCAGTTTTCCAGGTAATCCAACCCCTGGCTCACCACGGTCACCTTTTTGTCCAATAGCACCGGGAGGTCCTGGTTCTCCTTTCTCGGCTTTAATAAAAACACAATGTCATGAGAACAGAAAGTAAGAAATCGTCTTTAAAGGTTGTGAGTAGACTGAACTTTTACGAGCTTGTTTTACAGAAGGTTATACAGAAGGTTGAAAATCCTGCATTTATATATCCCTGTTTTTCCATACAATTATTAAGGTATGTTTCAAATAACCTACATCTGGGTGACATTAAAGATACAAAATCAATTACCTCTGTCTCCTTTTTGTCCAAGGGGTCCATTAGCACCTATAGGGCCAAGTTGACCGAGGGCTCCTTTCTCACCCTTGTCACCTTTTCCAGCACTTTCACCAGATGGACCTTGGTCACCCTTTGGTCCGACAGCTCCTATTATACCAGCAGGTCCCAGGTCTCCTTTCTGACCAGATTTTCCAGCATCACCCTTCTCTCCTGTCGCACCTGGAATATCACAGCAAAGTATTAAGCAATTGTTCTTGATCTTATGTAAATGCAAATTTCAATGTTTTTATACTTACGATTTAAAATTTTGCCAGGAATCGTTTTCAAGACATGACAGACTCAAATACTTTGAAGAACATGATAAATTGGATGCTACGCTTTCCGACAACCTTTACCGAGAAGTTTCCAGAATAAAGAGCAGTTTATCATTTCTGCATTGGCAAGCATATTTTGTGAGGTAGCCCCCACATAATGAGAACATTATTACCTGGGTCCCCTCTAGAAACGAAGTCTTTCATTGTGGTTCCAGGAGCACCCTTTCCTCCTTTGTCTCCCTTGAAGCCCCGTTCTCCCTTTGGGCCTTCAGAGCCAGGCTCTCCCCTTTGCCCAGCTGCTCCTCTGTCTCCTTTGTCTCCACGTAAACCTTCCTCCAGATAACCGATATCACTTAGCCGTGCCGCCCAAGATTCACCTAAATCGTGAAAGATTTTTAGGAGTTAACAGAACAGTTTTTAGTACGGTATTGAAAGACTTCAGAGATGAACAATGTATTAGAGAAAATCTGAAGTATACAAATGAACCGTAAAGCATACAAATGTCAGCCAGGTCTGAATAAAAAATAAATTAATTTTATTAGAAAACTCTAGTAGTTTCGGAAGTTCCACGGCTAGCGGTATGAGTGCGTCTTTAAGGACGAACTGACATCCATTCCCTGAGTTAGGGTAATTCAAAAGTACAATGTTGTCCATATCAGAAGCTTTTTGTAGAAAACAAACCGGTTATAGATAATGAAGAATACTTGCCTTTTGGTCCTGTTGGTCCCTCTGGGCCCGTTTGTCCAGCTGCCCCAACTTCACCCTTAGTTCCTTTATCACCCTTTCTTCCATCAATTCCCCTCCCGGGACTTCCTTTCTCCCCCTTGTCTCCAGTCAAACCATCTTCACCTGAGGGTCCCTGGTCTCCTTTAGGTCCGCGTCCACCCTAACATAAATAAATAAAAATCCTTAGAAGTGGAAAACTATTATTGCAAATGTGTTGCTTTTAAAAGTTACGAGAAAAACGGATTGAACAATTGGGCTGTTCTTTTTTCAAGTAGACGCTAAAACGACTTACTGGTAGTCCGTTGGCACCAGGGTCACCTCGAGCACCTGGTTGTCCACGAGGTCCTGCTGGTCCTTGAAATCCAAGCGCACCTGGTGATCCATTAGGTCCGGGTAAACCTTTCTGACCCCTATCACCTTTAATGCTTAGGCTTTCTCCCTTTTCACCTTTGCTACCTTTCACTCCCGAGGGTCCACGGGGTCCGCTTTCTCCCTGTGAAAAAAAAGAAAAACCTTAATTTTTCATCTGCAGACATGCACTTATGCACTTTTTATTTCTGGTTTAAACTGGTTAGAAAAGGTTTTTAATGTAATTTCTGTTTAAATTTAACGACACTTGTGCCTGTCTTTCAGAGATAATATGTTCCGATATGTAGCATCATTGTTGAATTTGCAAGACCAAATATTGTAGTTTGGAAAAAGCCTTAAATCCGAGCAACACAAC